TATCAGTTGTCTTGTGTTAATTAAAAAGGAATCAACTGGGGGGTAACGATAATCTCACGAGTCTGTGCGAAGAAAAGTCATAGACCGCAATAGGATATAAAAATCTTGGAAGAGAAAATCCGGCATACAAAATACAGTAACGAATATGAATTAACACGAAATTTCGGTACAAGTACCGCATTTTAAAATAACAGCTTCTCCTATTAAAGAAGTTTGACCTGAGTGTCATCAGGTTGCCGATGTCAGAATAGTTGACTTAAGCTTCAAAAATGTATCACTATACAATCGTTTATAACCAATTCGGAATAAATCTGAAACATATATTCAATTAGACAAAATTATTCAAATGATTCGAGGCTTAAGAAAAATGACACAGGCTATATTTACGGGCATGAGCGAAACATGCGCCCTATCCTGAATTCTTTGGGCAGAATATTTGCGACCGTTATCATTCACCTTCGATGCAATTAAATTCACAACACCAGAGAACAAAATGTATTATTTTGTCGAAGGTTTCCTAGGCATTTCCTCAAATACAAGATCCACTGTACTGTTGTACAGTACTTAAAAAGGCGTAATAATATTTCTGCCTTTAGCTCAATCATTGGTTACGTAATGGTACGTCGCAAAACCATTAGTTACATAAATAGGGTATTCTCAACCTGAAAATTTATCCTTTTTGCTTGATAATGTCGCATTATCTGTTGTATTTTTTCCATAAGTGACTGCATCACGATCTGGAGATCGGTCGCATGATTCATCTCTGTTTTATGAAGGACAGCATTCTTTCATCCTGTTCAAGAACGGTATTCGAACTTTTTCCACGCTTCTTGTTGAGAATTTCCGATAAATGCTTTTTCAAAAACAATATTATAACACAAAATCTAATGTCTACTCAAACTGAAAAAAATTTTATTTCTCCTCGCGGTACAGATCGTAAACATTTATTGGATATACTGTACTGTAAAGCATTTAAATACATTTCGCGGGGAAAGAATCAGCATACTGTCACAAACGAGCTTACAGCATTTACTCCTTCGCCAACATTCCAAGATTAAGCGAACGGCTTGCGTAAATGTTTCAAGAAAACATTATCTGAGGTCTCGCGACTTTCAGCCTTAAAATCAGTCTCTCGAACTGAAATTATAAATCCGTGAATGGAGTAAATATTCTCGGAGAAACTAATATTTCCTACAAATTTTGTCGCACTCATTCGTAATACGGTAATAGCATTACAAATGACTCCGAAAGAAAAATCACACAATAGTTTACTCCGCATTTTCCGACCTCGTTAAGACAATTGCAAAACTTACATTTTAATGAACTCATACACTTGAATTGAAAACATTTTCCAAGCAGAGTTACGGTAAGCGCTATTCAGAATTTCTCTCCTAGAATCACCGGAATAAAAATCTTGTACGCGAACCGGAGGAATTCGTGGTGTCAAAGGGCATTCGAGTAACGGGCCGTTCAGAATTATCTCTGACATTGAATGCGTTAACATCCAGAAAACCAGCACGGTTTTCCCGTCATTTCAAGAAATGGCGGATGTTGAAAGAAAGAAAGAATAGAAAACAAAGGCCCGCACATTTTTCTCATACACATTTTTTTTTCAATCTTTTGTAAAAAAAAGCACAAGAAAACGGTGAGGGATACCCGCTACTTTCGACAGGCACCAGCGGGAGTACCCGTGGGACGATTGGGTGCCTCATCATGCACAGCCACACCTGAATACATCGACCAAGGGGGGAAAAACTGACAGAAGAAAAAAAAAAGGAATTGGAGACGTGGAAAAGGAAGGAGGAAAGAAATTCCCGAGGCGAAGTTCGCTCCGGTGTACAGAGGGTATCATTCCGTCGTTTTTCAACGCATCGGACACAGACCCCGTAGCTGGAGCACGTACGAGGGGTAGGCGAAAGTTCTCAGATCGTGAAAAACTTCTCTGAAATTGCTCATACCGTAAAATCTCGTCGCAACAAAACCATTGAAACCAGTGAAATAGTTTCGTTATACAGAAAAATTCGGCGTAACGCAACTCAAATGACCTTGTGGTCATTGGGCAAGGACCTGAAAACCGAATTCGTTGTAATCGAATACTTTTTATAAAGAAAGTACGGTAATTAGCTTCGTTATACAGAAAAATTCGGCGTAACGCAACTCAAATGACCTTGTGGCCATTGGGCAGGGACCTGAAAACCGAATTCGTTGTAATCGAGTACTTTTTTTTATAAAGAAAGTAATTAAATACAACCCCAGGTTTTCAATATTGGTCGTTGATTTCTTACGTTCCGCTAAACATATTTCAAATATATTTTCGTGGGCTTTCACATCAATAATCACGCACAAAAATACATTCAGGTGGACGCTCTCTACAACGAATCGTTATTTTTCTATATTATAGCGGTTCTCTTCAACGAATTTTTCCAGTCCCTTGAATTGCTTTGTAGATATCTATATGGCATTCACCTGCCAAATCAAGCTACAGTACAATATTATACGAGCAAATGAACAGAGACTCTTGGTCAACTTATTCAAAAAGTAATTTCGCCACAGTTAATATAGAGACTCTTCGATGATTTTCTTTCTACTGGCAATCAAATCAGAAGGTCGTCGAGTCAGCATGAAGGGACTTCAGTCTACGCACAGTCATAGTTTTCATATGTTGTACCTTATCATGAAATTGAAAAAATTAAATAAAATAAATCGAGCAAGACTCAAGCACTAAATAACCTGAATCATCAACTTTATTCGGGGGAAAAGCATGCGATTCGAATACTGAAGATAAAAGTCCGAGGACTTTCGGAAATGCTCCCGTACTCGTGCCGGCTCCGTCTTTCTGGGGGCTTGAGAAATTACCCGCCGCTGGGTTCCCCGTCCGAGAGCCTGGACCTTGAAAAGAACGGGTATCTTTTTTCGGCCGAGGACTGACGAGTCGGTAATACAGTATTCACCCTGCGTTCAGGTTTTCTGTGCGTTCGCGCTGTTCTCTCACTCTCGCACACTAGCTTCTTACATCAGCATATCGGCCATCTTTATTGAAGAAATCATAAAGTTGGTACTGATCTAGAATATGTTCTCAGAATGCAAGTGGCCTCCCACAAAAACAAAAAAATAATAACTGCGGAGGAGTTGACAACATGACAACTAGCATCCAGTTGGACGCCCGAGGGATTTTGAAAAAATAAAACTCTTTAGATTACCAGAACTTGTCATTCATTTAAAAAAAGGAAGAAATACGTCAACAAAGAATCATCTTTCAGTACCCTGAGCATATTTCGTAACTTCTTTTCCTTCTTCCAATGTCTATTAGGTCTAAATTCTAGAGGCTTGTCCACAAAATCAACTTCGAAGCCTCATATTTTCTTCGCTTTCACACCTTGGGCCGCACTTCGTCATTTCTTGTTTACACGTGAAGCGTGAAAAGACATTTTCAGATACCATCGCACGGTCGTGTTATAATCTTTCGTAAGAAGGTTTTTCACAGAAAAGTACATCATGTAAGAAAGCGGAAGCCATTTAATTTTTTCGACAGAAAACTGAGAGACGCATGAAGACGCCAGCGTTTCTCGCGGATGATGTCAAGTACATTTCTTCGATGTCCAGATAGTGCATTAAAATGTCATGTTCACTCAACGTGAGATGCAGTTATACAAAGGTCAAGCAGCTCCGTACCTAAAGGAATGTCACAGCCTCTGGAAATTACTGGCCTTCACGCGACACAAAAGACAACGTAAATTGCTCGCTTCCTGCCTCGCTGACGATAAGGAATGACTCAAATGGTTCTTCAGAATTGAAAGAATATAATCGAACTGGAATCGACCGATAATACGAACTTACACTAAAAAGCCTCCTCTCTCATCTATTTAAGCGAATACGAAACCTCGTCGTATATGTTCAGCAACTAAATTTGCCAATCATGGAACAGACAGAGAGTTGAGTAGTGAATGATATGCTATAATAAAACTTCACTCACGATGAGCCCAGAACACGGAATTTTTTTTTTAAAGAAAACCTAAAATTGCAGATGGAGGTACAGTATTTCAATGAACAGCGTCCTCCATGCAAATTAGATTGGTAAGGAATACGAAAATCACATCTCTACGAAGAAGGAAAAAATTACAACTTGTAAGTTTCCTGGATTCCGTTTAATGAAACCATTCTTTACATAATCACGCGCGAAAGAATGAAAAGGAGTTGGAAAAATATGGTATCGATCATTTGAATTGATGCATACTTCATAACATATTTCTACATGGAAATCTAAGCGCCCTCAATTGAAGACAAAAACGAAAGAAATAAGATAATGCACCCCTCCATCAATATGAAAAAAGTCTTTCACGTTTTGTTGAGCCTTTTTTCAAGTAGCAATGCATTACATAATTCACGCTCCAACTGCGACCGTAGATTACGTAATTCTGTAGCATGCGTCCTCTCGTACATTCCAACAAATATACGGAGGAAGAATGTTAGCCGATACCTTGAGTCTAGATCGCGGTGAAACAGGAAGAATTTTATTTGGGGAACCCCGCACGATGTGGTTGCGACTACTCGCCAGAAATATCACGCAGCTGTTAGCACCTCGGCACAAAGGTCAAGTGGTCTTGAAAAAATAACCAAAATTGCAAGGGAGCAGCATTAACAAATGAAATTATTCATAATAGAATTTTTGCATCAACAACTTCCTTTGAAAAATGCATCAACTGAATCGATCCACAAACGAGGCGGACATGATGATTCACCTTCGTATTCGCGATGAACTTCGATTATTTTTCATTCTTTTCACAGCAAAAAAATCTTGGAAACATACACCATGCTGAGCAAAAAAAAAAAATGTATGCACTCTTGGTGACTGCGCTCTTCGGCATTCTTCGACAAAATTCGAACACTTAGCCTCGTTTTCTCAGCTATATTTTGAACATTAATCACTAGTACATATAGAACAGCGAATAATTGCCTGTCGCTTTAACGGTTTCCTCGCGCGTATGCTTCCCCCAAGCGAATTAAGTCGAGGCTGACGTATAGAAGTCCAACGTTTTCTTCTACAATTAAGTGAGTCCAAATGGATTTTGAAAATACTGTAGCCCATTGAAATAATAAAAATCCTCACAAGGTGACACTTTTACGCGACTAGAGGCGATACTGATTACGCCTATTACGGACAGCCTTCTCGGAAAAAATGTGGCCCACATAAGACACTAATTTAGTAAATTCAATTTTTACCATAAGGCTTTCGCACTAAAACAAATTATTAATTTCGGATGCAGCAACAGTTTCTAACGAAACCATGCTCAATTTTCAATAATTTTGAATTCCAAGAAATTGTTCGTTCCGTTTTTTATTCAAATGCAACAAAATTCTGAAACTTCGTAGGATGTAGACCGCATTCTTGCAGTCAGTGCGGACGATGTTCAAGAATTTCTCCCAGCGAAGGCCGCACATGCATTTTAAAGCACCGTTTCAGAGGGAGAAGTACGTTCCACAATTACGAACAGCGTGCAATTTTGATACGATATTCCAACGTTTTGAAAGAACATATTCCGTCAAGTTGGAGACACACATGGCTCAATTTCCGCGACCATCATACAAGACAAATATTTCAGGCTGAGTCCCTACGATTCATCAGACTCCCTGAAGCAGACGATTTAGTACACTGTACCAACTTCCGGAAATGTTCAACTGGAAAAAAGATGTACTCACTCTTTCCGTATCAAGCTCCAGTTGGAGCCGATTGCAATTGGACCTATATTCAGCTAGTTTCTTCTCAGACTGTTGAAGCTCTGTCTCCAGCTCGAGTTCGAGCTCTTTGGAGCTGGAGGTAAACTCATGAAGTTCTTCCCTAGCTTCATCTCGTCTGCGAACAAGAAATCACTATTTTGGCGCAATTTACATCTCTTGCATGTCATCATGGAACTCACTGCTTGATGTAATCAATCGCAGCCTTTTTCCAATAATTAATCTCCTCCTCGGGAGTGTCGAAATTGGGAGTGGAGTCCATCACGAATGATGACCACAATATCACTCACTGTTTGCACGTCTGCCTTTCGATCACCGTTCACTCGCGACACTGGGGTGCAAGGCAATTGCGGATAGGGCACACCAGCCGGAAAGATTTATCATCACAAGGGCAAGAAAAGCTCGCGATTCGCGCCCACATTGAGACCGAAATCTGGAAAAAGACTTTACAGTAACATAGATAACAATACAATTAAAAAGCTTCTCAATGAAGCCACAGAACAACTGAGAAGGGTCGTGAAGTAATCCATGAACCTTTGAAGAACGATGGATGAACAGCAAAGGCTGGTTCCACTTGGAATGCGCGTTCTCGAGAGGTGCGAAGAAAGAGAAGTACATTGCACGACAGATTTTCTGCGGTAGCCACTGACACCCGAATGTTCCCTATCAGAAGCTGTTTTCATTATTGAAGAAAATGCGGACAATCGCCGTAGGTCTGGACGTCTTGACAACCAACGATGAACTGCAACAGCAACGGTTTTGCCTTCTCCACAAAGACGGAGTTTGAGGAACGTCTTACCACCAATAAGGGTCAAGCCCACTCATTTACAAAGACTATTAGTCTTTATTATTTTGGTGCGTCTTTTCGGTATTTTATAGTCTATTAATCTAGTTTTAAATAATTAAGATTCGCATATAAGCTATCTGTAGAGAAAACTATTTTCGTTGTACGGTGACCCACAAACAGAAAACGCGTTTCATGCTCTGTGGTGTATAGCAATAGCGTTGCTTACCTGACGGACCGACGGGAGCGGGGGCTGCTTTCCCGCCGAAGCAGAACTCCTCGCCGGAGTGTACTGCAGTATTCTATAATCCTCGACTTGTACCTTGTGAGTGTTTGTGAGGTTAAAGAAATGTCCTACGTTCACATAGGGTGTGGTCAAGGTTTATTCCTCTGGATACCTTATGGAATGAGTCCGGTATTTGAATTGGAGTCGATCTCAATGGAAGTGTCTTCGGTGGGTCACCTCTCGTGTACAAGTGCCTTAATTTCATTGCTATTAAAAGTGCCCTTCTCGGAGAGACTAATTGGTGATTGAACTATTATGCGCGAACAACCTGATGTGTCTGCTCATGCCGTACTTTCTGTGATTTAAGTTTAGTTGTATTCAACGTCTCTGACTGAAATTGAGTTCGTTTGTATGCCTCCTTCTCGCCCGCATTGACTTGGCGAAACGAGGTACTGTTTTGAACTGTTGGAAAAAGTCTGAGATTATCTGACTATTATAGTTGTGCCTCAGTTGTTGATTGCAAGTGTGAACCGTGTCGAAATTTCATTATAGAAGGACTTACCCTCTATGTAATAAACTCCTTGCAGAATGGTGGTTATTCCCAGTTCGGGTGAGTAAATGTTTCTGATAATCAGAAATAATAAAACCACGCAGAAAAGCCATAAAATATCAGATAATTAGATCAAAATTTATTAATTCTAATGCATATAAGCTATCTGTAGAGAAAACTATTTTCGTTGTACGGTGACCCACAAACAGAAAACGCGTTTCATGCTCCGTGGTGTATAGCAATAGCGTTGCTTACCTGACGGACCGACGGGAGCGTGGGCTGCTTTCCCGCCGAAGCAGAACTCCTCGCCGGAGTGTACTGCAGTATTCTATAATCCTCGACTTGCACCTTGTGAGTGTTTTGTGAGGTTAAAGAAATGTCCTACGTTCACATAGGGTGTGGTCAAGGTTTATTCCTCTGGATACCTTATGGAATGAGTCCGGTATTTGAATTGGAGTCGATCTCAATGGAAGTGCCTTCGGTGGGTCACCTCTCGTGTACAAGTGCCTTGATTTCATTGCTATTAAAAGTGCCCTTCTCGGAGAGACTAATTGGTGATTGAACTATTATGCGCGAACAACCTTATGTGTCTGCTCATGCCGTACTTTCTGTGATTTAAGTTTAGTTGTATTCAACGTCTCTGACTGAAGTTGAGTTCATTTGTATGCCTCCTTCTCGCCCGCATTGACTTGGCGAAACATCCATGACAAAACTTGACAACCTTTTTCAGACTCTAATAGACTGATAATATCAACACGGAGTCAACAACTAACGTTCACACTTGGCACAGCTTTAAAGTAATATCTTCCTGAATGGGAGATACATTATTCGAAGAATTTTAACTGACGAAGCTGTCACTGGATGAAAGTACAACATTCACGTGAGTCGAGTTTTTTTTTTTTTTAGTTTTCCGGTATGGTTATCTTCAGTTTCATTGGCGTGCCCTGCTGGATTTATACGCTCATTGATTACCGCACTGATATACAGTACTGTACTTCGTTCAAGATCTTGTTTTGCAGAGGGCCATCCCAAGAAATTGTGAACGCCTCGTGAATCTATGTGTCGTAAAAATAGTGCACGATATCTATCCTCTACTGGATTTACTTGCCATGGTATTCAATCCGTCGACAAAGTAAATACTAAAAGTTATTCCTGTTGTTCCGTCATGCTGATTTCTGTCGCTCAGGTTCTAGTTGGTGAATAGTTCGCGGATGTCAGAAACACTTAATGCTAGCACTCAGGGGGGAAATCGAAGGATTTAAAATTTGGATCATTTTTACGCATTACCCCGGATTTGCGTACTCGGCGTGGGTAAGGTAACTTACGAGGTACGTTTTTTAGGCTCGCGATGTAAATTTATTTTTCACGAGTTAATTTTTCTATACTCAAAAATTTGGATCATATTTACGCATTACCCCGGATTTGCGTACTCGGCGTGGGTAAGGTAACTTACGAGGTAAGTTTTTTAGGCTCGCGATGTAAATTTATTTTTCACGAGTTAATTTTTCTATACTCAAGCTGAATAAGGCAATTGCTAGTGCAGTAAATCATACACGCATTCGCGGCACAGCGTAGACGACGACAATGGCTCACCACCGATCGGATGGCTACGTGGATTGAAGAAAGCCACATGCTTCAGATAATTCTAAGTGACTCGTTACATCAGCAACATTACGTTGAAAAGCTCAAGAAAATCATCAGATTCTCAATCAAATAGAAAGCCATGACCACGGATGACCTAGACAGGATCTGGGCCACACAGATCAGAAAGCATGAAGCTACTCTATTGTCAAAATTGTTCATGGTTATCTGCTTGCGTGGGACTTCTCTGCCGAGCGGCTTGACCACCTTCTTGAATGTTTTTAGGTAAGGGTGATTGTTTATGCTGTATTTGAATCACATGACTCGAAATTCATTCCCCCTCGGTATAAAAATTTGCCTTTCCGGGTAATCGCGTGCTGTCAAAAGAGTACAGTATTACTATTTACCCCAGGTATAATGAAGCATATATGTTTATTTTTCATAAATTATTTGTCAGGCGAGCTGGAGCCACGCAAACCTAAAGCAACATGAAAATATCCTGGAATTGATACGTCGTTTAGCGGAGGATGACAAAGAAGGCGTGCTGGCAACAAAGGTAAAATGCGAATTTTTTTGCCGTTTGCATTGTGTCTCTACGTGTTCGCAAAGGTTCACTCGATAATAATCCTGGAATTGATACGTCGTTTAGCGGAGGATGACAAAGAAGGCGTGCTGGCAACAAAGGTAAAATGCGAATTTTTTTGCCGTTTGCATTGTGTCTCTACGCGTTCGCAAAGGTTCACTCGGTAATAATTTCAGCGCATTCCGATGATAAACTTTGGTTTATCATCGCACGCAACTTGACTTGGCAGAAGAACAGCTGACGTTGCAGTTGATAAGGAAAAGATGAGGGTGAGAAAATACTGCAAATTTTAATGAACTACTTGACCTGTGTTATTGGTTTCATAAGTTTTGAGACTTTTGAGATAGGTCCAACAAAGTTTCAAAAATGTCACCTAATGAAACAAATTTACTCGCATAGAGCTCCATCATTAGGCAACACTTCAGTCCTTTTCAACGTACTCTCCGCCGATTTTTATGATTTTTTTCATGCAATAAATCAAATTATAAAAACATTGCCGAAAATCGTGTTCCTTTAGTTGCTTCAGCTGCCATTTGACGGCGGAAATGACTGTCCCTGTCCTCAATCAATCCATTTCAGGTCGTTCTTCACTGTCGGGAGCAGCCAGAAGTCACATGGTGCCTGTTCAACTAAGAAATGTGAAACTTGCTTGGTTTGCTGTTCGAGAAGTGGATAGCTACGGACTTAGCAACGAAAATTCCACAAAGGCATCTGGTATATACTGTACAGTAATATGATTAAATATTTTGAGGTATGTTTCAAATATAATTTCAATTTTAACTGTTTCATTTTCGGGAAAAGGTTATCCTGTTTTTTTGTTGTTGATCAGTTCAAATCATTAGGTTTTACATTCTGATTCGAACATTGAAGCCCATTTGATAATAGGCTTTCCAAAGAAATTTATTTTTGTGGAGGACCAGCCCACAAAGGCATGAAGCACTTGAAAAAATTTGCAAAAAAAAACAAAGGTGTCCGCCCGCTTTTCGTGCAACGTTTGTTTCATTCGTTTTCTGAATTTACGAATGGCATGTGAGGAAAATGTGTATGTTTATTCTAATTTTTTCATGGTCGGTGTTGAGTGCCATATTTAAAAGCTGCACATGTCCATCATATTCTTCTCTGTATTCGCATAGAGACGAAAGCTGCGGACGTGGACCATTAATGGAAAGAATCGCACGACCTGCAAGTGGGAGTGGAGGAGATGCGACTGGAGGTGACTTCGGCTTGTGGAGAAAAGCAGGAATTGTGCCATGAGCTGGAGCGAGTGCGGCGGCGGATGGGGACGCCGTTTCTGTCAACTGCCACTCCGATGGACCTCAGCCCTGTGCCAGCTGCCTACAGCTTCTCGCCGATTTCTGTCCGTCTGCCGCAGATCGGAAGTGACGCTGACGACAGTTTTGTCATCAAGAGCACAGTCGGGATAACCGAAGACCGCTTGGATGAAAATGACGACGATGATGATGATCTTCGTTGACTAGATTTCAGGCCTAGAACCGGATCTCCTTGAAAGCTGGCGTGTTTATTGCTTTTTCTTTATAGTGTTTCCGGGACACAAAAACCGAAAAAGCATGATCACATAATAAAAACGATACCTACGACAACACGAGTCTTTTATTTTCGCCTTTACTCGTGCAAACAACAACTGAGCACCGCGCAAAAAAAAAACTTTCTGATGCTGAAGGCATATGATGACGTCCGCACACGGAAGTTGCGTGCCAATATACATTCAATCGGTGGGAACTATTTCTTTCTGTCCGTCATACAAAGTATGAATGGAAAACGCTCGTACTGTGTGTTTTTCATTTGTTTATCTCTTTTTCCCTTCATTAGATGGCAAAACAAACCGTTTTCACCAGGAAAGGAGTATTTCCCATCCTACATGGTGGAATTGAGATGTTACAACGAGAATACGCGCTTTCCACGATGATGATCTTAAGAGAAAGTGTAATTGTGCTTTGAGACTGTTGGGAATGAAGTGAAGTGCTGCGATCAATCGTAATACCTGATGGACACTGGTTAGAATGACGGTAAGTCCAGGTACCCCCAACACTGCTCTTCCTGCTGGACAATGTGGTGACTACAGCAGTCCAACTGAGACACAAAGGCCCTGTGTTTTTGGCTTTTTCGTACTAGTGTATTATTTTTGCTATGGATGCTGTTGTGCTCAGAAAATAAAAGCGGAAATGAGCACGTTTGTTGTTGACTCGTGGCGCGTTTTTTTTTTTTTCTTTCTGATGCTGAAGGCATATGATGACGTCCGCACACGGAAGTTACGTGCCAATATACATTCAATCGGTGGGAACTATTTCTTTCTGTCCGTCATACAAAGTATGAATGGAAAACTCTCGTACTGTATGTTTTTCATTTGTTTATCTCTTTTTCCCTTTATTAGATGGCAAAACAAACCGTTTTCACCAGGAAAGGAGTATTTCCCATCCTACATGGTGGAATTGAGATGTTACAACGAGAATACGCGCTTTCCACGATGATGATCTTAAGAGAAAGTGTTAATTGTGCTTTGAGACTGTTGGAAATGAAGTGAAGTGCTGCGATCAATCGTAATACCTGATGGACACTGGTTAGAATGACGGTAAGTCCAGGTACCCCCAACACTGCTCTTCCTGCTGGACAATGTGGTGACTACAGCAGTCCAACTGAGAAATGAAGTGAAGTGCTGCGATCAATCGTAATACCTGATGGACACTGGTTAGAATGACGGTAAGTCCAGGTACCCCCAACACTGCTCTTCCTGCTGGACAATGTGGTGACTACAGCAGTCCAACTGAGTTCTTTGTTAGCTGCTGGTGGCATCCATCATGTCCAAAGAAATTTCCGTTGATGAACTCACATCCTGGTTGTGCTCCATGTCTGCGAGTAAAAGCGGAGTTTTTGCACAAAGGTGCGACTCGTATTTTATTTCAATTTTGAAAGCAAAAAAAAAAGAAAGGAAGAAATTTGCGCTCGTCTTGATGATTCAACAAGAATTTTAGCCCATATTCATAAAGGTATTTGGGTAATTGATGATTCTGCTTTTGTTTCAGGATTGCTTTGCAGGACCCGTGACGCAGGAATTTTGCTTCTGAGACAGGTCAGAGGAAGAGATATCCAATTGTTTATTGGTAGTAGTTTCAATTAAATTCCCTTGTATATCGACGATTCTGAGTTGGAGCTTTGTACTGAGAGTATCTTTTAATGTTTGTTATGGCGTTTTAGTAACATGAGTGGCCCAGCATTATTAATGTGCTTCTGTCTGAAGTTCTAGCTATGTTATGAGTCTGGCACAAATTTTCAGTGGTGTTGGCTACATTATGGCTAGCAGTTTTTGGGAATACTTTTTCCATCAGGGAGGTGAACATTTTTTAACCTTGTGCAAATCTAGAGAGAGTACAATGTAGTAGAAGTAAATCACTGTACTATAAATTATTTTTAGAGCAAGTTTGTCTTAGCCCTGGTTTTGTTGCTTTTGAAATTGCTGAGTGCATTCTGTCATTTCTTTACAGCCTAAAAGGACTAGGTACTGGAATGGAAATAACTTTTGGACTCCCCATTTCATGAACCTGAGCAGTACCTGTTGAATGATTATTTTTAGTATTCATTGATGAGTGGTTTCTGAATTCCTGGGAAAAGTCTAGTCAAGAATTGCATTGCCTGAAATTGCTGATGTCAACTTGGATGCATCAGAACTTGTTCCATATTTGGGAAACATAGTCATGAAAAAACTTCTTGAATCGGAAACATGGACTGACTCAACATCATAAACCTTCTTACAGATCACTTTCCCCTTTGAGAAAACTTTCAATTTCCTTGAATAATAATTGAGTCCTGAACTTTTAAATGCCAAAAATTAAAAAATTTTGCTTGTTGATTTGACCATGTTGAATCAATTCTTATGGCTGGTTGTCCCATCTGGCCACTTGACACCTTCAATAGGTGTTTTCCTTTACATTCCCCTTTTCAATTAAAAATTACTTTTCCTCTACAGAAAATGTTGAAAGATCTCACTGACACTTTGCATTGCTTTTGTGATTATTTTTATGTGAAAGAATTCCAAGAAGCGTCCCCTCCCCCCCTCCAATTGTATGCCCACTTGAATCATTCGATTATAGTGGGATCGGTGTTTTCTTGAAGTTGAAATATCCTTGATACAGGATTGATTGCTCCTTTCTTTCTTCAGAAGGTAGGAGACACATATGTTCAAGCAGAGGTTTTTTAAGAAATTTGTCACAAGAAATTGTATACCCGATTGCATTACAGTATTCCATTTCGAAGGGATGTTGTTCTCGAATTTGAAATCATTGCTTTATTTTACGGGATACCGAATTAGTTATTCTTTTCGTGCGAGATGGAAAAATTTGCAGCTCATGTACTGCATACCAAAGCTTTTACAATTTCATTCGTCGCACAGAAAAGTAATTAAATGACAAAAAACTCAACTGTTCGGAAACAGTTCTGGATGGCATGTTTCTTGAGGATCTCACATCTCGGGAGCCAGACGAATGCCCCAAATTCCCAGCTAGTCTAGACATTCCACTATATTTCCAGCGATTCACACAAGAAATCGCAAAAAAATCTGCCACTCGTGGAGAAAATATTCCTGATGACTTCAAAGGAATCCTCGTCAAGAATTTGCTAGAACATATGTGGCGAGATTCGTTGGCAAGTCACGATCGGCTCACACATACGGTCCATATTCCTTCTCACGATTTTGGATACAATTTTGGGGTATAAATATGGGGTTGCATTCGATCGAGATTTTCAGTGCTTCACAAGCAGCAGGAAAGGCTGGAATTAATTTTTCAGTTTTAGAAAGAGTATAGAAGCAAGTAGTTCACAAATTTTAGGACGAAGCGGGGGAATCATCGCGATGACGTTTGTCAACAGCAGGATTTACGTCTTTCTGGGTACTTTATATATTGCTAGCTATTTGAATATTATATGTTTTTCTCATCTCACTGATGTTTTTATTCGTGCTTCTTTATTTGTATTTAGCATTCCAAGCCTTACTACTGTTTGTGTCCCAATCGTCGACGAGCCCGTCATTTCGTCTGGAGACAGCGGAAGAAGATCATCACGGACCAGACCATAGTAGCGACAGTCATGAGACAACGGATCATCATCATCAAGACCCTGACGTAGAACACATCATTCAACACAAATTGGAGCATGATGTTGATAAACATTCGGTGGGTTACCACGGAAATCCTACGGAGACCAAGCTTCAGGTTCGTTTATGGAGATGATGAGAATGGGCCCGGTTTTTTTTCGGCGCTTCAGCAGTGCCCGAAGTGATTTTATCCATTTCAGACAGTTATAAAAAGGCGTTGCTTCAGTTGATTATTATTGCTGGTTGAATGGGTTTCAAGAAACACAGCTTCCAAATATGGTGATCCAAAAAAACATTTCCAAATTCTCGATGTGCTGCAGATATCCGGGAGAAGATGGAATTCCATTGGCATAACGAAATTCGTTGTGAAAATGTTTCCATTACAATTTACCAAACTAAATCGAATTTTTCAAAGCCCTGGCAGAAACCACAGTTAAAAGTCTGAAAATCTTATCATGATCAATTTTCCGAGTTCGGAATAATGATTTTTTTTTTACTTTTTTCATTTCCGTTGCTATGATCGGAATTGATTAATTTTTTTCCACAATTTATTTCAATAAGCTAGAAAATAGGATGCAATATCAGAACTTGGATAGAAAAAGCACTCAATTTAAAATAACTGATGATATTGATAAACGAATATCGTACTACTCGAGCAAGCGATTTTTCCGGTGGAGAAATTCTAATGAGATGTGAATTATTAGACCAAAATACTCCAGAGGCATCATCAACGAGATACTGTACTATTCCCATACCTGTATACTGTTGGAGCTCGAAATGTTGAAAACAAAAAGAAACCTTGGATCATTTAAAACTTCATTTTTTTCATGCCCCATTCGTTCACGGGAGATTTTCTGTTCCACAGCATAGGTGTCGAACGAATTATTTTTCAACGGAAGCTTGTAATTTCAATTTATATTATTGACGACACCTGTCGTTACGAAACGCGAGGTTGAGAGCCAAAGCGGAGAATGCATTGTGTACAATAATTCATATTTTTCTGGGGTAGGTCATGTGCATTATTGCAGCAAAACCGTACAACTATAATGCATTGCAGAGTGTATACAGCCCCCTTTGATTTATTCAACAGGAAATCTATCGTGGAGGTCTTTCTACTCGAGAAATGATTCTCGGATACATGGTGCACATGGGACCCTACTGGGACATGTATCGGGCAGTACTAAAGAGTTTGGCAAGTGAAAGTGGAACTTTGCTATTGGTTCCTGCGACGGAATTGTTGTGTCAAGCTTTGGGCGAAGAAGATGCACCGTCGGGTTGTGACGTTACAAACGCTATCGAAGTACTACAGCGACACCTATCACATATGTACGAAACACAACTGCTTGCCTCGATGGTAACCCCAAAAGATGTCCTGGGTGCTGTTGAAGATTTTGTGCAGGCGCTCATCAGGAAAAATGCTACTGAGAAGGACACGGATATCCAAGACAAAATATCACAGGCCATTGCTTCCGGGAAACTGTGGCAAGATTCTGACTTTGAAAAGGTCAGTACAGTATTGCATTTTGTTAAAGTATGATTTAAACAAATGCTTTTTCGTTCCGTGAAGAGAAATGCAGTTTTTCTTCGTGATACAATTTTCATCCAGCTAAATTGCAGAAATCGTACAGCAGGAAAACATGAATAATTAATCACGGCGTTAACAAAGACGTGCAAAAATGCATGCAGGAAAATTGAAGCTTAAGATGTTAATTGATAACTGAATGCTGTTTCATCACGAATATTTAGCCTGAAACACTGTATACAGTATAATCAAAAATGTGGTCACGTGCAGTTTTTTCTGCTGATGATGCTCTTTTGGAAGCAAAGCCGATGCTCAAAACTTGCAGCATTGTATCAAAAATGAGAATCAATTGAATAAAAAATGCCGGTATTATTGGCCAATATTTAATGAAAGATCAACAGTGCCAGAATTTTTGCAAATATATCAAGTTTATGTGAATGCAGTGGAGCAAAAATCCAAATACGCCTTCTGCTAAAAGCATGCAGAATCTAAAGCAGTCACCAAATAACTTAAAATAAATAAATTGCAACTATTGGGCTATGGTTGAAGTAGTCACTCAATTTTTAATAAATTCTGCAGAAAATCGGTTCAGAAATGATTGCTGCTCTTATATTCAGCGGTCAATAATGCAACGATTGTACTCAGCAAATTAATTTCTTCGTTTTATTTTCTCACAGTTTTCTGGTAACACAGTAAAATTTTCTATCAAATTGCTAGTATACATTATTAGAAAACAATCAAATATATGAAAAATACTGTACATAGCCCTCTATTGTTTCACAAGCAGCGATTACTCACATGTAAAATTTTTAATTCAACAATATTTTCGTTTCTCTGTGATCTCAATTAATTAATTACATGACAAAGTTGCGGAAGAAGTGTCCCCAATTTTTTTTTACCCCCATAATATATAGACAGCCCGGGAAATATTTGAGTCTTAATTTACTTGCACATGAATTTCACATAAATTTCGTTAGAATTGCGCAACCCCGCCCAACTCTGGGTGAATTGCTTACTATTTTTCCTTGAGAGCGTTTTTCGTGTATTTTTCATGTACTGTATGATACATATAATTTTTTTTCATCAGAACGTCACCAAGTTCGTCAAAGATGCCATGGACAACAGCTTTAGAGACACCCAGAAGACAGAAGTCTCTCTTTTGCACGGAATGCTCCGCTGGTTCCTGACAGACCGAGACTTGGAAAAGGCGCTATTTCAAACTATTTGCAGATCCGATCAAATTATCCAATGTCTGGCTGCGTATTTCCACCGCACTTATGGAAAAGCATCTGCCGCGGAAATTGCACTAAGCATTCATGGCATTTTGGAGAACATTTTGGGCAGCTGGGATGATCGCGTAACGGTCTTCGGGCACATCAAGGAGGCTTTCAATACACTCACGGGAAAACACTTGCCGCTCTCTTTCTTGTAAGTCGTTTGCGTTTTTTTTTCTTCATGTTCTGCATATATGACAAGAAAAGTTAAAACGGCAGTTTTGAGACTAAGCGACAATAAATATTGACAAATATTTATTTTATTCACGGTGCCGATGACGTTTTTATAAGCTCGATCGCTGCGCATGAGTTATTGAAATCGTGCACCAGCATTGATTTTTTTCATTTTTTCAAAACATTTTTCTGTTTTTTCTCTCTATGAAAGCATGTACGATGGATTAATCCAAGGCATCAAGTCAGGAGAAATTGAGCTTCCAGCTGTTCTGGGTTACATGGAAATGGCAAAAATGAATCCGAAGATGATCGAAGCCTTGGCGGATTACGACAATCAAGCCTTCCGGAGAGTCAAAAACGTTTATGTGCCTTTATACAAGTACATTAACGCCGCCTTTGTGCATGATATATGATAGATGCGATATTTGACGGCGATCACTTTGAATACTTCCGAGTTGAATTGACAGTATATACGAGGGTGAAAAGACAATAAACTTATGCATCACAGATCATGTGTGCTTGTTTATCTTTTCACATTGATTGCCTTCAACTGCGATCATGAGGACATCCCTGCTGAAAGGGAATTTTCTCCTGTGCGGGGTACAATGAAAATTTTTAATTGCCATCGTGTTCTGTGAAGTTATCTATTGTGGTTCCCGAGCTATTATGTATGCAGTCATGTTGTACATGCAGCATATAATCGCATTTCAAAACTAACCTGCGAAGCTCTTCTATATACTGTAGTTACAGTACGGTACATACATATATGTAGTGCCGCTGGCGACGCGTCCGGAATACAGCACTTTTACTGTACTGGAAAACTGTACCGTAATGCGCAGTACTGTATCTTGAGGAGCCTCATAAGCTCTTTGATTCAGCTTGTGCAATCCTTGGAATGTGTCAGCGCAAGAGGTGGTACGTCTCTTGATCTGGCGTAGTGAGGGATCCACCCATGAAATATAAGCGACATCTGTGCAAGCGCATGGAATGCGTTCGTCCAAGTATCCTCACCTGGTTTAGCTCGGGGAAAGCGAGAGTGTAGCGCAGAGCGGACCAAGACGAAAGCATGGACTTCACTCCGATTCTGACCGTCGAATCGTTCACTGGTCGGAAGCGGAAACTACACCACCGAAAGGTCATTTACCGGTTGCTTCTGCTAATCGTTGACGTCTTACACTTGACTATTCATTGCGTGATAGCTGCGTTGAGGTCATTTCTGTCTCTGCAAAACCGTACTGAAGTTGACTTTTGATTCGATCACGTGATTTATTTTTTTATACCTTCTGTTGGTGTTACGAAGATAGTCGTAAGCCGAATTGAGGTTATTCTGTTCCTGAAAACCTTTATTGCGTGCATCACCAGATCGCCGAGTTGAGAATGAGTCCGGTATGCCCTGCCTGCCACACCGGCTTCTACAGACACCGGTTTGGCGTCTAGGGTAGGTTCATTCTTTACGGCGAAATTGTGGCGTGTGGACACTTCCAGGACGTTTAAATACTGCATCAGAAGAGTTTACGAAATGAATCTTCGTACAGTGTAAGGACTAACATTTTGAGGCGCGTTAAAGTACTGTGCATCTTTATTGGTTTTGCTGTGCTCTTCCAAAGGTTGGAAAATCTTGGGAAGTTCTTCCTAGAAACTCATGAGATTTTACGAATTATGGTCAATTCTTGCTGTGAGTTCCAAGTTATTTTCAGTGATTTATTGTTTTAAAGTTTGACTTCCGGGGAAAATGGCCGTACCATTTGAACAGATCGTGTAATTGTGCCATGGTGTTATTCGCGGCCCTCAACGCGTCGGGCTCATCGTCTTCATCGGACGATGAAGATGAAGTGAAGCTATCGGAGGAAGCGTTGGAAACTGAAGCTTTCTTGCTTTACAATCGAGCCTTGGGGTATTTAGCCTCAAAGAATGTATCAGAGGCAAAAAACCTATTTTTAAAGATTACTTCTCACCCATTCGTTGTTAAAAATGATTCCCAACTGTCGAAACTTCCTGATGGATCTTTGCACCCATCACGTCATATGAAATATGCTGCATTGAAAAACCTTGCTCAGATAAGCATCGAAAACGACGAAGATCACGAACAAGGGTGTGAATACTATCTGCGATGCTTGGACATCGATGCGACCGATGTTACTGCGTGGTACAAACTGGGGAATGCCGCGCTGAAGCTCAAGAATTTTCCTATGGCTGCGGAAGCATTTCATGGTGGACTTGTAGTGAATCCAAAACATTGGTTGTGCCTGGACTCTTTACTCGTAGTTCGCTACGTTTTAGCAGATGATGTAGGGTGTTTACAATTGGTTGCCGATGCTCTTTCGCGCGATCCTAATTATACTCGGGCATTGCTACTCAAGAAAAGAATTCTCGGCCACAGCACCTTGCTGCAAGAATCGTGGGACGACTTGAAAGAAAGATTTGCGATTGTGGATGGTGAAGGTGTTGAGAAGGCAGATGAAGAAGAATTGGACGTTCAGCTGAAAGAACTGATTTCACAGCACTTGGAATATTGTGCTCCGAAGCCAGAAGTTCTCCCGGAACCGATTCAGATTTCATTACCAGAATCTCACGGACCCTCGTGGATGCGGCTGGGAGATTCTCTTTGTAAAACCTTCGCCTTTATTGACAAGTGCTGGCTTCAAGTCGATGTGCTGGATTGGCGTGACGCTACGGATGTCGCCATATCGAATTTAATGTAAGTCTTAAATGTATTTTCCCAACGCTCAATACTGTCTATATTTTTTTCAATCGTATTGCAGTGTATCATTTTATTATTATTATTTTTATTAGCTTTGCCCATTGAACTATAGAAGCACTATGGCAAAATTACGAATTCAATCAAGGGAAATCTTCTGCATTTACCATCTTCCCAGTGAATTCAACGAATGAAAATTTGTGAGTTACATTGATTTACTGATACATTGACCCTAAGTAGACAAATACAAACCCCTTGGTTCACAAACTTTTCAATTAAAAATATGTGTTAAAAGTCCTTGAAGAAAAATCCCTCAAGGAATATTCCTGATTTAAGAATTCCAAATTCCCTTATGACACTTTACTGTCGGGTACAATCCGATTGCAGTTTCAATGGACAAATGAAACAGAAAAATGTGGCTGACGAAAGGCTTACACACCATTTGTATTGTAAAGTTTTTTTTTAAACATTGAGTGAGTGAATGAGGGTGTTGTGTGGTTTGAGCAGAACCAATTAAATAAATGATAGCCAGTTTTAAGAAGCTGCGAGTAAATGAACTTTCAAACAGAGCTTTTTAATTTTTTCCACTGCTGAATTTGTTCTTCAGTTACAGTATTTAAAAATTTTTTCATTTTCTGGTGACAGTTCTACTCATTTAGTCATAAAAGAATGTTATTCTGGATGTGAAGCCTTTTGAGATTTATTTTAATTTGTCATACTTCCATCCAACCCTACGAAACATTGTGAACATACAGTACATTTGATGCCACTGTAACTCATTCTGATTGTATATTTGTCCTGAATTTTTTTCACTAATTTTCAATTGTATTTTGGGTGACAGGAATTGATTAATTGGTTCTCAATTGACGTCTATGGGAAAATAAAGGAACCAATAAAGTTTTTTATCCAAGTAAGGTGTATTTTCTTACACATCATGCCTTTCCAGTTCCTGAAAAATTAAGTGTTGGAGCCCATCATTTTGGGAAATTAGTTTTCCATTTTTTGTTCACCTGACGCGTGCAAGAATCACGTCCCCCCTAACTTTGTGCGCAGGAACCCAAAACTTTCTGAGGAAACCGTCAAGAGTAAATTCTCTATGGTTCCATCTTGTTCCCCGTTTTTCCCTTTTGTGCACCTAAATTTGGCTGCTAGTAAATTTTCACTAAAATTTATAAAATACCCGCAGCTCTCACAAAACGAGCATAGTCCCTTCCAATTGCTTCGGTGCGGTTGCTGACTTAGTGACCCCTTCCTTTTTTATCCTAACCAGCCCCTTTTTTTTCTTTCCTTGAAATTCTACCCAGTAATGCTCCCAGAATTCCTCAACTATTTTCCCTTTGAATTTCAGCTCAAATGTTGTTCCCGCGTGTGCCTTGTGCGTGTGCGTTGTACAGTCTTTCTACCCATAGCAGGGTTATTTTGCTTCAACCCATTATTTTATCCCAGTTTATTTTTCTCCCTACTGTGAAGCTCTAATCTGGTGGTGATTTGCCCTAATCCTAAGGTGGTTTTGCAATGTTCCTCCCATCATTTATTTTTATTCTCATGCCTGAGGAGTGAATAATGTCTCCTAGTAAAATCTTCCCAGATTTTCACACCCCCTTTTTTTTAATTTTGGCGATTATTCACGCCATATACTTGCGTATCTTTCTCAAAATTCCCCCAGTATAGCCCCACTTGAGTTATCACTCCAAACCCAATAGGTTGTGGGTTTTGTATATATTTACCTGTTTTATTTGTTATTGACTGTGTTTCTTTTATCTTTGATTTGTTTCAGTGTGAACTAAAATTCTTGTACTAAAAACGGAGTTTATGTGTATGTTCAATCACATAAGCCACCAATACTACTATTAGTCTCACACACGACGATAACGCCTAAAGTCTAACGGTCCTCCCAAAACTATATTTGATAAACGCCAATAATTAAGTTTCATCCTCTTATTCCTTGTTGACTCCTCATTGCATTTATTGAAAATTCATATTTTTCGCAGGGTCTCGCTGATAGCAAATGAAAACCCCTCCGAAGAGGATCCAGAAAAGAAAGCAGATCTCACGGATTCCGCCTTGAAAGAAGTTCAGAAGAAAGCAAAGAAACGTCCAAGAACCTCAGAACTCTCTCGTCTCGAAGAATGGGGGTTTGTGAAACGCCGTTCAGTTCGTTCAGGCGCATCAGCTGCCAAGTTTGCCCATCTTGCCGCATTCAACCGGAGTAAATCCCAAGTCGGAGTCAGCTTCGAAGAGCTCTTGGCCGAGTTTCTTCCTCCATCATTGCTTCAGCTTCCAAGTGCAGTTCGTGAAAAAGAAGCTCTATCATCAGAATCAACATTGTGCAGTGCGGAAACGTCACAATTGTCGGAAGCAGTGTGTTCAGCGTCAAATTCTGGGGATGAATCCAGTTTGTCTCGTGAACCGCAATCGGAGGTAAAAGAACGATTGAAACACCTCACATCTCTGAGAAACTTCTTGCATGACATGCAAGGTGAAGAGCTTCATGCATTCCTCTACAAATGGTGCATCAGTGTGTCGAAAGATGAAAACGTTTGGGAAAAGGGTCTTCCGCAAGTGTTCCTCAAAGTTTACGCGAAAGCTCGTGAATGGACCCCACATTACGTACGAACGCTGAACTCGAAAGGGTACGAAGACGAAGTCTACAGAAGCTTTATTTCCGACGATTCTTGGTTGACCTTGAAAGCTGCTGATCTGTTCGCCGATCGCCGGCAATTCTGGGCATCAGATGACAGAAACACTCAAAATCATGAGCAGCCAGACACTGATTTTCATGATGATGAATTCGAGTCACTCATCATGGTTCTGGCCAGTAGTAAATTCATTTCCCGTTGGCCGGAATTTTACATTCGACTCTGCGTGCTCCAGGTGCGACTCGCAATTATCTCTGACCGGATGAACGATGCTCTCTATTATTTGGAACTTGTCAAGGAGTGGCTCGAAAATACCGACTCAGTGGATATAAAACTTCCCAACTGCTTCTTTTTTCAATCAGTGGACAAAGCCAGCGTGGAAAAGCAAATCGCGGAACTGGGTCAGCAGCAGAGCCTCACGGGAATCATGGACTTGTATGACAAAGGGGACTTTTCCGGGGTTGTGGATATATTGTTGCCCACCTTAACTAAGTCGAGTTCGAGCGTAGGCATAGAAGCCAGGATAAAAGACCTATTGGATCGTCACTTGTTACTTCAAATCACTGTTGATTCGGTTGTGCAACTCAAGGAATATCAAAAGCTTTTCGAAATTGCGCCAATAGTTCTTGAAGAATGTTTGCGGAATTTCGAAAGCGTGGACGAATCCGGGAGTCAAGGAAAAGACGAATGGTCAACAGCATTAGTTTACGTCTTGGAAGTCCTCGACAGCGTTCTTTTCAATGAAGAAAACGTTCTGTGTGGTATTGATGACTCATCACTTGCGGCATTAGGACGTGCCTGCACGAAGGTGATCCAGATGAATTTCGACTTCGTCAATAACTCCAAGAATATCAGCACAAGTGCGGATAGGAGAAAGATGTTGCTGAAAACCTTAACTCCGTGGGGAATTCTCCATCGTTTATGTGTTCATGGTGAACAGGAAATCGACATGGAGAATGTCCCAGGCTCTGTGTATCTTCTCGTCACTGCGCACGAATGGTTAGGAAGACATGCTTGGTGCTGTAACGATGGTGGAACATTGCTGCTGCTTTTGATCGAAGTCATCTCGAAGCTTCCTGAGGCACTGAAGGCAAAAGACAGTTTGTTGGACAGGGCGCTAGAACAATGCTTTTTCTGCCTTTACTCGTACCCGTCGAAGAAAACAAAGGCAAAACATTTAGCGGATCACGGGGTGAACGGAATCGAGTTGACATGGGATCGTGCTGTTGATTTATATCGTTTTGTGGTTCCTGAGGAACTTCCAGAGTTCGATAGTTACAGAGTTAGCACAATTTCTGCGGATTTGGAGGCATTGTTGAGAAGAATTGCGTCTCTTGCTGATGTGAAAAACGATCCTGCGACTTATTGCTCAGATTTAGAGCGTTACATTGACGGAGAAGGTGGGAAGGTTTACGTGATGATCCCTAAGAATGCATTGGTGGAAATGCGACGGATGCCGGACTTGTTCTTCTTTCTCGCGGATTACTATTTGAAGAGCAAAGAGTGGAACAAGGCAGCCAAGTATTATTTATATGATTCTACGATTAATCCAATGCGGATGGATTCCTGGGGTGGACATGCGTTGGCCAGAACCGGAGCTTTGGAGACTAAATTGAATTCTTGTCAACCGATCAAGCAAGATAAAAGTATTTTCGAGAGGACGTCTGCTGCTCTGAGGTGTTTTCATAGGACGTTGCTTTTGGATAAGAAGAATGTCAAGATGTGGATAGAGTTTGGTTCTGTGTCTTACATGATGCATTCTCATGCGTCTAGGCAATTGAAGTTGGACTCATCAGTTGAACTGGGAATGGTAAGTGAGGTTGGAAAACGTATTTTCTCTTGTCGGCACATGTAAGTTCTCAATTTTTCAAACCTTCCCAAACCCGATTTTCGCCAAATTTTATGAAATTAATACCAATAATATTCCATGCGTTCATGTGCTGCCAAGTGGAATCGAGGATTCGGAACATAAATTGTTTTAAAAGAGAAAATACACGTTTGTAATTGAGTGACCGTTTTCTTCGCAGGATATGTTGACCTACTTGGAAAAGGAAAAAGAAAACCTCCTTGCGAAGGCAAAGCATTCATTCTCTACGGCGATGAAGCACGTGGAATCTCAAACTCCCGAAGAATATGACGGTTGGGACGAACGTTGGCTCCACTATTTTATGCTCGGTAAAATAATGCACAAGTTCCGAGCACCTGTCCACGATTGTCTGGCTTATTTCCACTATGCGTCCGAGCTGCTGCACGAAGTCGGAGCCACTTATCCTAAGAAGATAAGTTACAATTCCCCGTTGTTCTTGTCGCTGGAGGCCCTTGAAGTCTATTACCGCATCCACGCAACGTCTCTAAAGCAACTCATGATGTGGGAGCACAACATTTTCACTGACGACTACGAAGAGCAAGTCAAGCACATGCGAGAGATTTTGCAGATACAAGAAAAATCTGGGTTCGCTAAAGCTGATGCCTCGGTTTTTAAACACGACGAAGAACCCGTCATTTCCGGAGTTATTGATTCTATACTAGAGGACGTTGTGAAAGAGTGTGAACCTGAACTGAAGCCGAGGGATCCCACTAGTCTCGAGTGTGCCGTTGAGCGACAGTGTTTGGTGCAGAAGTGCTTGAATGCGATGAAAGAGTGCGTTTCACGATTTCCGCATCACTATAAATCCATTTTCCGATGCGCCCAGTATTATTCGGATTCGGCGCAAAGCAAAGATTTCTGCAAAGCCAGGAATATTTTGCTGGGCATTCCGGGAAGGATTTCGGATTGGACCAAGGTATGTTTCAAGTAGTGTACATTTGTTGCTCTGTACAAAATGCTTTTTTGTTTACCCATGCTTCTGGAAAAGTTAAAAAAAGCAAACCAGGTTATTGACCAATCCGTGTATTAATGCCAGAATACGTCACACCCGTGGTCATGTATTATGCATTATATTAAACCTGCATTGATGCATTGAAACACCGCTGGATGAATTCAAGAAAGAATTTGCTTGAAGAATGCACTTGAAGAATGAGTTTGCTACCTGTAGAATCTCCCTAAAACGAATTTCTCTGTACTTTAATTTGTTGTTGTAAAGGGTTCTCTACAGCAAAACTCTTTCTACAAGACTAGAATGCTTTTTTTCTCGTTCCCGTAATTTCTTTGTAGAGAGAGTCCACCTGTACTGCGTGTACATCTGGGCCAAAATCAGTTCTTGAAAAACATTTTTTTCTTCGTTGCAGTACCCGTACATGCCTGGTCCTGGGCTTTTCGCCGAGCGGAAACGAAACAATCTTTTCAACGGCATCTGGCGGATCCCGAGCAACGAGGTGGACCGCCCCGGCAGTTTCGCTGCCCACATGGCCCGCAGCGTGAGCCTGCTCATTGAAAACTGCGTCCAGCTCAAAGACTACTCCACTCTTCTCACCACTGCTGCTCAGCTCGCCCGGAAACCCGAAGCCGACAAAATGTACTTGTACGAGACTGAGCGGAAAAGCTTGTCGGGCCATGCCTTGGAAATGAGTTTGGTCGTGCTGCGCGAGAAGGTGAACAGTACCCTGGAGTCGGGGAGTGACGCGGCGAAAAGGGACGTTTTGCTCGAGGTGTACAAGGCCAGGTCGAGGGCGTCGAAACATCCTGTGCCCTACCACGGGTTCTCGCCATTGTTGATTGAGGCGTACGTGGGATTCTGTGGTGGTGGACTTGAGAACGCCAGTGGACCAGCGATTCTTGAAGAAGCAACTGCGTTCTGCGCTCCTCTGGTTGGCGAGGTTGGTTGGACTTCCGCGAATGAAAAAATCTTTTATTCGATGTTTCCCCCAAGACATCATATCTTATTTACTCGAGTACGACGCGCACCAGTGTTCTTCAGTCTAGAATTTTTATAAAATGCTATCCCCGAGTAAGTCATTTTTAGTTACTCTAGAATTGCAATACTGTACAATATTTCAAAAATTATCATACCCAAATTTTAATTTAGACATGCATTAAACTTATTTTTGACAAATTTTCAATCGTCTTCATTCAAATGAGTCTTTCAGGTAAAATTGGTCAAACATTTTCCGTTCGTATCGACTTTTGAAAACTTCATAAAAAATGTATACCTGCCTATGACGCTCACTCCCATTTTTCCCTTTCCATTTTGAGAATAAATGAGCATGTGGTACTCGAGTAAATACGGGTATGTTGCCTAATGTAATCGTAGATTCCCAGAGTTATCTGTGTATGCGACTAGAAATAGATAGTGTGCGCTGATCTTCAGATACTTCGTGAAATATTGAATCAGTCATAATCGGTCATTCGTGAAATATTTGAAGTACAGGAAAAAGAAAATTTTAAAAATTGGATGAATATTCGTTGGTAATAAATTGTGGCCCGAGCTAAAATTTTTGAGCAGTTCACCGAGAATGTTTTGCTAGGATTTTGTTGACCCTTTACTTCTCCTCTTTGTCTGTGAGCTGAATTAATCAACGCTTGAGGATAATCAAAATTTCAGCCTTTTTTCAATCATAAAAAATGTAACGGTTAGTCCTTATTATTTAAAATTGTCAACCCAGAATTCTGTCAACCCTGATTTGATTTTGTGAATAGAGTAAATCGAAAAGCAGATTTTACAGTTCTAATAAATGTGGGCTGCCAGTGACATCTACCCCTTCGGAAGTGCAGTAGTTCGACACAGTGATAGGCGACGTGGAAAAGCTATCGGATTCCCAATTTTGTATTGCTCATTGACTTTTTAGACCCCTTATGTTTTACATCATTTTAGTAAGGTAACGACGATTTATATGAGGCTCCGTTTTGAACTGTATTCAGGGCTCTGAATGGATTTTTAAAATTCTGTTTCTTTTCTGAAGGTTAAAGAGGATATCGAGCCTGGCGACATGAAGAGGAAAAGGTTGCAGAAGAACAAGGAGAAAGAAGTGAACTCTGTCAATGCCGCCGGAGTTGAGGAGCAATTACCCGTAATGGATGCCAACTCTGGCTCTGATTCGGATGTTCCTGCAGAAATTCCTTTGTCCCCTGTTTCGAGAGCTTCGTCTCCAGGCGATAATTATGTACCCGGCAAGAAGTTGCCAATTGCTGTTACAGAGGCGCCAACTTCCAAGAAACGTGGCTCCAAGCGAGGTCAGTGGTTAATTTATTATGGCATCATTTTTGGTTTCATCTGATGAATCATGTTGCTCCGTTCTATGTTTTGAAGTACTCTCCTTGTTCTTTCACCTGGTCGACGGTGCAACCTATCGAAAAATCAATGGGAAAGCACCTTTCTGCGCTTGTGATTTCTTCTGGCTTGCTTACATGCATTTTGGCCTTTAAATTATTTCCGTACTTGACTATTATTTGCTATTTCGCTTTAACGTGATGTGAGAATGTCTTTTCGTGATGTGTCGAATTTGTAGTAAGTTTAAACAAATACAAACAAAAATCCTCTATTTTGCGTGTACAGTATTTAAAAATTGTCACAATAAATGCTTCGGAAAATTGAACGCAATGCTGGCATTTCCAAATACCTGTACTGAAAATTAGTCTCTCTTTTCGATTCAGATTAAGCTGCCATTCACGTGAACCAGGCATTGTAAAATAGTTAAATCAGCTGTTTTGCCCTTCCGTCCACATTTTGGTGGAGAAAAAGGAAAAAAAAAAGCAGCGTGTCTTCAACGTGGTTTCAATTGGAGACAACTAACGTCGATCAAAAGGTCATCTAGACTTAAGCACTTCACGATTTGCATGAATGTCAGAACAGAATATTATCTATTTATTTCTTGTATTTTTATTCATTGTGTTATTTTTATTCATTATGTGGTTGAAGTAAAATTTCCCGATACGAAGCTCTAAACCCCTTTTGGATAATAAAAATGTCGTTATAATGAGTCTCAAATAAGTGGAGTACAGTAGCGTCTTTTTCCCATTGTGTAGCTGAATTCATTTTGGTATCACTAGGTGGACTGATGTCAAGGAAAGCCTCCGGTGTGGTGAAACGAGCAAAAACGACGTCGTCGACGAATTCGGAAGTTGTCGTTCCGCCGCCTCCAGCGATAGAAACTCCGCAATACGACATGAACCAGTTGTTCAACGCCTGGGCAGCTGAATTTCAAGCAGCGTCGATTTTAGCTGGACCCCTGGCTCAAGAAGCGCTGATGATGTCGGGACTGAGTGCCATGTACCCGTCTGGGTTTCCTGCGATGCAACCAATGAAGCCTATGGGGTGAGCATTGAGAATTCCTACGTGTTGTGTTCAAGGAAATGTGAAAAATTAATTCAGTGTCAGCGACATTTTGAAGAATAAGCTTTAAAACGTATTTTGGAAATTGCATCGAATTTTGCGGGCGATCAATCCGATAGCCTCAGAGGAGTTGATGGACAGAAGACTGATGTCATGAATGTGTATTTTCCTGTGATCCGGGATTATTTTTAGCATGATTTCCTCATTATCTCTCTTGCTTCGGCTATTCAAGATGAATGAGCTGTATTAATTTTGCGAGTTATCTTAAGGGGATGTGGAAAATTAACTGAATGTCAGCGAAATCTTGAAGGACGAGTTTTGGAATTTATGTTAAAAATTGCATTGAATTGTGCGGATGATCAATCCGATATCATCCTGGGGTAAAAGTTTGGTGTCACTATTTCCCTGTGAATCAAGATTATTTTTAGGTGATTTCCACATTTAACTCTCATTCTTTGTTTATTGGGGATGAATCAGTTGTAATAATTTTAACCTCTGGGCGTCCAAAATTACAGAAGAATATTTCTTCGTTGTCAAGCTTTTTTTTAGAGCAATTTCAAACGCGGGTCCGATCCAAACCATCGGGTATATGTTTCTGAAAATTGAAATTTCTTTCTTTGCATTCAAGACTCGGCGAAATTCCGAAGTAAAATTAGGAAATATTTTTCTGATTTTCTAGGTCGCGTGGAAGGGGCAGAGGAATGACGAGAGGAGGAGATTCGACTCGAACCAGAGTTCGTCGGCCTCGTGGTTCCCGAATGCCTTCAGTCTCTGTCCGTCCCGTTTTGGCGACACCTTCGCAGTCTGGAAACATTCCCATGACGTCAATGAGGGGACGTCCGCGTGGGACAAGGATGAGGATGCCGAGGAGAGCCCCGGTCATTGATTTAACGGAAAATCCCATGGTGAGTCTCGAAAATTGCAAAGGAGTATGTTGTCTTGAATTTTGAACTTAAATGCGAAGTACTGCAGAGAATTTCGTTCCTTAGAATTTTGAGGTAAATTTTCTAGTATAGATTTCAAGAAATTACCGGACTGGATATTTTCGTATTTTTTTGCTCTGGTCAATTCCATGCCATGCCGAACGTCAGAAAATGAAAAGCATTTCTGGAGAACCATCGTTACAGATAGAAAATGTTTTAACTGCAAGGAACATCCTGTGCGAGAATTGTTCGTTCATCATTTTCACTGCTGAAGAAAGATCGTTCCATGTCCTGTTCACCCCCATAGTGGTTCGGAGAATGAAATTTACACAAGAACTGGGCTACGAATAGATTTTAACTAAATTTCAATCCCTTGTGCTGTATATGTACTACTGACCCAAAAAGATCCAAGCTGATGAAAGTGTAATTCATGTTGTATACGCTGCAATTCGTTTGATTTTTAATCTTGATTTTCAGGCTCGTGGTCCTTCGTCGACAGCAGACGAACCGCAGATCTCTTCAAAATTGAATCCTGAGTTAACTATTCGTCCTGTGAGCCAGCCTGTGCTAAGCAGCCGTGTCCCACCGCCCATGCAAAGTTCCAAAGTTGTTCAGAGAAATTCTGTGATGTCTGAGCTTGCCAGGCGGCCGGGACTGGAAATCCTTCAAAATGCCGGCAACTTGGGTGAATTGAGTCGACTCTCAGAGATTCAAAAAGCTTTTTTAGACGCCGCGCAGGAAAATAAGTGATATGTAATTATAATTTTTGGGCCCATTGCTGTGATTCGGTGTGCTGTGCGTTTAAAATGAATTTTCATGGTTTTTCTTCCATTTCCGTTTTTTTTTCATAGAAGCAAACGACAGTAAAAAATGAAGAACATTTGTTCTTTTAGAACTTGAATGTTCGAATTAGGCCTTTTTCCGTAAAACTTCATCAGTTAAAATTCCGAAGTATATTCGCAAATATTCTACCAACTTGGTGACGTGTACTTCCTCCTGCAAAGAAAAGGTAAGTCGGCGATGACCGAACACTTAATCAATTTTAAATTTATTTTGACTCACATTGAGGGTAGTTTCTCGACTTCTCACAAGAATTGTTCCATTCGAAACCGTGTCACAGGTTACTGTCAATAACAACGGGATGCCCATTTCGTCACACCTGAAACAATATTGAAAATTCAAAAATAATTTTCAATATCAAGAGTAGTAGCTCATATCAGTCGAAGCTCACCAACTGCAAATAGACGCATCGTGCAATCCACTTTCACTCCTCAATAATGAGAATCCCAAGTCACGTAAGTCATCCTCCAGGTAATTAACAAAATTTTCGACTTCTTTGGATGTAGTTGATTCAGCTGCACTTGCGATCGAAAGTTGCACAGGTGCAAGATTTGGGTGAATTCGCAGCACGATTTTCTCATCGTTTTCTCCGTAGGCCTTTCTTAGTCTCACGGCATCAAGAAGCAAGAAAATTACTGCTTCGTCAATGGATGCACTGCATTTTATTGAAGACATTTGTAGGCGGGATTTCTGCTTCTTCTGGAAAACAGGAGTGGCAGAGAAGTGGTCATTAGCTCATATCATTTGGCAAATTCAGGATCATCATCCAGTATCGACTGGATGAAGGTGGCTAATCTTTTACGAATTTAATTTCCGCCGAGGCTTTGCAACCTCAATACACACTAGGGTCCAGTTGCAAAAATCAAAATGAAATTAACTCTTCAATTGGTATAAGTTTCTGAATTTTTTTTTTCAATTGGACAACATTGCAGCCCTGAAAACTCTGAAAATGTGTAGCCCGTAGGAACCTTGCACATTACTAACACCGGTTTTACTCATAACTAAGTCGAAATTTGAAATATCTCGTCAGATAAAATTGAAATTATTAACGAAGCCACTCCCATTACGAATGAAATGTTAACATCAATGACATAATGTTCAGATTATCGAAATTCTTCGAATATAATGTCCCTCTGAAAGTTACATCACTTCGTTCACTCACTCCACTACGCTCCTCAGGCAAGTCTGAATCTGCCAATCCATACGCGAAGATGCTTTCAAGCTTCCAATAGCGCTCATCAGATTCATTTCGGCAGCGCTCCTCTTGTAAAATAGTTTTCGACTTGATCTCGAAGACTCTCGAGCCATCTTCCAAAATTATGGGCGACATAGACAAGTTCCTTGGGGATGAAGAAAACTAAAAAAAAAAAACATAACGTAATGATTGTTCGGTCAATTGGGCTAACTACCATATGATACATGGAATGCATTTGAAAGGAAGACCCTCAGAAGGCTAACAATGCAAAAATTAATTGACGCGATGCATACCTAACATCACTCGTATCAGACAGGAACAAATAAAATGTCGCTAGAAGAGACCAAGAAAAATGTCAAGTAACTTTAATGTGAACTACAAGTTGTTTGCGAGTGAAGTACACACAAGCGTGTCCTTTATAGATAGAATTTCCTTACACAAATCTTTTCAATTAATGAACTGTCGTTAACAAATTCTTGGTTGTACCAGATTATTTTCATGGTTCCTGCAATACGTATAGACAATACTGTTTTAGTTTGAATTTTTCCTTTATAACGAAGGATTTTTGAATAAGGGACCCTAAGAATTTCACCTTTCGCCACATCGATTTTCGATGCATATACAGTGATTCAAAGTAGAATTCAGCATCTTTCTGCGGCACAACTGCATTCATCTCGAAAAGTTCTTTCGAACGGTTCAGCAGCAATGGACAACTGCTTTCCTGGCCAGAATTGGCACATTCCGAGACCCTCGTAGTGAATACACCAGGCACTCTTTCTTTCTGACTACCTTGTGCAAAAAGAGGAATAGAATCAATAGGGTGACAAATTTTAGCTAACATGTGAAAAATGTGCGAAAAAAGGCAAAAAAGCTTCGGAGCAGGAATATTTCAGAACCGTACACTGTACGGGTTTACAAAATATTTGGCGAAAATGGGGAATCACACGAAGTTCATGGTTGCATGTTCCTTGCAAATGGATACAAATCTCAGCTGAAGTTCAGTTTTTCATTTATCCATCAAGGGATAAGAAAATGAATATTCAGTTAGATTTAGAAAAAATCATTTGTTATTCAAATTATTGATTTGAGAATTCGCGTCGTATTTGAGAAAATATGGGAAATTGCAAGCCTATTAATATTGTACAAAAGTGGACAATGACTCACGAAAATGAAGCTTGGCTGGTCAAAGAATCTGCAGCCTTTTTCCATTCCGAAGTAAGTTTTCGCTTCACAAACTTTCCGAGGAAACCGAAATCGAAAATATTGTTCTGCTTCTTCAGATATCCTGTCTTGAGTAGTGATCTCAATATGACTTCCTTGTTCATGATGGCTTTCTAAGTAAGCAACGGACAGAGTAAAGAAGAGCAGAATTGAAACTTACGAAAATTCATCCGGACAAAAAAATTTCAACAACAAAAAATACAATATTCTTTTTTAAGATAAATTTATTCACTTTCTTGATAGCATCCAAAAACCCAGCAACTTAATCCGGTAGAAAGCAACAGAAACAATGACGAAAGTTTCCATTCGTAAGAAAAATTCATACAAAAATGTATCAAAAAATTGAGAGCGCATCAGATTATCAAAATCCGAAAGGAATCCCAAAAAATCGGTTACCCGTCGATACTTTCAAATTTTACATGACGAAGTGGATGGAACACATCAGTTTCATTCCAAACAAAGCTTTCATCGTTACGAAAATCGTCTTCGTTCTCGGGATTGATTTCAACAACTCCCAAAGCTTTTCTTGGTCTCATCAGCAGCTCTTTCAGCTTTCGCCTCAGTTTCGTTTGTAGTCCAGCGTTCCTCTGATCCGTCCGAGCAATTCTCGCTGCACCCGGAACACCCGTGAGCAGATCATTCATAATCTTACGGATCTCATTGGCCTTCAAACGAACAAAATCAACAGAATCAGAAGAAATGTTCGAAAATTCATTCAAAATTTCCATTATTGCCAATTTTGTACAGGATGTACAAAATTGGTTCTGCGCATCGAAAATTCAAGATCATGTTGATTACTGATTCATTTTTCTGATTCGTCCATTGCGGGGAAAATTGTTTAAACGTTAGTAGATGTCACTAGCAATAAAAACTGCCGGATTCTGATTTTGTAAATTTAGTACATGTCGTTTTTAAATTCCGCAGCCTTCTTCGAAAATCGGCCAACCTGCATAAATTTTCAATGCTGGATTCAAAAAACCATCTGAAAGACACAGTGACAATTTTGAAGCCGAGTCCTAGAAGTCCTCACCGCGTCAATGTCGTCTTCGCTGATCTCGATCGTGTTCAGCACTTCCATTTCATGGTCAGGAAACACAGGAACAAATTCTCCGGATTCTCGTTTAACCGAGCCTACCCCAGCAAACAAGCCGACTATTTTCTTTCCATGTCGATCAAGTCTGAACATGTACATATCGGACAATTCGGAGGAGTGTAAATCGAATGCTTGGTGGAAAATTCAAAATGAGACACTCACGAGAACCTGACAACGGGCGAGAAACACATGCACAACAGCGAAGGCAATCCTGGCATGAAGGACATCGTGGTTGTGTTGCTGACCACAACTGAACCATATTCGTCCATTCTAACTTTTTGAGCAATCAAAAGCCTGAAAAATGAATGATTATACAGGTGATTCGTTCGATGCAAAAAATATTCTTCATCCTCAACTGGCACAAAGGAGCATTGGAGGATGGTTCGATGACCGCGAAGTTGATGGAGTCCGGATTGATCCGTACGTTTCTCCCACTTTTCAGCCCTTCGCACATTGATCTGAAGTATAATTTGTTGGGTGACGTGGCATTGATTCCAGCAGAACCTGTGATGCCGGTGTGAGTTGTGTGATGCGTTGATTGTTTCTTGCTCATCAAATGCTCCCTGCGTCACGAACACAATTTTTTGCATAAACCGTGGACCAACGGGAGATGCTTCAAAATTTTGCAGATGGAAGACTTCATTCTAGTTCAATCAATATTGCATTGTTTTCGGAAAATATCGTGGAAAACGGGCATTGCAACCAGATCAACGTAAAAGGAAGAGAAAAATTGATAAGCAACCCAAAACCAGCGCATTTTACAAGAGAGTAAACTACAGAAGTACTGTACACATATACACATGAAAAAACGTGCACATGTCGAACAATAATCCATGGTAAATGACACACAATTTTAAATAATCGAGGATTTAAAAGTGCTAAATATTTGAATCAAGTTTGGTCATTTCATTTATATAAATATGCCTCGTCAAAAAATGGTATGAGGTCTTCATTCGCCCACCGTAAACCCAATCAACTGCATCATTTGCAGTTGTATGTAATACAACTGTATGTTTGTAATACCTTGAAAACCCGTTCTTTAGTTGTGTTAATTCAAGTCAGCGGTATTATAACTGTCCTGATCCGTAATTACTCACAAGGCCAAACCACGGAATTTGCCGGAATCATCTTTCGGAAGAACGGCATCAATCCCAGGTACGAATTGACTGATCCACACGTAGTGATTATCCTTTAAAAAAAGTGAACAGTTGAGAGAGCCTCAGGAATGTTTCTGAGCACAACGATAATTAAGCCTTAAATATTTGGATTAGTATTTCATTAGAAAATACGTAAAAAGAAATTCGTGTAAATATGTAGCAACTCAAGAGAGGGGATAGATGAAGCACTCAACTGACCTCAGAAATTCGATCTTCCTCAACATGTTTCAGTACACCGGCGTCGAGCAAGGTAGCACCGATATCTTCCTCTTCGTGGTCACCATCATGAACCAAACTTAGAGACACCTTTGCTGTTCCATAGTGAAGCGAGTAAAACTGGAAATCAATCGATCAACTGAAGACAAACTCATGTTCCACAAATCCAGATTAGGAATCGTCAAGGTGAATTTCAAGAATTAATTCAAAACGTGCATAGTCAACATTTCTCATAATCGAACAATTACGTGGCGGCGAGCTACGGAAGTCGAGATTTTAATTTCAATTTTTGAAGTTTAGGTTTGATGCGAAGAATGTGTTAGACCTCAAGAACGCTGCCACTTCAGATCATTTGAAAAACTATCGGAAATTTCTTGAAAAATTAAGACACATAGCCAAAATTATACGCCAAAAATTAGGCAAGAATCATGTACTGTACAACCTCACTGGCTGACATGAAATAATTCACTTTTTTTCTAGTCCAACCTCAATATGCGTGCTGAAATCATCTTTCCCCCGTACAAGCTCTTCGAAACGTCTCACGGCTTCCATCTTGGTTCCCGTGAAAAAGAAATCACTGCGCGCCAATCCTTTTAGTTCGCACAAAAACGCCTGCGCTGGAACGTTTCCGAGGTCTCCAAGAAATGACGGTTCGTATTGCCAAAGCTTTTTAATCGGAACATCCGACCACCCTCCATAGTCCACGAACCGCAACAAAGCCAGACTATCTTCTGCAGAAACGTGGATAACTTCCGCTCTGATGAAAGATAAATCAATGAAGACTTCAGGACTCCACTTCAAGATAAATATTCCCCAACTTTTCGCGAATAAATACGAGCCCATACAATGGGGCCCATTATTTTGCAACGAGTCGCCATAAGCGATTATAAACTATCCTCTTCTAAAAAAAATGCAATTGATTCTATAAGAGTGAATGAAGATATTTATTCAAAGTCATGCAGATGAAAAGCAGACTAACCTGGCACGAATAAATCCTCCCTGTCGCTTGTTCATCTTCAAAGCAATAACGTTAACTCCACACCGTACATTCTCCGGATTCATGATCACCATCGTTTTCGCAGCAGCATCAAGCCTTTCTTCAATGGCAGTAATTAGTTTTTGACTATCCATGTCAGCAAAACTCGCCGAAAACTTCGTAAGGGTGTGTACCTATGAAAAACGAGATTAATTTTTTTTTTTTTACGAAGAACGGAAAATCCGGTAAACTTTACAGAGGAATTTGGCTCATGAATTAAAAAGAAGCTTCTCTCCAACATCTGAATCAAATCCTGTGTTGTACGAACTAAACACTTTTCTCGCTAATGACAAGCGCATCTTCCAATAATTTAATTGAAACTAATTTTATTCTCTCTAGAACTTGGATACATTTTTATAATCTTAGTTTTATCGGGATGACGAAAAATTCCGATGCTTTCGTTGAGGACTAATCAATCGACAACAGACGAGACAATTTTTGCATGTATGTCTGAGAACGAACGAGTGAAATGAGACAGGAAAGCTGGATTCCGTCGCCACCAGCAGAATACTCTCTAAAGCCAAAACAAAAATTACATTTTTTGGCACAAAAAAAGGTGAAGTTCGATTGATAATCAATTGTGTCTTATACAATATTCGAGTAAGGAGAGAATTCATTCTGCCCATCACGCACTACAGCAACAGACAAAAATTTCACTCACTTCCGTAATAATCACGCGGATTCTTCCTTTCGAAATCTTCGGCCATTCAAACGCAGGTACACATTTGTTCCAGATCTCCGGGTCAATGCCAAAATTCCGTCGCCTGATCATGAATAAAAAATATAATTTGGTACTTCGAGAGATCACCGGAATTGGCAAGCTAAAAAATTTATTTCAAAAAAATTGAAAGAAGAACTAACGTGGTTTTCCGAAGTCGTTGGCTTGGCGTTTTTCTCTGCATTCGAAAACTCAAGAGAACAGGCGGATGAACGTTTTCGCCACTGCGATATATTTTCCTTCGAAGATCGTTTTCCAAACTCTCTGCATCAGGCTCTTTCGACATCGGTAAGCATACAAAATCGGCTATGCAACTTTAAATAAAATCGAATGAGAAAGCAGAAAATTCGTTATTCAACAGTTTAAAACAATATAAGACTTGACCAGCTGCAAGACGTACAACTCACTCGGTTTGGAAAAATTCCAAGTTCACACCACATGTCACAGTTGACAAAAACTCGCTCACTTCGGTGAGGCTCTCAATTGGATATTTTAAATGAATCGAAGAACGAGGATCATGCAACTTTAAAATCCTTGCGGCAATGTCCTCACAAACTGGTATCGGCGAAAGATAATTCGGATAGAAAGCTGCTGCCATCGCCACCTGAATAATATATTGCAAGAAAATTAACATGAAGTTCATCACCACGAATTTTTCTTCGAAGATTTGAATTTGTTCATAAAAAGAAAAGAAAATTCAGTACGAGTCGTATTTTCACAAAATGCCATGATGCACGCGCGGTAATTGAAACACTAAGTTCGAAATTTTAGGTATAATTTCTTGAAAACAATTTCCAGTCCATTTTTTGTCCTTAGGTAATGTCTGGGAAGGAACACAAGTTAAAAAACTAACATTTACAACTTTTGTGGGCATCAAGCATTTCAAGACTCGCGAAGAGCAGAAATAGATTCAGTTCGCATCATTTTCAAGCATCTGCTTCAAAAATTCTTGTCTAGCATTTTTATTTAGCGCAAACTCTCTACCAGAAATAAGATTACAGACGAGTTTTCTCTTATAATCATGAGACAAAAAAATAAGCAAAATTGTAAAAAAAAAAATTAGACCGCGTTTTTTTAATACAAAAAAGGAGGAGAAAATATGCAGTTATTATGCAGGAAAACGCACCAAACTTCAAAACCAAATAATTTGAAAATTACCTATTTCTCTGTCGTGATCTTCAAGACAAGGAGCAAGACATTTGACGCGGCTGAAGAAAACGTGAGAACGTGTAAAAAAAATGCTTGACGACTAACCTTCATCCAACCATTTAGTTCTTCTGGAGGAATGATGGGACGGCTTACGTCAGGCAACAGCAATCCAGCCTTGCTACTTATTGCTCTCAATTCTCCTTCCAGTAAGGAAATATCTCGAACGATATTTTCGTTTATGTGAAAGCGCTTCATGAAGTTTCTACGTAGACCTTTGCCCAATTTCATCACAGCCTGTGAGTGTAAATAAATTACAAAATTAACTTCGGATTTTCTTGCCAGTCGAAGAATGAAATTTATAACACCTCGGATCCGTCAATTCGAAAAAATAAATAAAAAACTACAGTCAGCAATCCGAGTTTCTTACTTTATATGCCCGATACTGTGAAATGGCGTCGGAGCCAGAATCTTCACTCCAGAACAACTTGCAATAGAGTACCTCATGTTGCTTTCCAATCACGTGCAAAAAGAGGTCCTGATGATTCAAAATCGCAGCTGAAAAATGTTTAAAAGCATCATTGAAAGAAGTCCACTTCAATAAAAAACACTTAAAAAAAAGTACCCAGCGTGATCATCTCTTCAGTTACGCCTAAACACCATCCCATCATGATCAACTTCGTCAAGTTTATATCTAGTGGAAAAAGGTTAATCACTCTTCCGAGTAAAGTCAGCTGGGTGGCGGAGTGGTCCACGTCAGTGTGTCGCACCAGGCTCAGGGCACCAGCCTGAATAAGAAAATAATATGCTTAATTGCAGATAAAATTGATATTTCTTCCAAAAATTATAACAAATAGACCAAGACTTGATCAACCACATGGAAGAAAATCAGCACAGTAAACAGGAATTTCCTGAAATCCTCCAAATTCTTAAAAGATATTAAATTTCCAACCTATGTGTACTCCGAGTCTCGGACGCACAACCTTTTCATAAAATGCATCGTTATTTAGAACTTCATTTTTCCTCAATCTGCTGGTTTAAAATCTAGGAATTCAACATGAGTAAATTAAGAATAGTTAACATCAACATTTCGTTTCCATCGGGACGGATTGCTGTTCTTGGATTTGACTTCCTGATGAATAAGAAAGAGGAGTGCTAAAATATCCTGAAAAATTTACTTGTACCGTCCAAAGGATAATTACCTGCGTAATATTGCTTTCCACAGATGAACGGCTACGAAAGTTGTTTCCATTAATAATCTTAAGTTATAAGCCAGAGAAGCTCAAAATTGGAACTTGCACGAACCAGGAAAATGTCCCGATTCGTACTGAAGTGTCATGAAAACTGTATGCATAAACAAGATACTGTGCAAGATATGATACAATTTCAGTCGTTTATCATCACTCAGAAAACTTTGAAAAATATATGGAATACTTCTTTCGAATGATCATCGCAACTGAAAGGGATTTATTCTTCTCGAAGTCATTATGGTCGCTGACAGATTTCAACACACCTCTTTCAAGATCAAAACGCCGAGGTCAATATCTCGCTCATCAGGAGGGGTCAAGGCCAAGGAAAAAATATCCTTGATACCTCCTTCGAATGGCAATCCTTTCGCAAGTGCAACCACATTCGGCAACGGAGTACGTTCTATTTCAGGCGGAGGATGTTCCGGAAGACTCTTCAAGAAATCATAAGAAAAACATTATCCATCGTTAAAATTTTCAGCAGTAAAACGGTAGGTTATCCGGGCTAATGACACAGTGCATTCGCCCGGATGATCGAACATACAAGATAATTCCATGTTTTCAATAGAAGCAACTTCTTAAAATAAACAGAGCTACAAAATGGCTCTGCATAACAAGACAGAAATTCTCAACAACAAAAAATTTAGCGCATTAGTCTGAACAATTATTTGATCAGGGTAAGAAGAAGTTCGTAATAAAATTATAAAAAATTAAGGTTCCTTTGTTTCCTCTGAATGAATCGTTCTTCTCTGTAAACACGTATAAACCAAACTAAGAAAAGTAAGAGTCGAACTTTTATTTATCTTACATCGTATCACTCAATTCATGAAAAACCACTAAATTACTGAATCAGTCACCTCATAGAGATGTCGGAAAGTCAAATGATAGACATAACCATCCGCAACTCGCCCAGTTCTGCCCGAGCGTTGCCGAATTTCACTTTTTGACGCCCAGTCGAGACCCAACATTGGCAAGAAATTTACTCTGTCACACATGTCCCGCTTTGTCAAACAGCAATCGAGGACTGCACAGAACAGGTACGAAGAACAAAAATTATAACACCAACCGTGAGACAAAAACACCTATTTCCAGATTAGAAAAAGGAAGAACTTGATTGACATTCTTGATTTCAAGTTCAGGAGAAGCAAGTATGAGAAAATGATTTTTCGGGAACATACAAAGACAGAAATTCTAAGAAAAAATTTCAGCGCATTAGTTTGAACAATCATTTGATCATATCAAGAAGTTCGAAATAATATTATAAAAATTAGTGCTCACTAAAGGAAATGATGTTTCCAGTGATTTTCCATTTTATATAACAAACCGTCAATCCTGAATTAAGCCTCAATTTTCTTGGTTCGTTCGAAGTGTTTAAATCGCTTTGATAAAAAAATACATAATTTCTTTCTTCACGATGGCAAAAATTGTGGAAAGTTTATATCGATTGCTAATATATATCGTGCTTATTATTGAAAATTATGCGTATTTGTGGAGGCTAACGCACATACAGTATAAGGGGAGCCAGTTGCATTCAACGGTATGAAAACACGTTTGTTTGTGTTTAGAATAGGGTATCGTTCTTCATTAATGATGAAAAATATAAATCTTTGTTCTTGAAGCGAGCGTTTATCATCACAATAAACTTTTTTTTTTGCTCGAACAAGAAAATTTTGACAGAATTTTTTGTGGGATAAAGTACATGTACCACGTGGTCGTCATGCTTTCTCAGTACTGACCGAATTGAACATCAGGAAACGTCACCGATGATTCAGCAATATTCGTCGCCAAGATTATTTTCCTCTTGTTCGGGGGTACTGCCTGAAAAGCGAGACTTTCCTTCGCATCCGGAAGTCTTGAATGTAGAATCACAACCTCCCAACTGCATAAAAAGTAAATGTATTTTCATCGCATCACGAAAAATTCTTTTTTACACGACTGTCCATAAATTTATTCCGCAGTGAGTCAGGAAATCTCCGAAGAAACACCCGCAGACGGGAATAACAATAGATAATACGCACGTTTAGAAGTTGATTAAAAATAATTACTCGAACCAGGAAATCATGAAGCCTCCAATTATCTTATGGGAATTGAACCCAAAAGCCCAAAACGACCCTCGGAGGGTAAAGGAAAATGCATCACGAAGGACTCAGAAGTAAATTCAACTTCAATTGACACCTCATAAACTGAAATTCCAAACTGTGACAGCCAGTGACATCTACCAACCCTAAAATAATTTGTATTTGTAACTGAAAAATCAAGGAAATGATTCGCATAAATCGCAAATCCATAATAGTGTACTGTTCCATAAATTGTACTTATGATATCTTACTTCCGATATTCTTCGCATTCTTCCAATACTTCGTTCATATCCCAGATAGCATCGAGTCCAGGAAGAAATACCAGCACTGCTCCTTTACTGATGCTGGCATCATGACCCATATCCAACGCTTGAATTATTTTCTGACAAACGTTTAGCAAATCTTTTTCGAGCTTCGGTAACTCAAGATGATGGTTCACTCGCTCCACCTGAAAATATCCAACATTAAAAATTTACAACATTGAAGTCTAGAAAACCAGTGTTCCTCGAAAATATTTCTTACCTCTGGAAGATTCAAGTCATCCAGCCAGAATCTTCCAACTTGGTAACTCTCAACATCTACTCGAATAACAGGAACGTTTGAAATATTCAGGGAAAGCCGAGGATCCGTGAAGTACTTCTCGTAAAGACCGGTGTCAATTGTAGCTGACATCAAGACCATCTTTTCATCACAATCAAAAATTGTAAAATCAAACTTCTGACACGACAATTAAGAAGCTGTCATTGCAGAAATGTCACCTTCAGTTCGGCTCTTATTTTTAAATAAGAGCGAAGAATGAGCAGCAAAAAATCGACATCTCTGCTCCTTTCATGAACTTCGTCCACAATTATGTGCGTTACTGTAGAAATAAAGCTGCCTTCTCTGAATTGGCTCAGCTTTCGCAAAACCACTCCCGGGGTCGCGTAAAGGATCAACGTGTTTTCCGACTGGTTCTTCCGATCTAATCCAACCTGAAAATGCAGAATTCCAGACATATCGTTCAAAAAAATAGAGCGAATAGGAATTAAATTCAATAAATAAACCACACTAGTCAGTCTTGATCCAAAGCTCATGAGGAGCAAGAGAGAAAAATTAAATTTCGGGGACGTACGAAAACATGCTCAATGCGGAAATGATTTTGCCTGCGATTTTGTTTTATTCATAGGAAAACTATCGATTTCAAGTTACTCAACTTTCTTCGTTCGTTTGAAAAATTCAAAACTACCATAAGATAAAAAAGTGCATCACTTCTTCTTTCATCACGACATATAATGAGCCATCCTATACATGACATATGCAGTATTGGGAGAAGCTCCTATATCGACTTGTCAAAGATGGGATGCTTTCACCTGATAGCCAACCACGTCACCCAAGGGCCAATTGCATGCCTTCGAAACGTAATTTGCTAAAGCCTTGGCAGCAATGCGTCTGGGCTGCGTCACAATGACACGACACGGTTCATTCCTCGAAATGGCGTCCTTCAAAATAAACTGCGACACCATCGTGGACTTGCCACAGCCAGTACTGCCTTTCACAATGGTAACTCGATGGTCCCGAACAGCCTCAACAATCTAAAAAGAAATCTTGCGATTTTTAATAAAGCATTCAAAACACGAGCAATTTTCGATTTACGCAAGCACTGAAATTTTCTTTTTCGTTAATTATTTCAGGCAGAAGTAAGGCAAATTGAATGATCAGATTATTCTACAGGATTTTCTGGATATTTCGTAGAACGCTTCAATTTTTTATTCGAGAAATACTATACGGTAAATTTGGGCACATTGATATAGAATACTGTACATAACAAAGGGAGAAACGTTTTTTTCTCGAACTGCGCGCGGGAATCGAGAAACTCATCGTGTGAACCCAGAAAAGAAATTTCGTACCGCTGATTCATAATCACAAATCGGAAGAATAGATTTTGACGTCATTATGTTCGCCAGCACATTTTCTTGCTGATACACTTGTGATATTCGCTCCTTGAATCTTTCTGCGGACGTTTCCTTGCAGATGAGTCCAGAGTTTCCATTTTCCAAGATGTCCTCGTCGTCGTCGAAGTCAACATCAAACGAGTCATCCAGCGGTTCAGGCGCAGGAAATAGGTTGAGTTCTGGAATCTAAAATAAACGCAATCAATTACACTATCTCCAAAGGACCGGAAAAAACTAAAATACTCACTTTGCTTCTCGCGACGTAAGCTTTCCCATATTCTGTGGGAAGTACATTTTCGTTGGCACCCTTCGAAAATTCATTCATCTCAACAACCTAAAAGAAGAACTTTTTTCTTTCTAAACATAAAACTTACCATAAAATTCTCTGCTAAAAATCTTACCCTTCAGGACCTTCACAGTTTACCAAGGGGATGAAATCCTCGAGTCTTCAGCCTTGGTTCACATGCGATATGTAGCGAAACTATTGAAAACTTTGAAAAAAAGAAACAAATTCGCAAAATCAAGCAAAAAAAAAAAGATTCGTGAGTGAATGAAGACAAGACTGATAGTTTCGCTGTAACCAAAATTGTCTTATTCCTGCTATATGCCCTCTGAATTTTGGATAAGTTTCGCTATTCATCGCTACTGAATTTATTAGCCTTTCAACAAACTTACTGTCGAATTCATCAACTAATCCTCTCCAAAATTCGAAAACGGCAATAATCGCACATTCAATGAAACACAAAAATGAAAAACTCTCCGGGCGATAGTCACATGCCAAAATAAAATAAAAATTTTCAAATAGCTGAATCTTCCTTGCGTTGGCACAACGGGAAAAAATCTACTGTAATTCATGGAAAAGACAGACGATGGCCAAAAACAAACAAACTTTTCAAAACAAAATGCTCCTCAAACGTATCGAACGACTTTTTCCCCAGAATCAGATATCTGCACCAAGATTCGACAGGATTCCTTCCAATTTAGTTTAGGCTACATTTTGGCACAACAATAATGAACTGACAGAAAAACTTTTCGATGAAGAACAAGAACAATTCCAAGAAAAAAACTTCGGGATTTTAAAACCACATTTCAGATAAATTTAAAAATCATCAAATCCTAAAAAGCTTCTCTGGCACGAGTCCAATGCTGCGATCAACAGAGCAGCATTTTGCTTCGAGCTAAACATGGAAATCTGGGTCCATTTTGGCACAAAAATGAAAAAAAAAGAACTGCAGTACAAAGAAAGCCGACGACGCAGACAGGAGCAAAGGTGCAAAATTAAATCCTGAGAATCAAAAAGCTGACACGAAATTCGAATGAAGACAAGACTAATATCAAGATTTTAATTCAAGAGTATTTTCTAATAATTTCTTCATGACCCTGACAATTCATCTTCCGCTTCTATTTACTCGCACATTCCCAACAAAAAAAGTTCCAATATGCGATAAACCCAAAAATAAAATAAAAAACAAACAAAAGCTTTCCTAACGCGAGTCAGTTGCTACGATTCAAAGAACAACTTTCTGTTCCCGAGCTGAACATGGCTTTGTGCCGGCAAAATACGAAGAAAAAAAAAATTCGACAGCAAAACAGGGCGAGAAGGACAAAAATAACAATTGAAAATTACACACACTATTTCACATTACTGAAACCCAGGACAAACATTTCTTTTCTACAGCGAGTCAGACGCAATGATTGCTAAAACAGCTTTCTGTTTCGAGCTGAATAAGGGATACCTTGTTTCATGTTGGCACAATATGAGCAAGCGAACCGACAATTGAAAAAAAACACAAAAAAAAAACGAAACAAAAAATGTAGACAAATAGCGAGGCAAGAACGCGAGTTTTACCCACTTCAATACTTCAAGGGATCCCGGATGTACGCGCGTTTCTCCAACTCGCTCTTCACGCATCGTCCCCACCACAAGCGTTCGGAGCAGACTGTTTCCGGTTTCAGGACGAAACACTTGGTTTGTACGATGTTGAAGAAAATCTTGCCGACCATGTTGGATGCTGCCGTGTTCGTCATCTTCAAGCACGTTCGGAACCTTTGGGATTTGCGGCCCAAGAGAAAATAAAGGAAACGTTACCAAGGGGCAAAAATTGGTAGTGAATCGTCAGAGGAATATCATACGAAGTTGTAACGACGGTTTCTGTATGCTTCAAGAACAGCAGCCGATGGATGTGAACTTTTTCAAAATCAAAGGCTTTAAAATATTTCCCAAATTCTGGGGAACAGTGAAAATATCCTATAATGAATTAAACTAACTCATACAAAAACTAACCAAACCTAAAATAACGTAATCATACTTGAACTAATTACAACTGAAATAACCTAAATAAATGTGAACTGAACTTATAGCCTGAACTACCCTAAATAAAAAAAGCGCATGAATAGAAACTGGCATATATGAAAATTAACCTGAACAAAAATTAATCCAATCCAAAAGAAATCTAGCTTTAACTAACAACAAGAACTAAAATAACCTGAACCAAAATAACATTTGATTAACAGGGACTGAACCAACACAGCCTAAATCAACACGACATTACTAACATATCTGTAAGCTGAACCAATACAACATTAACCCACATAAACTGAATTAACATAGTAATGTATTAACTAACTCAACGTGAGGTAACTTGATCTGCACAAACCACAAGTGACGCGCGAATTGAAATTGCCCTTGAATGACCAACCAAATAATATCCAACCTGAATAAAAAATTAAAACTGTACATTAATATTGTTCACCTCGGAAAAAAAAATTGGAGAACTCCTTAATAAAATAAAGACTGAAAGTCAGACATGGAGGTGAGAACACTTGGTTCCTGGTTCTGGGCTAATTCGCGTTATCAATATTCTTCAAATACAGTATTTTTTGCGGCTTCCATCACTCGCCAATTCTTGCCGTTGTCGTCACAATACAAGAGAAATTCACCGCCTTGAATTTTCCTGAACAATACTGTACTTCGGGATTCCATGCGAAATCGAGAGGAAAATGTTCAAAATTATTCGATGTATTCTGATATACATTATTTGATCTTATTTTCCTTCAGAAAGTATGAAAATTGGCGTAGAAGATGTGGGTCAGCTCCGAAGTCACTCACGTTTGGAGTGGGAATCGGAAATTCCTGCAAAGTTACTGCATTTGTTTTTCTTCTGTTTCCAAATTACAGTAAATCATTGTACATTGCAGTATTGCAAACTCGAGCTGATAACTCGTTCTTCAACGAAGGTGGAAGATAAAGGAAATACTGTATAACTTTCAGCTTAACCAGAATATCTCATTCGTGGAATTTACGTACGATATTCCCATTATCCGGTAAAAAAAAAAAAAAAAAAAAAAAAACTTTGAAGTCACGCGGGAACTAAATAACCTTCGTCACTCCGCACTTCACAGTACAGTACTGTACCGTACTGAGCCACGAAACCTTTACAGACTGACTAACCTTTCGTCGCAATCGCAATGATTCAACGTGTAGGCGCGCCAATTGTACAGTCCGTAATTTTCCGTCAGTGTGTTGATGAAGAAGGGACAATGGAGATCGTGAATGCGACAACACCGATCGGTGCTCTGGAACCCACCCAGCTCGTTTTCGTTGGTGGTCCGCGACCCGACCCCGCACCATTGGGTGCCCGGCACGCGAACGAGCATCAGCGCGTCTCTTCGAACCCTGATCATGATCGGGTTGCAAACACCATTTTTTTTCCTCAATTTTTTTTTTCATTGATACCAATGAATAAAATTATTCTATTACTGAATTTTTAGATGGGAAAATTGTACTGTATTTTCGAATCGAGAGAGAAAGAGAGAAATGCGAAACTTCCGACGGCAAAGGAATTAAAGACGTCTGAGCCTCTGGTATGATTGCACTTGAATCAAAAATTACTTTCCCAGTAAGGCAGAATAAAAATGCATCCTACAATAATGTGAGACCCCCGCATGCGGACACCTCGACATAGGGACATTTATTTTTCAATAAAAAAATCATTAAAATGGCCCAACACAGGGACACTGACTCGACATGAGGACATTACATGATAAAATTGCCAATTACAATTTTAGGAAAATTGACTTTTATAAAGCTTAATTGCAAGAAACAGATATTTTCAATCCTAAGATCTATGTGAGAAAAATGCTTTTGTACTTTTCCCATCACTTTCCCATCAATTCAGCTAATTAAAAAAATTACCTGTAGCGCAGAGGGACTTCCTTCGCTATTTGTGACTTTGATGTCATTTTACAGGTGCCAACAATTCAATGAACTGTACAGTGGTGTACTATTCAATGCTCCAAATGTTCTTATTAGGTTGAAAAAAAATTCCCTGAATCAAATTCAAGGGGCAAACAAAATTTTTTCATGGAATTCTGAAGAATATTTCTTCAATAGAACACCAATTAAAAATTATATAATGTAAGTCTATGGGAAAACAAGACTCGACATAGGGACACTCTTGATGCACCAGTTATGACCGCATCTGGGGGTCTCACAGTATTTGAATAACTCCTAGGGTAAGTTTAACAAAATAAAATCAAAATTACGTGAGTATGAATTCAAAATTTTGTATCTGCTTTGGAAGAGACCCAAAATCATATTTTAATATTACGCATATAAAAGAAACCAGACGGGCAAAAAAAAATCTAGACATGTTACTCATCTCTTTTTCCATTAATTCTAAAATTCCCAGGCTAGTCGAAGTTTCGCAACATTATGCATTTAAAAAATTTACGATGATTTCGAGGGAACGAATCAAAAGAAACGCCTTCGAAGTTCTTTCTCCTGGGCGGAACAAAAGAGAGCTAGCTGAAAATTAACTCAAAATGACCATTGAAAGAGAAGAAAAAAATTAATCTTTCATCAAACAGAAACAGTAGGTTTGAAGCATTTCTCTCCTTCACACATATATAAATCCGAAAGCTTGAACAAAACATTACGGCACGCATCTTCTGACGCTCTTTCTTCAAACATTAAATCACGCATGGTTTCTCGGCTCAAAAGTGCAGAATTATTTAGTTTCTTCAATTACAATTATAAATTCGTTCCATCATTCATCAGAAAAACAATTTCAAAGGCGTGCCTTTCAAGTTCCACATTTTTGAAAAAAAAAAAAATGTTCGAACAAGATTTGTAAGAAAACGAACCAACCACCAGAAACGTTAGGGTTCAGTCGCGTAATTCAAAGGTCCCCAACGTGAATTTCTTCAGCAGCCACTTCTTCGGCATAAGTTAACCTCACTGATGGTGGCAGAAGTACATAGTACATACCGAGAGATTCAACCACAGCTGGACACGAAAAATATTATAACAAGTTAGTGAGTTAAGAACACACTTTCAAAGAGTTGGTCGAAGCTATACGAAACATTGGGCAAAACCAATGTGTTCGTCACCTTTGGGATTGGGAAGGAAATGGTTTGGCTTTTCAACGCGTTATCGTGAATTCTTCGTCTCGGGAGGATTTTTGAGGAATACAATTTTCAAAGTTGTGACGGGAAGTGAACAGCTTTTAATTTTTATTACAACTACCAGTTTATACTCAACAAACAATTCAAAATTTGGGGATTTTTATTTTTTTTTTCTTTTTTGCGCACGAAAAGGCAACGAATTCTTTAAGGCGATATATTTAACTGCAGGAGTCCAGGAATTAATCATTCAACATTATAATTACGAAGATAACATTTCAACTTTTTCCAGATGATTATTTTAAAAAAAACGTGAAGCACCTGGAACATTTTAGCGTACGACATTTGCTATCCTCGAAATGACGAAGAAACATGATCTGACCCTTTCATGACAATACGCCAAGGAAAGCAGGGGTTTCTTTGAATCATGCTATACATAATATGATAAACAAAAAGGCTCATCGTTTCAATCGTGCTCAGAAAAAATACAACTGTTTTACAAAAGTTCGTGCAGCTGAATCTTTTGGGCAGTCGAAATCCAGTCGGTTACTGCAGTCAAAGTGCCACTGCTGAAAAAAAAAGGTTGGAAACCCTCTCTTTCTTCCTGATACAACCCAAACCAAGAGAAAAAAAAACCCTTTCCGCCGTGAATATGAAGATTCAAAACCAACAACCAAAACCCCAAAATATGTGCGGCCCTTTCCCAAAATTTGAATAGGGCTACAAAAATGCATCAAACGCGAATCGATGCGCTCCAATGTCTTCCCGAGTTTCCGATTTGAAGCTTCAAAATACGAATGCAAATGACCAAAAGATACCCAACTTTCACCTCAATATTTGTCAAGGAGCAAACTGTAACTCAAACGACGTCAAAAATTATATTCACACCTCAACTTTTTTTTTTTTTATCTGCGCTGTTGATTGCGCAGCACAACCAAGTAGGTAAAATCTCTCAATTTTGATCAACAGCCGCCACTTTGGCGGCTGTTGATGAAAATGGCGGAATTACCTTGAAAGACCTGGAGGCAACCCTTGGAATTAATGCCACGTTGATTTCAAGAATTCTGCGGGGAAAGTTGGGCTAAAAAAAAAATCTACAGGAAGGGCGCCTCATCTTTTGAGTGGAGAGCAAAACTCTATGCCAGGGTGAATTTTGCAAAACATTAAAAAAAATCTGTCAAACAGGGCTGATTTTTTGTGTGCCAAGGAATATTCCCTAAATAATAAATTTTTTTCATCTCGATTGTACGCCATTTTCATTCCTATTCCGAGAGCTTTCGTTAGAACCCTCGCATATGGCCTAAAGGACCGAGAAAACAATCCGCGTTTGCTTCATTCTCCAAAAAGTTCAAAATATTTGCGAAGACTTCGTGAAGAATCGTCAAATTGCATCGGATAACAAATTTCGGGGATATACAGCATTGTTAGAAACACACTGTACTTGACTATCAAATCAATCTCCCCGTTTCTCGACAATCTGACAATAATAAAATGATAATAATGTACTTTTTCGTCTTCTCGGAAGAACCTACAATACTAACGAAGAAAATGTTCTTCAGCATAACGCATATCCAACACCCAGTTCTGCTGGTGAAAAAAAAAAAAAAACGAAAAAATCGGTAAGGTACTATACAGTACTTCATCACGTTCGGCTGGAATTTCATCGGCTGCTGTTCGAGAATGGATATGTTTTCGTTTTTAAGTCCAAGGGGCTAGATAAAAAAAATCACCTAAAGAAGAAAAACTAATTTCCTTCATATTCTAGTTACATAGAAAAATTGAAGAGCCTCTTAGATTCGCATGCTGTACAAAAATTCGAACTACAAACTGGATATCTTCCTACTACAATATTAGGTGTAAATGAAGCTTGATCTGATCTGAATACTGTACTTAACTTCATAAAATTGTGAAAATTTGAAATATTCGGGCAAGTGATTCAAATAATCTTTTTTAAAGCAACATGGTAATCACAATATTGCTTCAAGTGTTCGTTTCACACGAGAGAAACTTGGAGTAAACAATTCCCCATTGTAATTATCTATGTTTATAGATATACAAGACCATTTTATAATATAATTTTTAAATTAGGGCAAATTTTGGTCCACCGTGAACAACAGTGCTTTTCATCTCGTGGTCTTGCTTTAAAATGGAATGTATTCAAAGGTATTTTGTTGAAATACCCTATGCCACATATATTTTTGCTTGTCTTTCTAGTCCTTGACTTAAATTCTTTCTCCTAATTGTTTCTGTAAAATGTTCTCCCATTTTATTTTATCTGTGTGCAACTGAATTAGCCGATTTAGGCGCTCACAATAGTTTTGAATCCTTTTCTAAAATAAATCGTTTTTCTATCTAAAGTAATGTACTGTATCTGATTCTCTTCCAGTGGTAGCAAAAAAATAATAATCAATGCTACCCCCTCCCCCTTTGTTTTCTTCCTCTTCTCCCGATTACCCTCATCAATCAAAGCAGCACCTTTCATCGCAGTCGCAGTGACTGACGGTGAAGAGCCGGAAGTTGAAGTATCCGTAGTTGGTCGTGAGCCCGTTGACTTTGAACGGACAATGATCGTGTTCCCGACAACACAAGTCGGCGCCAGAGTAGGAACCCACGTCTTGCCACTGGCCAGCAGAGGACCCACTCCCGCACCACTTGGTGCCCGGCATGAGGGCCTCGAAAGTCGTCGTCGATTTCGAACTGGCCCTTTTGCTCCGCTCCAACGTCCTTTTTTTTTTTTTTCGTGCATTGATTTACGGAATTAAATAAGACTGCATTCGAATATGAGATGCTACGTGCACATAGCATTTTTGCATTCCACATACTGTACGCTAATCGGCCTCACCAAGTCGAACTCAAGGGATATGAAGAATGAAACGACTAAATACGATGAAACGGACTTCAGACTAGAACTAAATGTTTATCGAATTCATTTTGAATCCGTATCATTGATTTCCCGGGCTTTCAGATGATATTCAGGTTTTTTTATTTATTTTTTGTTGCATTTATTGTCTCAGTACTTGAGAAGACTTTAAATCTTCTTTGAATGAAGATCATGCTTTTGTTCTTACATCGATTGTCTCGGTAATCGAGAATTTTCAAATCACTTTCCTTCGGGAATTCTCGCCACGTAATTTTATCAGAACGCCAATTCCATATACAGGGTGGGAAAATAAAAGTGAACTGGTTTTTGAATTAATATATATCCGTTAAAAATTAAGATACAACGATGAAAAAACACCGCGTGAAAGCTTATGCAATTCTCTTTCAACTGATTTTTGTTTTGTAGCCTCAAGTGTCATCAAACGGTCACAAAAACCGTTTGAATGAAAACTTTGAAAAAAAATTTGTTGTCACGCGACCATGGTGCACTGATGTGGATTGTCCCAATTTCGATGTAATTTTTGAGATAGCAGCTCCGCGGGAAGAGTCGCGTGAAATTTTTTTTTTTCATATTTTCATTCAAACGGTTTTTTGACACTTTTAAGACGCTTAAGTCCATAAATCAATAAAACCGTTTGAAAGATAATTGAATAAGCTTTCCTTTGGTGTTTTTCATCGTTGTAGCTCAATTTTCAAAGGATAATTCCTAATTAAAAAATCGGTTCACTTTTTTTTTGGCCCACGCTGTACGATACTTTTTTTTTCTTCAGAAATATCGTTTGAAAATGAGTTCATTTTTTTTTCTCTGAGCCACTTCGGATTTTATTTTTTTTATTACTTGTCGACGCTCCTTTTTGAGTTGACTTGTCGATTTCTGATGATTGACAAGGAATTTGAGACACATTTTAAAACCGTACGAAATGCGTCGAGCGGGCAATGTTCTAGAATTTGAGAATCGAGTTTCTGTGAGGAATTTTCTAAAAAAAATATATATACAGTACATGATCCGCCTCAATTCTAGATTTGTCGACAAATTGCACAAAACCATGCCAAATGCTAATCGCGCAGGGTAATTTTCTCGCACACAGAAATAAGATTCCCGCTTGTAAAGCATTCTAGTCTTGCGGGCTGTTCAAGCATCCTCGAAGGAACAGGAATTCCCCGGAGTATTCAACAACTGGATCCAAAAAGCGCAGGCGACAACGCAGGCAAAACCGGGGAAATGCAAGGAGAAGAGAGACAGAGTACCCTGAGGGCATAACGGGTTTTTTGGGTAAGATAATCAACGAACTTCTTAGATTCCAAGCTCCAGCTGACCTCGAAGCGCAAACGAAACCACGCAATAAATCAACGAATGATGTAACAAGCAGCAGAAATTAATCTTCTCATCAAATAATTGCAAAACTATTCAGTTGGATCAGCAACTGAAAAAGAACACCACAAGCAATTGGTGAAAAAAAATAATCTTAATCGTTAATAAAAACCCTATAAACCCCCAGCGGGGCACTTTTATAATATTCACTGCTGATCATATCAATACTTCAACGTGATTTAAAATATTTAATCGCACGCTTTGTACTACGTGATTTTACAGCTCAAATAACCATTTTTAATTTATTTTGTCGACCCTTTATAACGCTAAGAGCTTTTTAACGACGCATCGGAAACTTAAGCTAATTTTCAAGTCACTCGAAGTTAATAACGATAATCCGAACGAACTCAAAATTTAAAGTAAATACGGCACTCGAATCAATTTTTTCCGTTAATATTTCCGGCGTTAATGAACACATTGCCGCGAGAAAATCGCACACCGAACAGTAAGACAATATTTTACATCACATTGGACCAAAGTTACATTTACCAAGATCAATGAAACATTGTCTAGAAACGGGAAAAATCACAGTTACAGGGCTGTTGGCAAAAAAAAAGCCTGTTTTCCCATTTTCAAGCATCTGATAATCAATCGGTTCATGTCTAGTTGGTAAAAATTCATTATACGAAAAATTTGCAGAAAAAACCAAGAAAAGCTATGCAAGGTTATCGTTTAAAAAATGTTTGCTCACTCACTCGTTTATTTTTGCAACTACCATCCATGCAAGAAAGGAAAAAAATTAACGACTGATTTTCACATCTTCCCGAGAAAATTGGAAAGGAAGAGAAACTTTTGTAACACAATTAATGAACCAGCCCTCTCCATAAAAAATTAGGGGAGTCGTGACCACAGAATTCCACAGAACCAATTTCCAAAATCACGATCTTGCACGGAATAATACGATTATAAAATCCGAGATGAAATTAACAGCTTCAATCGAATACAGTGCAAGCAAGAAGATGAATCGCGCGGAATTTTGATTTTACTGGCGTGTACGGTTTAAATTGCATATTTTCGAATGAGCTTTTTTTCTTAAAATTTCGCAGGACAAAGCGTGAAGAACTCACGACAATTCCTCCAGAAAAAGCCCTTTGGCCTCAAAGAAGTAGGAATAATGTCGTCTGTTGGGCAACCCTGACTGGAACCCTATTATACCCTCAGTGGGGCACTTTTATAATATTCAGTGCTGATCACATCAATACTTCGAAGTCATTCAAAATACTGTATTTAATCGCAAGCTTTGTACTAGGTGATTTTACAGGTCAAATAACTATTCTTATTTAATTTTGTCGACCCTTTACAAAACGCGAAAAGCTTTTCAACGACGCATCGAAAACTTATAACTAATTTTCAAGGCAAGCAGAGTAAATAACGGTAATCCGAACGACCTCAAAATGGAGATCCGAGCCGCGTAAGTAATTAGATTCGACATCCCTTAATGTAAAAGTGGGACAAGAATTTGCATCAGATGCGCCGCTCGCCCGACAGGCATTAATCTGCATAACGATGCGTCATTACAAGCCTGCCTTCGACATCCCCCACCGCCAGAACCCCATCGAATTCCCAGTAAACTCATCATGCCTTTGATGCCCAAGACGATAAATCAATCGAAGACGAAACTTCCGAGTTGACTCGGATACAGCCCCTAAGTGCATCTGGAAACTGATCAGGGTCAAAGTCGATGCGAGTTAATTTAAAGAACACCAAAGAATAACAAAACAAAAAAGGTTCAACCGCAGACGCACAAGTCCTTACTTCATCCAAGGTTTACAGGGTTAGGTTAATGTTTATCCTAATGTCGATTGCGGGAACATGACACTCATCTTCGAGAGCCAAGCAGACGTCGTCAAGCGCCATATGATGAGAGAAGAAGTTTGAACCACTTGCGCAATTCGACGTAATTATGGCATTAAATAAACTCGAACCAATTAATACAGTTCTCCGAAACTGTGATGAATTACATTTCCGTCGATAGAACATTTGCATTGGAGTTCAAAATAATTCCTGCGCTTAAATTCTATCAATTGTTCAACTTCGTTTATTTGAATGATGACATGTTTATTGTGAGGAGAAAATGACGCAAGTAACAACCTTTTTTTCTTCTTCAGAACAGAATTAAAGTTTCAACATTTAAGGTCTCAATATACGAGGGTTCCAACAAACGTTCTCGGAATAGTAATTAAAATGGCATATAATTGAGCTGAAAAGAAAATTATTCTTTAGGGAAATCATATTCACAGCCACCACATTGGCGACTGTGAAGGCGGCTGTTGATGAAAATGGCGGAATGGCCCTGGAAGACCTGGAGGCAATCCTTGGAATTAATGCCGCGTTGATTTCAATAATTCTGAGATGAAAACTGGGCTACGACAACAAAATCTGCAGGAAGGGCGCCTCATCTTTTGAGTGGAGAGCAAAACTCTGCCAGGGTGAATTTTGCAAAACCTTCAAAAAATGTTGTCAAAACAGGGCAGATTTTTTTTCTTGTGCCAAAGAATATGTTTTCTTTAAAGAATAACTTTTTTCCCAGCTCAGTTATATGCATTTTTAGTTACTATTCCGAGAGCTTTTGTTAGACCCCTCGTACTGTCCTTGATTCCGCGCAGGGTTAACTATTCTTTGAATCCGTTGAAAATGACCAGCAAATTTTATAATTTTCAATATGTTGTTCATAGCTCTTGGTGAACTCCGGCTGCAACCAGAAAGTTTATCTTTCGAATGAAGCAATGACAAACATTTTTCTTTCTTTCAACAATCGGAAAATATCAAACGATGTGAACATTACAGTTTAAAAATTTTAAACAATTGCTGGATTTATTTTTCAACGATTTTAGAAATAATTTTCACACGCTGTAATGGGACTGTATGATTACTACAGTACATGACAATTTCAATTTGTCCATGCTTTTTTTTTAAATAAAAACCTACCCGACAAAAATTTTGAAAATGGCTGAGCCTATTTTGATGCACGTCTTCATGCCTTTGACGCAAGATTCGAAACACACAAATTAAACCTTTTTCCACGGCTATACGCAGAAAAAAATTAGCGTTCACTAAAATGGTGTAGAGTGTATTTGGAGTACTGTATTGCATTGTGAAAAATGTGGACAAGCGGATAACTGTTGAGAATTTGAGTTCAATTTTTTTTTCGTCGGATTGTAAAATTACTGATTCATATTTCAGACTTCCCATCAAATAACTTCACTCCTTTTAAGAAAGAAAAAAAAAGCACTCGAGAACGTTGTACAGCTCGACTACATGAATTTGTAGAGGCCAAGAAAACGTTGCAGAAATGAATTTTTTTTTTCGAAATTTATTTGCAGAAATATTTGGTTAAAGATTCCTCATCACACAATAAATTGATTTTTCCGCTATCCAAATTCTCTCACAATTTTCCCACGGGTATAACCCTCGTAGTATATTTAAAATTCAGGCTGAATTTCATTTCTGACTTACTACTAAGCCGTATTCGAGAAGAAACGAGGAAATGAGACTCCGAATATCCCCAAGCAAACAGGAAGAGCTCGCGAGAGGACGTGAATTCATGGGAGTACAGGAGTGGTGTTCCAGAAGAAGAAAAAAAAAAGGACATTCTGGGGGACTATTCCACTGTTCAATTAACATGGCATTAATTATGCATGCACAGGGTGAACATTTTGCCTTTTAAGTCTCGCGGAAGTGCCATGAGAAAACAAGTTCTTCAAAAAGCAAGGATAAAAGGAATTCCCCGCAGGGCATTTTTTCATTATTCCAAGAACCTGCTCGTATTTCGTCCTGTTCTACTCGGAATGGGGAAATGCATGCAGTAATGAATTTCGGCAGATGGGAAATTCCTTACAAGTTTTGCGAATCACAGACAAACCTGTTACTGCAGTTCGACGATGAAACGGAACGTACCCTTTTCCAGTGTTATACAGTGTAATTTTTCCGGTTAAAAAAATACAGTACTTGCATTCAGAAGATGCGAGAAATACATACATAGCCAAATTAGTTTCGTGTGATTTCCATCTAGGGAAGTAAAACTGCGTTCGCTTATTTACTTTCTTTCAAGATTTGGCTGATTATCGTCATAAAACGGCGGAAAACTTGAAAAATCGTTGCCGAAAAATATCCTGTCAGAGATTCTTATACATTACTGTAATGGAAAGTGCCCAAAAATGACGAATTGTGACGAAAAATGATTACCGTATCGCTAATGCAGTTCTTCAATAAGAGCAGTTTTAGCCAAACTTGAGGAAAAGTCCCCAGAAAAATTTTAAGATCGCCACAAGACTGATGCGGGTTATTTTCGTTGAATATCCTCGTGGAACTCCGCACGAATAATTTCCGTCTACACCTCAATTCCGTCTCTCTGTATATTTTTATGCATCAATTCGTCAGCAAACACAAATTGAAATTAATCAGCAAGTAACATTTCTTAAACACCCGACAAAGAAATTCCAGACGCATGATTTCTGAGAAGCTCCTCGTCCAATATGCGTAACGGGTTCTCTGTGAAATGCTATTTTTCAGCACCGTCGTCGAGCGCTAGAATTCGTTCTTCGGAATGCGTACGAGAAACATGAATAATTTATACTGCGTTACGCTTTGAATAACTTATTTCTAGACGCCTTCTGAGGCTGACTTTCGCTCAAAATCGATTACCGCAAAGGGAGCAAAAATTCAGAATACTGATGGCAGGCTACAGAAAAATCCCATTTTGAATAACGTCAAGGGCACGACCACCAATTTTTTCTGAAAAATTTTCCTCTTTTCTTAATCAAGTTCGATTCTTGATCCCACGTCAATTTCAGGGAATTTCGACTCAGAAATGTCGGCATCAAAAGAACTCGATTTGATGAAAAAAATACATTCTCAAACTGCATTTTTTAAATACGATCCATGGGCATTCGTCCATGAAATATCATTCATTACCTAACCTTCGTGAATCCTCAGAGCAGAGATTCTCTTTCAGTGCTCCGAGAAGTAATAAGGGCTCCTCGTGTTAACTTTACAGGGGCTCCACGAATGCTCAAGAAACAAAATTTTTTTATTTCATTTTGGATTCATTCTAATACAAAGAGTTCATGGAGCTCCGTCACATAATTTCAATTCAACAGAGGCCCCAGAAAAGAGATTTAAAGACTCACACTCTCCACAACAAAATTCATGGAACCAGAAAAAAAAATCGTTGTTTACAGAATTTCGTCGTAGGGAACCTTTTAAATACGGTTAGAGACCCATACTTGAAAATGAGATCAAAACAAAATCGTGATACAGAGAAAACCGTCGCAGACAAAATCTTCGTAGCGGTCCTTGCAATTTAAAAAAAGAGGGTAAAAATATTGAGAAACTCATCCTCAAGAACCAATGATTTTTAAGGGAACACACGCATTTCCTTAAAAATCAAGCCCCGAAACCAACATTTGATACGAATAAGCCACAAGCTGAGTGAGACGTCAGCTCAAAATACCCCAAACATGAAAAATTAAGGTTATTCCATGCATGCGAGGAAGCAAAACGAAACAAAAATCACCACATGCGGGATTCCCCCAAAAAATAAAATACGTAGTAAAAAAAAAAAAAAAATAAAAAGCGAAAATGTACTCACCGTTCCAAGTCATCGTGACTCGTGGAATTGCCTTCGGACTTGACCTGCGATTTCCGAAGCCCCGCAGCAGCGCTTTTCATTCGCTTGTGAAGTCGTTTGCAAGCCCTGCGAAGGTGTTTGTAGTTGACCAAGTCTCGGACATTGTCGTCAATGTCGACAATGCTTTCCAAATGCCGCAGCGTCACGTTCATGCCTTCCAAGTGGGCTCGACTCGAAAAGGTCTCAGTTTCATCCTTGAACCGTTTACGGAATTCCGCCGACATTTCCGCATCGATCATGTATTCACAGTCCACCAGTCGACTTTGATCGTCGTATATGAGTTGGATGAACTTTTTCCCACTGGCCACTTGCCACACTTTCGGCCCTCGGATCGGCCTGCGAATACAGGGCATCAGACAGAAATTTGACACCGGCGACACAGTGTTAAAAACGCTTCATTCGTTGAAATAATTTCTCTTCATATAGCCAATAATTTGTGATTTTGTTTCAAGCAAAAGCACCAAGTCCTTAGCAAGGATGATCGAGAGTTTTCCTATTATTCGAGATCAGGCACTCCAACTGACAACCTCGATTTAGTGACATCTATACATTTCGTGGCACTAAATTTGGGGGTTTTGTCTAAGAATAAGGTTTAATTGAGGGGCTTTAACATAGGAAAAATAAGCTTTTTTGCAGAATTATTAGACCAATGAGTGTTTCATAAGAGAGAAAACCAAAATTAATACTGCAATTTGAAGCTCTAATGCACCATTTATCTCTCCTATATTTCAATATATTTAATACGACAGAATATACTGTATTAGATTTTTACAAATATTGTGTCTAGTGAAAAAGCAGAGCCGTTTCTTGAAATTCCGTTTGAATTTGAATTTCCTCATCAGGTACTTTTATGCAGGAATCACCAATGTTTCCAAGAAAAGGTTCCACTTCATTTATAAAATTTTCAATTACAGAAAGTGCCATGAAACAAAATTATTTTTCAACGTGTAAATACAGATATATAATTTTATGAATTATCTCAGAGTTTGTATCTGAGTATGGGTACGGGATTCTCAGTAATAATTCGATCGTATGCCTTGCAACAGGCCTGTATTTCTTCAATTTTAGCCCATTTTTCACTCCAGAAAAACACACATTTTGTTCCACTTCATGAGTTGGCACTGATTTGGGGTTTCTCTCAAGAACATAATTGAGGGACATTTCTGGCACTAAATCGAGGGTTGAATTTAATTTTCAAATACGGTCGGAGATTACTTTCAAAGCTGAATTATACTCGAGATTTTCGGAAATGCAAACTCACTGAGCAGTGTCGTTTGAAGAAACGCCAGTTTCGAGAGCAAGAATTCCACGGAATTTGATTCTGCGCTCGATTTCTCCATCGCTCAGAGTATCCGTGAGAATGAAATCATCTTTCGTCGTCGAAACGATTTCATTGTCTACTTGAGCACTGGACCCCAGCGAGGGATTGAGAATCAGCAGAAATAAAACAGCACAGACCAATTTTTGCATCGAGTCCAGATACTTCATCTTTCCCGAACTCTTCACTGTCACTTTTTTTCTACGGAAAATCAGATGAAAGAAAGTAATCCCTTATGAACGAAATTTAAGGGACACACATTTTTGTTTTAGAGAGAATTTCGTCGCATTGAGGATCGTCAGAAATAAAACAGCACAGACTAATTTTTGCATTGGGTCCAGATACTTCATCTTTCCCGAAATCTTCACTGTCACTTTTTTTCCACGGAAAATCAGATGAAAGAAAGTAATCCCTTATAAACGACATTTAGGGACAAAAAAGGGACAAAAAAGGGTTGTAGAGAGAATTTTTTCGCGAAGGACACCTTTAACATGGGGAGAAACCCCTATGGGATGAAAAAATCTTCATACATGGAAAATTGTCAAGGAAAAGATCGTGGGAATCCACTCGTACGGTATTAGATTTTTTTTTACAAATAAATACTGCACTCTCAAAAAGTCGATGATTTAATAATGAAGACTTTCCCGTTTTCGATTCTTCATGTTCAGCTGAAAGACGAACACCAAGTTTTCTCCCGAACTTCCAGGCTCGAATTCGACTTAAAATCTCTCCGGAAACAAAGATTCATTCATAAATGTAACCATAGCAAAAAAAATTGGCTTAATCGTAAAAAAAATTTTTTTGAGAAAGCAAGTAAAACTTGTAAAAATGACCATCATAAGTTCGTTTTAAAATTTACGACAAACAGCAAACCAAAACGATGAAGTCAGTTGACATTAACTGAACAGTCTTACGTTTCTGAAAATAGAACAAAAATGGTTCCTGGCCTCAGATGGAACCGGGTTTTACAATTGAGATAGCGCTACAGTACTTGTGACCTAGGCTAGTCACCTAAGGACATCAAATGAATACGTAACACATATGCAGAACTTCACCTGCACATTTAAATGTTTCATTGACATTTATCGACGAAATAACCCTATTTTCCAACAAAAGCTCCAATTACGCATCCTCCTTTGCTCAGTTTTTAAAAGAAGTTATGAACGCATGAGCTACTCAGCAGAGAATATAGCCCATATCAGAGAATAAGTGACTTAATGCTCTTTAAATGGATTATTCCGCGTGAAACTCGGTCATGGCCACACGTACTACCAGTGGTACTTGTTCTAGTGGTTTAAAGTTAACGTCCTGATTATACGAATATCATGCGATCAAATAATTTCCATAAATGAATCTAATTCGATTGGGAGAAATGAACGATCTGCTTTAAATCGGAATAATAAAGTCGGCGTTCCACGGCATCCGTTTTCAACAATAATTTCTTGATATTTTAAAAATGAAATCATTCAACAAAATAACTGCGGGGCTCTAAGATTACAACAAATTCCGAAACGGTCGTCAGATTTATTTCCAGGTAACGCAATTATCGAGGAAACGCGAAAACCAACAACTGGAAAAAATAATTACAATGCTTTAAATCCGGCTGACAAAAAATCCGCGGTCACTGAACCCGGTTTGAGGGAAAATCAGCAAGAAAAGAAGGAAAAAAGTTTCAATTTCTGAATTGGAGGGTTCGATTCGTTTCAGTTTTCGCGTATTTGAAAAATGAATTTTCTTCAAGTGAGACTTCACTTCGTCTTGATATCTCGAGAGAGGAAAAAAAAAGGAATGAATCGGTTTCACCCACCGAAGTCTCCATAAGTTTTTCATTGCCATAGTATGGTGTTTAATTTCTTCATTCATATCTCGTTTCCGCGGTAAAACTTCATAAGTCTTCGCTTTCGTATCTATAAACAAAAGAAAGTTGAACCTTAATAATTCGAATCTCCTCGAGTCGAACTTTTTTCCAGTCCCCGTCTAAATTCACTTTGAACCAATGCATCAAAAAACCTCCCATAACTCAAAAGGTTTTTCCTCTCAAACCTCGTAACTCGCTTTTTCTGAGGCCTTCTGGCTATTAATTTCTTTACAAAAGAAAGAAAAAGGCAACAAAAAAGTAACGACGTAATTTGACAGGAAATGAAAGAATAATTGGGCCAATGGACCCTTGTCTCCAAGTTCAGCATCCCATTAACTAATTTGAGAAGTAATTCAATGCCCAGAATATCACTATTTACAATTTCCTGAAATTCTTCCATGTTTCTCACAACAAAAAGCTTGCTTTCCTAACTCAATTATTCCTCAACTCGAATCCTCCTCAAGTCTTATTTTTTTTTTTGTCCCTTGAAATTCGACTTGCAGAGGTTCGACTTTATGTCGACCCACAAGAAAATAGAACAACCCTCTCTACACATTCAATTCATATACAGAAACAAAGCTCCACACAATTTCCACAGAGCAAAAAACGTCAACACTCGACAGACGCAAAATCCACAAAAAAACCCGCCTTTTTTTTTTTTTGGTTCACTCCCGGTTCAAACACCCGCTCCGTTAAGCAAAGAGCACCGCACGAAAACGTCAGGCTACTTTGTTTGCAAATAAATGCAAATATGGACAGAAGCTCACATAAGTCAGCGTATTGCGGATGCGCAAAGCCGCCAGTTCCGATGGCTGCCTTCCTACCCTCAGGGCACACTCACTACTAATGCGTACTTCAATGCACACTCCCATCCGGGGATGCGTGAGACAGATACCCGCGCGGGTATGGGTCGGGTTTTTTTTTTTCCTATACAGTATTCATAGAGTTGAGAGGGTTTTTCAAAAAGTTTTTTTTACAGCAAACCGCTGCTGCGTCGATTTTTTTTCAAGGTGCCGAAAATTGATGTTTGACATGGGAATAATTTCTGACGCCAAAATGTGTTTATGAGGGATACATAATCACATGTGAAGTATGTTAGGATACGAGATACCCCACGTACTCAAATATCACGTGTCCTCCAGTAAGACAAGAAACTGAGTTTTTTTCAGCCAAAAATTTCGATGAAAACCTATTCCCACGTAAAACACAAGCCCAATTTTTCATTGACTCAAAAATTGCAATATTTTGAATATAAAACGCATAAAAATAAGATCTTCGACTATAAATAAACCTGAACTCGATCAATTCTAAATTGTTTCCAATTTTTATACATTTTTTTATAAAAATGGGTCCAAACGTCTCGAAGTATGACGTACAAATACAGTACAATTAAAAAAATCGTATACCCACCTCAGACGCAATACATTTTGGGAAAACGTTTCCCAAAATACTGTACTGTACTAGAAAGAACCGTGCGCCAGAAATCTGGTAGGTTTAATTTGCAGGTTAAACATTTTTGCGCCAATTGGAATGGCACTACTGATTTAAAAAAAAAAAAGAAGCACACTTCATCAATCTTGTAGCACATGCATTAAATGTAATCAAAATTCCAAAATCGATATTTCTCTCCGATTATCCCCTTTACACTAAGAAAACACGGAACATCAGGCATAATTTGAATCTGTGCCTCAAATCACTAAGACGAAACGTTTCACTCAGGAAAGAGATATGTGGAGATGAGAGGAACGTAAATGACAATGCAATTTAACAAAATTTCAGAATTTTTGGATGATAAGAAAATTGTAAAATTGACAAAATACAAATTAACATAAAACGACCTTTTAACCTAGTGAACACTTTTGAAATTGATTCAAATTTTGGGATTGCATTTATCAAGCATTGCTTCAAACCTTGTGAAATCTTCAAACTTTTAGAATGAAAAAAGAAGTTTCTATTTAAAAAGTAACACATTTTTAATTTTTGAAAATGAGAAAAAATCAATTTACAGTAATATCTACTTCTTAACCATCCCTAGAATCACCAAAGACACAAAATACCTTCAAGTATACATTTCTAAAATGATGTCTGGAACTTCGAAAATGATTTTTTACAATTGCCTCATTTTAAATTAGTTTCATCAAATTTTCTAAAATGCGAAGACTTTTCGCTTCATTCACGACTTGAATTAAAATTGTTTTAAAGACACGAGGGACGTCGAACAATGGACACAATACAGAAAACGATCTTTTCAACTATCCCTGGAATCAGCAAGACATGAAATACCACTTGACATGAACTTCGAATATGATTGCATGCAACCTAAATACCTCATGGTGAATTCGTTTCATCAAATCCACTGGAAGTTCGAAGCTTTTCCAATTTATTCACTACTCGAATCCACCTTTTCGGAGAGATACAAGAACGTCAAACCTCATCCTACGCTCTCCAAATGAAATCACACCATTTTCAATAAGGTAACCCAGTGTAAAGGGTGAAGCTGGTCAAATAGAAAGTGTAAAGATTTTCCACTTTTTCATCACGAATCGAATTGACCTCCTCGGAAGACGTACGCGGACGTCGAACCATCCTACGGCTCTCCAAGTAAAATCACACCAACTTTCAAGTTCGCCCAGTGTACAGGATGAACTGAAGAAAGAAAAAAAAAAAAGCTAAGAACTTTTTTCCGGGAGTACAGGGAGCGTGAGAACTGCGACGTGGGTTAATGGAATGTTCCAGAAATCCGAGCGGCTGAGGGGATATGAGAACCGCCCGTATGGCACACGCGGGAATCCACATGGGTCGCCAGTCTAAGACTCACTGGTGGTGGTTTCCCATTCCTCTCTTCTTACACTCCAATATAGCTCCTCCATCCGTATACAGTATCGAATATGCGGGCTTTTGCGGAGTCATTCAAATAAGATGCCACTACGGGAAGAAACCGGAATGACTGGAATTTCACAAGGTTTGGTTGATACACAATGGCGAAGGATATGAGGAAGGGTGAGCAGAAGGGTTTCCTACCAGAGATCTTGGAGTTCCGGTTCTACTTCTACCAGAAACTGGTTCTATTCCTACCATACCGGGGCTCCCTGCCACCTTTCATTCTTGTCTTTTAGAGGACATCTGTCTTTAGTTCAAACATCTTAAAATGGGAAGTGAGACCCCCAGATGCGGACATAATTGGTGCATCAAGAGTGTCCCTAAGATCAAGTATCGTTTCCCCTTAGACTTAAATGGTATAATTTTTAATTGGTGTTTTATGGACAAAATACTCACAATAATTCCGTGAAAATAAAAATTTTCTCTCAATTGAAACTGATTCAATCAATATATTTCAACACAATGTGGACATTTGGGGAGCGTAGGATGAGGTTTGACGTTCTTGTATCTCTCCGAAAAGGACAATTTTAGGGTTGGAAATATCTGTTTCTTGTAATTTGGCCTGAAACTTATTTGCTATTTCATCACAAAATGTCCCTATGTTGAGTCACAGTCCCCATGTCAGATCTTTTTTTATTAATTTTCTATGGGAAAATAAGTGTCCCTATGTCGAATTGTCCGCATGTGGGAGTCTCACTGCATAATAGTTTATACTTTATATTGATAAAATTGTTCAAAGTTGGTTGACTTTGGTTAGGTTAGGTTATTAAGGTAGAAATCCATCACACAATCAAATAAGCTGGTAGGAAACCATTCCGTAGACCATGAGGAAGAACGGGAGATAAACCTGTGCTGGATGTCCCCTTTTTCTGCGTTCCGGAAAAACTGCTGCTTTTTTTCAGAAACGGAAGGGATAACAAAATTATTTTGTCCGATGAAAATAAGGCTTATGAATAAATTTTAAAGTACCATATTTTCAAAAACAAAATAGTTCGTCACACGAAGGCAACAAATGAAAACAGATGGACTCTCTCCTAGAAGAAATTCTCTATACAACGATTTTTTTCCGATTTCTCAAATTTCGTTGTCCGCCTCCTTTCCGAAGATTGTAGAACTGTTGTTTTCTTGAGAAACATAAGCACGATATTCTCAAATAGTTTGGTCGTAGGAAAGAAAGACTTTCGGCTCTATTTCAAACTTTCATCGGGACGCATGCACATTTTCGAAGTTCTCTGACGAAAATGGACCACACATGAATTTTAAAATTGCGTGCATTAAAAATAATTAAATCACGAACTCAAAAAAGTGGAACATTTCCAATGGGCTTTAAGGCTACCTGTACAGTATTATAAACATTGATATCTTGTTGGGACACCAGGGTTCTTTCAAAAGTTCTATATCCGATTTTGATAAGCCCTCGGATAAACGTCACAACGGCTTATAATAAAAAAAAATTCAATACAGAGACATCGCAAAAAACCCTGAAACATCCCTTATTGGGGTTTCAGAACATTTGTTGAGGGACAAAATTATTTTTTCTAAGTCTCGGTCCGACGATAAAATTTATTTCTGAAATCAACTTCAAAATGTGTTACACTTCAAAAGCATGCTTCAATACAAACCCATGACACAAAGTCGAAAACGTGATACGTCTCCTCATGAAGTTTTCAGAAAAATTGTTGATTTCTTAAAATCTATTGTATATAAGGATATTTTCAAATAATGCTCTTAATCAGAAGAAAAAATAACCTGTCATCAACTTCAAAAGGGGTTACATTCCAAAAAAATTCTTCTGTCGTATGATTGCTGTGAATTTCATTAATTTTCATGTTCACGAATCTATACCCGGCGGAATATATTTGAGACTATCTTTCTCATTCAAAATTTTACTGCTCACTCACAAAGCAATGAAAATCAATTCGCCGTAACGGAATAAATTCAGGTTTGATCGAAACACCTTCTTTCACCTCAGATTGAAGAAGATTATGAAAATGCGCTTCGTAGAATAGAAATTGCGTCGTATCTGAACGCAAAATTCTTCCTGAGTTGCCAAGAAAGTGATGGAATACCCAGGAGAACAGCTGCTGTGTTCGATTGCTGGAACATTTTTAGAATTCACCTTTTTTGCTGCAAATTTGAAAGAGGGACTGAATGAAGCTTTCAGGAGGCTCTGCGAAAAATGTTCCAACAAGTCTTTGGTGAAGACTTGTTTTGTTTACTCCAAAAAATTGACCCATGAGTGTACTGCATTGTGCTCTCGAATGTTACACGGCGACAATAAAGTATCATTCTTTATTCTTCCATCAGTTAATTTTTAACGTTCGTAGACAGGAAAAAATTAGCGGGAAAAAAAATTGTCTTCGTTTCCTCCCATTAGTTTTCTCAGATTTTTTTTCAGACAGTGATCTGACTTTTCCGCAGGTACTCAATATTTCTTCGTGAGCCGTGTCTCCGTTTTTAAAAGCTGCTCGGATCAAGTTTCCCGCGGTACTCGAAGCATCACTTTTTTCAAAAATTGTCTTTTTTTTTATTCGACACGCACTTACATTTTCTCCTCATACAGTAGTAAAATATTCAAACTTTATGCCTCTCTCCTGAAACATTCGTCGCAAGGCTGACATTCATGGACTGAATCGTAAGCATCGGAGCACTACTAGAATCATTGAATTTATTCATTTATTCAAAATTCCTTCACGAAAAAAAAAGATGAAAACTTAAACGAGCTTCATTAAATCTTGCAATCAATTCCAATTCAGGTCGTCTCTCAAATAAAATAAAAAGATGCGTCTAGTAGAGTGTGTCCAGAATCTGAAGATGCAATGAAGAATGTCTTGGAAATAATTTTTACAGTTGTACATTTGTCAAAGGATACATTTGAAATTACTAACTGATCAAGAACATCGTCAGCTTGCAACAGTGCTAGCTATCACATTCCAAGCTTTTTTTTTTTTATTCGTCCGAAGACTCCAAACGAAACTACGTCGGGGCAACATTTGCTACTACTGAACATGAAAGCACGGTCTGCTTTCAGACATTTAGACTGGCATTGCGAGTCTTTCAATAAAAAAATCAGCAAGGCAAAGGTTCTCGAATTAATACACTTGAAAAACGAGGAAGAAATACATACCAATGGATCCATTTCAACATTCGAGCGTGGTCAGGTGATATCATGAAACCACAGTCCTCGGAGGCGCCAGACAAAATCCCACCTCATCGTCGCTTCATTCCACGACGATCTTCCCAGGCTGTTTTGCTTTCTCAAGTGCAAATGAATTAACTCACAATGCATCTTCAGTATTCCGAAAATGGACATCTGCGAAATATTTGAAATAATGAAACAAAACCCATAACGATTTTTCGCTTGTAATCGATTAAAAATAAAACACGTGACGAGTGTGGAAGTCGTGATGTATTCAAACGAGTCAGTAAGCAGGACACGAAGGTCACACCCCAAACGAGACGCACCCCCGTTCAGTAGCTCCGGAAGTAAATGAGGGAATGCAGGGAATTTCCACAACACGCGCCAAAAAATTGGGTCCCATGAATATAAAAAAAAAACTTTCAATGAAAAGGAACACAATCCATTCACCGTCTCTTGGACACCCTCAACACCGTTCCGTAATATTTGCGGGTATCACAACTGGACAAACGTTTTCCTTGGACTTTCGTTCGACCGCGGAAAAAAAGGCACCTCGATTGCGCTGATATGCTGGTTATGCACGAGATTCACAACTAACGCTGCCTTCAGGGCCTGAATTCACGCCACAACAAGGGTGGACCCACATCGGAAACAATTCTCAGGTAATAATGTTCATTCCATCACATGTGAATATTAGTAAATGATTCCTCACACACATTCACGCTATCTCTTCACTAATGCGAAATAAGAATGAAATTCTAAACGTTCTACGCATTTCAAACAAAGATAAAAATACGTCAGGTTTGAAAACATTCCCCAGCGAGAAGAGTGGTCTCGATAAATATCTATTGATATTCAAACCGTCAATCTTCAAGTCATTCTCCTACAAAGTATTAAAAAAAATGTTAATGTGCCATAAAATGGATGATGTCAAATCTTATAAGGAGAAAAAAAATTATAAATCTTCCCCATGATGAAGCTGGAGATTTTATCTACGCTACTCCGTGAAAAATTTTTGAGGGGGTTATTGCATCAGTGGTGTTTTCCTCATTAAGAAGTACGTAAAAAAAACTCTCGATAGATGTGACATCTGCGAAAAAAAAAATGGTTGTCGATTCCATGAAAATTGGAGCAAAGACTCGAGATAAATGGAATTCAATGTACTGTACAAGACCCTAACCAACAATTAAAAATGGAAGCCCGGGATTTTGAAAAATTGATTGAAATTAAATATGCTCCAACACGGGTAATCATTAAAATTCTAGATTTTAATTATCTTAACATGTTGAAGAAATGCTAATAATTTTGTCACGGAAAACGAATAATTTAATTGGTAACTCCTTGTCTTTGGTGGCCTCCAAGGATTTGGGTGTTTCGCAAGACTTCTGAAAGGTCTTTCGTGCGTATTTATGCAAGAGTTGCTCCAACACCAATGTTCCAGCGACCTGAAAAAGTCAGGTTTCAAGACAGTTTTTTTATTTTCCATGGACTAGATATCGCTCTATTCGAATCTCTAAAAAGATCAATTCTGTATTGTGTCAATTCTTACTGTAAATTAACCTTTTGGATAGTCATTTCATTCCGCAAACCTCAAAGTCAGCTGCCATCACGATGTGAAGCACTGAATTTTGACCAGAGTCTAAAAATTATCCGGGCATTCAAACTTGATTCATGAAGGAAAAAACGTACATTCCATCATGCAAAAATGAATAAAAAGGTAACACGCTTTTTCACAAGATTGTCGAATAATTCATACCATCGACAGAGAAACTGTTTAAAATCCTGATATCGGAAAAATTCGACACTTTCACCGGTAAATTTATTACCAGAGCTGCGACAGGAAGGAAGGCAGCGTCTTTTTCGATGGTAAATCAAGCAGTGGATTTCATCAATGGAAGTTCTTTGGACGAAGCAAGCTCGGCAAAACTGGCGCAGATTTCGGAATCGACTTGAATTTTTTTTTTCATTTTTTAAATCATACAATTTCCACTTACAGATAAATCGGTAGCAACAGATAATCCAATTAAATTCGAGACAAAAAGCACGATCACTACAAGAAATCCTTACTTGACTTTAGCGACGTAAGAAAAATCTCAGAATAACCCTGAACTATCACAAGTACTTACAGGAAGCAAACCAACGCAATAAAAGAATAAGACTTCGCTTCAAGGTAAGCACATGCGAGATGGAAGACGAAACCGTGGTAAAAGACAATCAGATCGACTTAGTCTTGCCAAATTTGACTCGGGGGTTTTTTTTTTTCCTTTTCCAATCAGCGCCCGATGATGTGCGGTTCATCTTCGATAGCCCAATCGTCATTCGGAGCTCGATCGCGCTTTCGTTTTCTTGAGCAAATGATGAACGTGATGCCACAGCCCAAGTAGATAATGAACACGAGCCAGGCAAGCATGTAGGAGAAACCGTAATGCCAACTTGCGTTTTCAGGGTGTACAGCAGGGAAATGTGTCCTCGCGTACTCAACGCCTTGCGTGGACACTTCGAGAACAACAAAGACTGCCGCAGCTGGAATTTTTGAAAAAACGTCACGTCAACCAAACTGACGATCAGAACTGGTATTAATGACGCATAAAAAAAAGTTTCGAACAAGAAAATTCAAGTTTCAGCAAAATCAGAGCATATAAATTGCACCAGGAATTTTCTTATTAGTAGCAAATAAAACTCGCTCTCATAATATAAGAGGAAAACGGGTTTTCAACTGGAATGCCCGAACTGGTTTTTCAAACGTCCAACGTATTTCACCAGCATTTTTATCAAGAATGAACAACTAAACATAGATAACGTGACCTTTTAATACAAAAAAATGTAATTCACCCAACACGAAAAAATACATAATCTAATCAAAAATACAGTATACAGTAGTAAATTAGACCTGAACAGACGTCAAAAAAATTGAGACGATATCTACACGACTGTGAAGAAAATCCCACATTCGGGAAAACCGGGTGCTCTAGTGAAGAACCGTACAAAGAGGAAAATTCAAAAAAATGCCACTGAACCGAGTGATTTTCTTTTCCCTCGTCAAGGACATACTTTGAATCGCTCCTCTCCAGAAATTCAGGAAACTTTCAAAAATCAGTAAACAACACCTAGTTGGTTGCACTGACGGAAGTTACAGGTTCCCTACAGCAATATTATTTTGAATTGAATCATGCAGCCGAAATATGAGGTGGAAATTTGCAACTAAAAAATTATTCTCCGGTCCCTACATTTTTCACAGTAAACCGAATTAACAAACAATGTAAAGGCAAAATACCTCACCTGTTATGAAAAGAATAGCTCCAGCCAACCGTTTGTACATATATCTCGTTTCTTTAAAGGTGTACACGGAGAATCCGATTCCAAGCAGCATTAAAATCAGGCAAATAAACGCAAATAGAGCTTCTGTTCTCGTGAAGTCTGCAAACGCGAAGCGAAATAAAATTTTCATGTGAACACGCAGAACAAACATGTTACGAAACAAATGTACAGTACTGTACAGTATTTGTTTCTTCAAGAAATGAAAGGATTACCTAAAAGCGTTTCATCATAGTATTGGTTTCGGCGAATCGTTCGTTTCGACGGAAACAATGGCTGGGTTTTGCATGTAGCTGAAAAGAAGAAAAATGTACGTAATTTTCTTCGTAAAAATGAATTGACTTGAAAAAATTCACATATCCTGAAAAATAATAATATAAAGTACTGTACTTGAAAATTTCAAGATCTGATTCTAACCACCGGTTTTATGATCAACACTAACAATTATGAAATGAAAATTAAAAATGCCACTCATTCCACGAAGAGCTCACATCTTGAAATCCGTAGCCAATATTCCATTCCACTATTTTATGTAAAAAGAAAACAAAATTTCAAATTTTGGTCTCTTATTCGTTATCCAAGAAAATGAATTGCCTTTCCAGTGAAGGCACTTCACCGAAAAGCAGTAAATTTCAGTTGAAGTACTGTATACACACTACGTGCATATTTTTCAAACTTTTCAAAGCTTTGCGAATGTGTATTTTGAACCTTTGGCAGTACAAATTTAAGAAAGTATCCTATGACTGTACCTCTCGTAGCGTGCTCAACACGAAGTCCGATGAGCAGTTATTAAATTGGCAGAAAAGACAATTGCCGAAACTCGAAAATTGTAAATCGTCGATCATTTTTCGAAAGAGCGTCAATGAATACCCAAATGTTCTTGTAGAGGTTTTAATTGCATCTAGGCTACATAAAAAAAGCTCAACCCTTCCACAAGAATTTACGTGTTCTGTCAATATTTTCTCCTATCAAAAGCATGAGGAAAATTTGTCCAACACCTCAAAACTCACTCAATATAATAGCAGTTTGTACATTGGGATTGCTTTCATTGTGACTCGCCGTCGTCGTGTTCTTCAACTCCGTAGTACATACGTGCCAAATTCCACGGTTGCTTCGCAAGAAAAGCAACCCAGTTTTTGGATTCAACGAACCTTGCGGTGAATCAATGATAAACCAATAGTCCGTCGCAATTGCAATGATCCAGATTAGTAACCCAACTACGGTTACCCCCGTAGTTCCTATGAGCACTCGGCGCTGAAAAAGAACCGCGCGGGCGGCAGCTTTGTGCGTGAGAGCCATTCTGAAATTTAGAAAAAATCATTTTCTCACGATATCCACCTTGGACCAATAAATTTCCTGAGAATTTACCTCAACTAACTGCTCACTCGGCTGACTCAAAACTCACGCGCTCGTAAGACAAAAAGATCACCGATTTTCACAACCTCACATCAGATATAGAAGAAAATCAACGAGATCCTGAAAAACAAATACGAAACCGAAAATTAAGATACGTATTAAATGCTTCTCCTCACACAAAAAAATCCAGCGATTAAACTTTGAAAAAAGGAAAATATTTGGCATCGACTAATGCTGCTGCAAAAATTCTTGAATCTCCTTCACATGCTTCGGATCAACAGACGATTTTGGAGACTTGGCAAAAACCTCAAGGAACAAGTTCTGCGATACAGAGGTAGCTGACATTGAAATAGCTTCCATCGCGGTCTGAAAGGATGAATAAATAAATATGTAGTTTTTTCACATTTGATTCGGTAAATAATTTAGTTTTCAATGTTATTAAGTAACAATACAAACAACCAAGATCAACTTACTTCTCTCACAAGGTTCTCAAGATCAGCACTACTCCAACCCTCTGTTCCATCAGCGATTCTGCTCAAATCTACATCGTCATTCAAAGGCATTTTTTGGGTACATGACTTCAAAACATCGAGTCTTGACTTCACATCTGGCGTGGGAACATGAATGAGCATGTCAAACCTTCCCGGACGTAACAACGCGGAATCCAAAGCGGAAGGTCGATTCGTTGCCGCAACGACCGTCATGAAATCCCCTTCTTCTGAAAGTACATCATGTTAAGGATTCCCCTGATTTCAATAGACACAGATAAATGTAAAAATTGAAATAAAATGATTTGTGAAATTGAATAATAAATTACGACGGTGTTCAGTTTCTTTCTGCCTCAACAGTGATCAGTGATCACCCTAATACTGTAATAGATTTCATAGTCAACGAATCCGAACTGCCACCGATTGTTGCTGCTTAGAATACTGTACTACACTTCTTCAGAAAAGGAACATTGAAAATTATACCTGATTTTACTTTTTAAATCTAAGAATGATGCGCGTGCCAGCGTTATTTTTAAGGAAAAACTGTTAAAGCTATCCTTGATTGCGATCAACAAGGTTATCGTCCTCTCCGAAAGTTGTTGCTGTCATACTTCACGTTGAACATACTCAGTAAATAATTTTAAAATGAATGGTGTAATTCTCTGAGGATTCCTCAATGGATTATCGATTCCATACGCTGTAGATGTACATTAGTGTGCTCGATAAAGGGACTGCTTTGGTACTTTATTTGGTGCTGATTTTCAATCAGCACTTTCATGTTAATCCAAATCTCTCGCTGGATGGAATTTTCGAATGATCCATGTCGTACAGAACAAAGCCGTCCAACAACAGTGGAATCACAGTGATTCTTGCCTCGATCTCATATTCAAACAAACACATTCTTGCATACAAAATGATCTTCGCAATCACTCACCTTCACCGTCCAATCCACGCCCGCAAATCCCATCCATCTCGTTCAAAAGTGCCGAAAGGACAGCTTCATGCACCCGCTTAATCTGTCCCGATCCCCGGGATCCCACCATTGCGTCTATCTCATCAATGAAGACAATCGATCGCTTTCCGCGCCTCGCCATTCGAAAAACCTCAACAATCGTCTTTTCCGAGTCTCCGACAAACGGCGAAAACACATCAGCCGGCCCAAGAGCAAAAAAGTGCGCATTAACTTCACTAGCCGCTGTGCGAACTAGTCTTGTTTTACCGCACCCAGGAGGACCGTACAATAGAATCCCACCCGTTTTGTGAATACCAAGTCTTTTAAAGGCATTCTTGTGCAGCAGGGGCCACTCGAGCGCTCTTCGCAGGGAGCTTTTCACATCTGCGAGACCCCCGATCGAGTCCCAGGTGAGCTTGACTGCTTTGGAAACGCTGAATTTGCGGGCGAGGGAGAACTGGGGTTGTATTCGGTTGTGCACTGCGTGGATAATGTCCGGAGATAATGGACGGGCTTCCCACAGCGAACGAGCTAGATTTTCCACGTCCGTCAAGGAGTAACCCGGAGAGTTTAAGCTCAATTTGCGTGCGATTTCTTCAGAATCTTCAATCGCACCATCCAATAATTTTTTCAAAAGCCAATTGATGTCACTGGTCGTGGGAAGATCAACCGAAACCTGCAGGAACGAATAAAAGTACAGTATGCGAATAATGATCCCAAATATTTCTGCACTTCAGTGGACAAATATTTTAAACCATTTCCTGTCCACACGTCAAATCTGACTGTCACCTGATCAAGGAGTGAAATTCTTCTTCCTCAAATACAACCGCCCACCAGTTTACATTACATCTCGGAAGACTGCAATCGGATTATCAACAGGTAACTTTCACAGTTAAACATTACTTTTACAACATCAAAAAATAAACGGCACTCCTTTTTTGTAACCCAGTTTTTTTTTAAACTTGGTAGATGTCACCTCTAGAAAATATCCGAAAGTGTACCGTAATTGAATTGACAGAAGGGGAAGAGCAAGGGTTGCGTGACATTTCCCCCATTTTCTGAGAAAAACCTAAATTTTGTACGAACTTTTAGGTTCCTGGAAAGTCAGAACGACAGGAAATTAATCGGGGGCTCATATTCGCCTATTAACGGTACTTGAATTTTTAGCATGAAAAAATCTGGGGGGAGGGGGCTTATATTTGAGTAAATACGGTGCTTCTTTTCTCTTTCCTTTTCAAGTTTGCAAAGACTTTTGTAGCAACAGAAAGGTCCCCAGCTTTGTGCTTAAATAAAGCACACCGAAAGCTTTTTTAACTCAACGAACGGCTAAATTGAATAGCCGAAATTACGTGCTCTAACTATTCCGAACAAAATTATACGTAGAAAATGCTTGAAAATTTTGAAGGCACACACGTATTCAAACATAAAATCTCAGACTTGATACTACAACTAAAAGTATATATAAAAATAAAAATACTACATCTAAAGGAGAGAAGGAGAGAGTATCATCCACCGAAGTATCGTTCTCCCGAAAAATACCCCAGGAAAACCCTCAATAAAATTTGTTTGTAACCTGAGAGGCAAGTCGTCCTGGAGATGCTAGGCGTTCGTGACACCCTCCTGATCCCTGGCCAGTGACGCCCACGACAAATAAATTCCTTGACTGCGGCAATTCACAATCCAGCAGCGATAGAAACTTTAATGCCAATCGCAACGACCGCGGCTTTCGTGAAGCAGGACAAAATACTTCTACTGGATCAAACAGAAGCACAACTTTTCCTTCAACACAATGTGCCAAGGCATTCTTGAAAACCGCTTCAAGTCGCTTTTCGCTTTCTCCTGGATCAGCATCTGCAACTGTTGTCGGATCAACGGCAATGCACAAAGCATTGACCAAATGACAAACAAGGTGCACGACCGCAGTTTTCCCCACGCCTGGAACGCGACAAAACCAAGACGAATTCTTAGTTAAAGATTTTGAGTATGAGTTGACTACGATTTTTCTTCGTCCTTGAACTTTGACATTCATAAAATGTCCCATTGAATATTTTGCTGCTTGAGGTGGTCAACCTATCCCTGTTCTTTTTTTTATATTTGAGTACTCCTAAATTTGTTGAACCTCAAACTACTAAGAAGACGAAAAGGAACAAAATGCACTGATGTGGCACCCCAACCTAAACTAAAATTCATCGAATGGCGTGAAAAATATTCCTATACTGTTTAAATTTTCCAGCACCATTTCAGTAATCTTCAAACGGGCGCCTTGAATATAATAAATATATATAAATACGGTGGACCCCATCTACAAATAAATTCGAGGGAACAGAAAAAAAGCGTTGTAGAAAGGATTTCGATGTCCTATCATGAGGACAGAGAACCCTATGGGACCAAAAGAATTCGTTATACTGTACAGTTAAGAGAAATTCGTTGTAGACGAGAACGCTGTATAGTCTACGTGTACAGTATTTGTCACTTCTAGCTGTCTGAAGCCCCATTTTACATCGCGTACTATTCCCACAGAAGCTCACTTTTGTAAGCTATAGCATACAATTTTATGGCATTTGCTCCAAAATTACTGTACTTCAATAGAATCAGTTGATAAATTTCGAAATCAGTGAACAGGCTGAAAACGGCAATAGGTCAGATTTCACTGAGAAAGTAATTGGCTAAAATCTAAAGCGAAGTGCATCATTCGTGTTCTCGTCCATCAATCTCTCTCACCGGCAAAACTGGGACGATAAAATTTAACTAATTAGAAATTGTGTGGAACAGCAAAATCCTGAAAACAAGACTCAGATACTCAGATAATTATTTGAATGCACCCGCAAGTTCAATGAAAATACCCTCGTATCCATGAAAAACGCGAGACAGTAAATGCGTAAATTGTGCTGAAATGATTTACTCACCAGAAACGCCGGATAACAGAATTCCACGGGATATGGGATTACCCAGCCTTTTCAGCTCTTTTTCAAGTACGTCTGACATATCGAAGATCTCTTTCACAGCTCGACGAGCTTTAGAAAATGAATCCAATTCCAACAAGTTCGCAGTAATTGCTTCAAGTTTGCGAGAGCATTTCAAACGCTCGACGCTGATGGAGTCATTCAGGAAAAGCTTCGTCTTCCCGTCCACAATAAAAGCGTCATTTTCATCAACTGAATCCATCACGTTCATTTTGGCGAACTTGAAGACACCGAAATCGCATAATTCAACGTAGCAATGCTTCACGATACACATTCCCTCGAGAAACGCCTTGACGCACTTTTCAAGGCCCAAAATCGATTCCCGCTCGTGTCCTTCGTGCAATAATGTGACTCGAACATTTTTCGCAAATCGGAGTTTCAGCACCTCAACTTTGCATTCGACGCATCCCGTCCAAGGTGGGTCTAGATTTCGTGATACCGTGGGCTCGAAAACCAAAAAATCAGCTTTCGGATAAGGACTGATGGTCGCTCGACAAATGAATCCATTCACTTCGACCCAGCTTTCGGTAGTCAGCTGCAAACGCGCGAATGCTTGTTCCGGAAAAGAACACGTCTGAAGACCATTATCGTCATATTCCGGACTCACGCACGCACGAAACTTCATCTGTCGATAAAATAAATAAGTAAAAAATATTTCTAACAAACTTGATTGAATAACTTCAAGAACAGGGATCAGGAATTATTCAACCTGGGGAACAAAGACCTAGTTTCCGCGCACAGTTGCAAAAAGTAAATACTATCAGTTTTTGTGACACTTGATTGCGGATTTTTTAATGCGGGATCACGTAATGCTTAATTTTTCAATTAATACTTTTTCTCGCAAACCTTCTCGGTATAAAATACACTTGGTATTCAATTCCGCGAAGGTCAATAGGGGAAATTTAGGCAAAAGATTTTCTCTTTCAAGAGTTTCAACCATTGCTAAAAGAAATTTAAATAATCTGAACTGCCTCACTTCTGTTTTAAACGGGGGAAGGGGTAAGAAAATGCGGTATTGGAATGCACGCGGAAATTGGACACCCGTCATACATTTTGTAAAATCATTATTCCACACGTAAGGAAACTGGATCCAACTGGCAATGGCTCCCTTTTTTAATGCATTCGGAACTTGAGAATCATGAGCGATAAAATCAAACGAAATTAGGCTTTTGATATGCCGGTCAGCCCCAAACAGGTTGTGAAAAACTTCACCCACTTTTCAAAGTCCTTGCCATACATTATCAACACTTGAAATAATTTTCGAAAAGTTAAAAAATTGCCTCAAAGAAGGTCTTCAAATGTTTAGAACTGGACTACAACTATTCAACTGAAGTTCATCAGATGCGACTCGAACATTTTTTTCTCGATATTCCCATTAGTCTTTGGGTAGCCTGAAACTTGTTCTGGCTGTTCTGGAGAAAAAAAAAATTAGCAGCGAATTATCGTGCCCAGTCACGATGAAGTTTTCATTCGGTTCAGGCCCATTAGTGGTTAAAACCCCAGGAACACATGGATCACGGAGCTGTGCATTTCTCCCAACAATTAAGAAATTGCATCATTTTTGAACTCAAATTTATTCTTAAACTCAATTCTATGACGATATTCGAATCAAGACAGAATACTCTATAGAAAAGACCGACGATGATCAAGATGGTTCATTTTAATGAAAACTGACGAATAACATGGACACTGAGAATGAAACATTTCAAATGGGTTCGGCGGCATTCAAGGGTCAATCAGCATTCAACCCTTAATTCTTGCTTCCATTACAGCCTGGGGGCAATTTTTCAGGATAAATCAAAAGGGATGGACGAAAAATTTCTTTAAAATCTTGCTATTGGCTGCCTTGAGAAACAAATGGCATGTGACTTTAGTAGTAACAATTTCGAAAAGCTCTTCATTTCTAAATTACCCGCTGGAGTCGGAGAGAAATCACACCGAAATCGTAAAAGGAAAATTGCTGGACGATGTTAGCAGTAAATTCAAGAACAACGAATACATTGATAACGAGGACATTTGAATTTACGACCAGATCCATGGTAATCCTCAAAGGCTGCTTTCAGCTCCGCGTCGATTTCGCAACATGAGAAATGAATCCAACTAAAACAGCTGCCGCACTTGACGACATTACTAGGAATTTCCGCGAAACACTCGAAACACTCCGAGCAAAACATCTTGTTTCTGAAGAACCTCGCACACGGCTTACACAACATAACGGAAAACCCCACTTTCCCTGGATCCTTGACAAGCTCAAAATCCCAATCCGCGTTTCCTCGCGACAGTCGATTTCCACGCGGAACACTTCCGAGTTGTGAACACGACGATGACGGGGAGGAAGAACAAGACAAGCAACGGTTACAGTGGTGACAGTTCCAAGTACCGTCTGGTATTTCACTCATTCCTATGCACTTCGGATGGAAACCGCGATCACAGAAGTCGCAGAACAACATGTCTGTCCCGGAATCGCTGTCATCGCACACGGAACATGGCTTGCATTCCGGGCATTTCCAAATATTATCATTCAACGATCGTGAAATAACACGGTTCAAGTCCCAACAGCCGATATGGCGAACTTGATGACACTCGCTGCACGACAAAAGGCTTTCCTTCGCCTCCGGGCAAATACAGTCCTCACACTGGGCGACCTTTGATTTGACAAATTCCTGGTTAGATTCTTGATTCATTTCTTCGTCAGGCAACACATTATTAGGCATCAGAAATCCCAGGTCACTCAAAAAGTAAGATGAAATAGAGTCAATGCGTTGCGTCGGCAGCATTGCCACCGGGTAATTCCCCACGCGAGTCTTTTCCGGCGAAACTTTCAAAATCTTGTTCAATGGGTAAACCACGTTGAAGGATTGCAAATCAAAAGCACAAGGTCTTCTTTTGCGGCGCTCAAGATTGAATCTGGCATTGAATTCAGCGGCATCATAGATTGCTCGAATTTTATTTCTTTGCGGAACACCTGGCAAAAGGTTCTCAGATAACTGTTCGTTTTTGGCCATCGGAATTGTGTCAAGTGGGTCTTTTACGTCGCAGACACGCAGAACCTTCTATATTTCTTCAAAATATGAATGGATTAACCCTGGGGGAAAATTCAAAATAATTGTCAACTTGTACATTTTTAAACGCAAAATTAAACCATTTCTTTTCAGCGGAAGAGTCGGAATCCAATAATGATCTTTGCCCCGGTCGTTCAAGAAAATCAGGAGAAATTTTCGGAAACTGGTACGAACTTCAGTTGAAAAATACATGAGACTTCCAAGTAATGTTGAAAATATTGTACAGTACTGGAATTCCCTTTTATTTTCTAACGATACAAAAACCAGTTTTCTCAGCATAGTCGTGGTTCATTACTACCATGACCAAGCGGGACTATCACTTCAAGGGTCGGATGCCATCACTAAAAATCAATTTTCTACAGCCTTCCAGAGCTCTTTACTCTTGGACTCAACCTCAATGTTTCCCGGCGGAGCAACAAAATAATTTTCCTCCGTCTCTGCTGCACAAGAAAGGATTTCCTTTCTTGAAAACTCAATGGGTAAGTCTTCGCGCAAATGCAGAAACCTGCGGGGAAAAAATACCGTCATTGAAAATCGTGTCCTGGGAATAGGCACATTTGGTTTGTTCCAAAATCTGGAATATTTTTCAAGGGACAAATGCTTTTTTTGAAACAGCGCTAAACTAAATTGAAATTTTTAAAAACTGGAAACGAAGAACTTATTGATGTGAAAAAATGGCATGTTCAATTTTGCGAAAAATTAGCAGATGCTCATAATTTTCATGGACTGAAATTTGAATAAAGCTCACCGGTTTTCCAAAACGCTGATTAACGGTTCAACCCCTTCAGTGTTCACGGTTTTAAGAGTCCCAGCAAATCGAACGGTTTCAATCAAGCGCAATAGACCCAGCTTGTTGCCAAAATTCACCAACGACATTTTCTCCAAACGTTCAACCGTATCAAGTTCGATTATTGGAACAGACAGTTCCACTTTTTGTTTTGCTGCCACATCTTCCAAAATCTCCTCGGTCAAAAACCGTCGATTGCGACACATACTGGTACCAGTAGAGAATAAGTTTCTGAAATGACGATTCACACTTCGCGAGCGCCGCAACACGGTCACGCTTGTTTGCATTGTTTTTCTTGTTTAGGTCGGAAACAGAGGCCACACCCTCAATCAGCACCTTGCGAACAAGCTCAAATATATCCACGATTCATTGCAGCTAAATTTCAACTTGGTTGGGAATCAGGAACAATATGGATCGAAATATTTGCAACCACAGCAAAGGAACAATAAGATTCACCAAGAAAAGGGTTTTCACAGATGCTTAAAAAATGTTTAATTCAAATACAAAACATCCAGATACTTCACACGACACCGAACATGAAAACATTCTTTTGGAAAACTGCAACAAAACATGTACGACCAAAAAAATTCAATAATGAGGGAAACTTTCTCAACATTGATACTCGGAGATTAAAAATAATTCCTTATACAGTACAGAAAATTTCTTCTGAAGAGTTTCTCAAACAATGATGAAAAGGCAACAAAAACGAGAATATTCCCTGCGTAGACCATAAAGAATATTGAAAATCATCCAAAGTTTATACACAGAGTGAAGAGCAATGAGAAATTAATGGCTTTTTCAGAGGACACTGAGCGTAGCAGCAACGAAAATTAATTCCTTCGGCGCATTTTGAACTTTGAAGTGCAAATAAATAAGAGCAAGCAAAATTTGTCATCATTCATGATGAAGCATTCGAATCTTCAGAATCGGAACCTGAACTGGAATCAGAAGACGAAACCTTGTTGTCATCCTCAATTTCTGCATCGGCATACGGATTCACCGGGCCGTACATGACAGTGTTTAGAGGAAGATACTTAAGCGCGTCAGGCTTGTACGTTTGATAATAATCAGTGTATTGAGAAGGCATTAGAGCTACGGGGTAGTTTCCAACCTTTGACAGCTCAGGCGACAATCGAAGTATCTTGTTCATTGGATAAACCACGTTGGAGGATTGCATATCAAAGGCACAAGGACGTTCCTCCAGTCGCTCCCGATTGAACCTTGCATTGAACTCGGCGGTTTCGTGGATGAGACGCATGCGTGGGTCAGTAATGAGCTTTGCAGGGTTTGTTTTCTCGGCTCCACCACCTTGATTGGCCTTTGCTGGAGTGGCACTGGCTAATCTTTGCTCCTGAGCGCGTTTCTGCCGTTTTTCTTGCATTGCTATGCGAAGTTCTTCAAATTTATCAGGAAAGTCCTGCGCCATGGCATCAAGGACTTCTTCGCTTCGTAACACCGTCACACCTACAACCCAAATTTGTATTTAGTTTTGCAACAAGCAAATCTACGAGTTGGCTCTATATGCACTTTATACGCAATGAGGAGCAAAAATAAAAATAAAATTATTTCCTGAAGAGTTGAAATAAGACAGAAAAAATCCACAGAATTCTTCCTTTCGGGGTCTCACATGAAAAAAAAAGAATAAAGCTCGTTTTTCGTTAAATTTTAAGAGTCTTCATGAATACCCTTTGGCCTAATTTCATCACAAAGAACGAACATTTTCAGATAAACGGAAAATAAAAATGTATAAAATCGTACGTAAAATAACGCAATATACCCAAGAAAAACTCCCCGTGAAATTTGAGAAATGAAATACAAACAAATAATTTATTTTGCATGAATATATAAGCTAACCTTATGATAGGACTCAGTGCAATTGACCCTACGAACTACAATAAGTAATTGAATAAAAATTCCAGGACCACATTTCCCATCTGCAGAATAATTCGAGTCGATAAAAAATGGGAACATTTGCTATATACTTTATATTCCGACCCTGACCCTAGGATCTCGGTAAAAATCCCAAAACTAGATTTTCATCAGGATTATAAAAACACTCCAAACAAGGAGAAAATCGTTCAACTGAAAAATAAGACACACTTAGCAAACTTTCGAAAAAAAACTAACCTAAATCAAACGTAGTTCCAGACACTACACCTCGATCCCTCAACAACGCCTTCTCCTCTCTTTCCAATGGTCTCCGCGTCATTTTTGGATACTTCCGTTTGAAGGACTTGATTCCTAGATAATTCGCTACTTGTTCTTGAAGCATGAAATAATCCGCATTTCTCTCATGGGCTGGCCATTGATACTCGAAAATCAGATCAGCTGTTACTGCTTGGTCCAATTCCGGGTCGTAAACTTCATAACGGATCTTCTTTTTCGTAGAAACACTGCCACTACTTTCTTGAGAAGTTTCATCAATTGAGGCCGCAGGACGGGTATTGCTAGCCGACGGGGTCACGGGTGAAGAATTGACGTTGTTTTCTTTGGCATTCGTAAAACTGTTGCGAGTTTCTTCATCAATTGGAAAAAATTTCGGATGATCCGGTGCAAGCGGTTCTAACTTGACAGTTAAAACTTTCTTGAAAAGCTTTTTCGGTGTTTTTGGCGCTTTTTCAGGCTTCGTTTTAGGCTGGGATCCCGCTAATCTCGGACGCCCTCGTTTCGGTTTTGAAACTTCAGTTGATTCTTCGTAATCCATTGCAACAAGGAGCGGATCTGTAAAATCTTCGGATTCCCTCAATTTTACAGTTTTCGTACGCTTTCGTCGGGTTATTTCTGTGTCAGCTGACGGAGGACAAAAGACCCCATCTTCCGCTGAAGAAGCCTCATTCGGTTCCACTGACGGGTTTTCAAATTTTAGATTCACGGAATCCTCGCCGTGAATCGCAGGTGGTGAACTTATTGTTTGCTCTACACTGATACTGCTTTCGGAGGGTTCATCTAACGCTGATGAAGCAGTGGATTCGTCAAGTCCGATTTCTTCCACGTCATCATTTGCAGAACTTTCTTCTGCCACGTCCGTCTGCATGCAAGTGAACTGCTGGGGATCTTTCGATTTCTCTTCGGGTTCAACAGGCTCTTGATCGGATTTCGGCAGCTCAGATTTCAACGGCTCCGATTCTGCCTCTGATACTGGCTTTTCCGGTTTTTCTAGCTTTTCTTCCTCGGGTTTCGTAGATTTTACTTCTTCAATGGCATCCGAAGAATTACTACTCGATTCATATGCCAGTAAACTCTCCATTTTTAAGGATGTTTCAGGATACACTTCTCACTTAAGACACCTATATGTTCCGAATATTCCTACAAAAGCACATAAAAGGTTTGACGAATTACAATGTGAATTAGTTTCCCAGTTAGTCCGACAAAAAGAAAACGCTTTAATTCGTTCGCAAGTCCAACATGTTGCTTCATCTGCCTCCATACCCGTGCTCACGCGAAATCAGACAGCAATTATTTGGTCCAAACTTTTGAAAACATTTGGATTCAGTGTTCTATTTCTTTGCCTTTTGCGTCAATTAACATTTTGCACTCATTCTAAACGCTGAAAATTAAATAAAATCATATACGACCTATATTGTGGCACCCCGTAAACGGTTTTTTTTTTTGTGCCAAAAAATCACTAGCTCCCATTTTTGCTTTAGACAATGCTTTGCATAATCAACTTCGCGAAAAGGGAATGTCCTTCAAAAATTGAAGCTATGGGAAACACAATATTAATTAGTGAAAGTGATCGTTATTTCAAGATATTAAAAGTAGAATACCGATTTAGAACTGCATTTTAATACCTTTTAAATGCAACAGATTATTTATTTATCATCGTCTCAAACATTTCATTCGGAAGAATTTGGGGGCCTAAAAATAACTCACTTAGGTATTCGAAGTACTGCACAATGGTATATTTTACATGGTTACTTCATGAGTAATAGACTCACGTTGCTGAAGATTAGGTCCATTCAGTGACACAACTATAAGGGGATTTCGTCATATTCGCGTGAATACGGGAAAAATATTTAGAAAACTTTCCCGCATAATCCGTTACACACAGTCATCCTGGCTAAAGCCAAATTCTATTTCATGCCTTGGTTCCAAAAAAAAACATTGAGGACATACTGGGATAACACTTTCACATCAAATTTCCCGTTTTCCCGTCAGACAAAAATTTGAACACAGCATTCCTTTAAAAAACATTAAAATAAAAAAGCCTCGATCAGGGAATCACAAAATCATCCTGGAACACAGTGGGCGTTGTTCAGTTCTAACTTCTAAGATCAGCACATAATTGCAAATGAGATCCGCGAAAAATCAGGAAGATTGTCAGCAGATACAACTCAAGCACCGGGACGACCACACGAGTTAAATATACATGACGGCATACAGCCGACCATGCATATTACTAGTAGCACCTCAGGTAGATCGTGAATATGGGATAAGTGAACCCCTTGAGATCAACTCATCAGCCAGGAAATAAATGCTTTCCCTAGCCAAACAGAAATCCAACTCGTCGTCAATTTCCAGGCTAAACTTGTCAGGGACTTCAACGACTGAAATTCTGCATATGAAGTGAAGATTTGGATTAGAAGGCACACAATCATTGCAGTACGATTTTAAATTCTCACCTCCCACTCTGGAAAGGAGATAAGATACAAGTTGACGATCGAAAGAAGTAGAACATCCCGTTTTCTGCTAGGACACCAGGCCAATCTTGTCTTCTAGGTCGATTCGCTGGATCAACATTGATTGGGGAGGCACCAAGGCCTATCAAGGGAAATACAGAATTATTATTTAGCTGAGCTGTTTCCTAAAATTGCATGATCATAGTACGGAAAATTCAACAAGTTCATATTTAGGGGGAAAATGAGCATTTTGGTGAGTTTCACATCATACGTAGAACGCAAGCAGAAATTCGTAAGTATTGCTGGGGAATCCACAGAACATTTGTGAAAATTGCTGAAAGCTGCAAAAAAAAAAAAACTGTCGTGACGCAGGCAGTTTACTGAAAATACAATTGACACTATTTGTGACATCTAAAGAATTTAGCACTTCGTGGTTGTGATGGATGAAGTCATGAAATGCATAATATGAACAGTAATGATGATTCACGACAGTACAGCAACTTGTTGGACACCCCATCTACGAAAAGCGGAAGCAATTGAACAAAGAATCATCGAAGATTACCCTGGTCACATTTGTTCTCCTTCCAGAGAAAAGTGTGCATTCGCTTGACAGCAAAAACACTATCCCAGTCGCCACACTTCATCTTCTCGACAGCACTATCCACGAACTCGGGCAAGATCATGGGTGATGTGGCCTGGACTAGACCGATGAATTCATATTCAGGATGAGCCTGAATGAATTCCCGAACACCCAACATTGAAGGAGCTTCATCAGTAGCAGTGTAGGGGGCACGCTGGTGAACAAGGGCTCCGCATTTTCGAGCCTCTTCAGCAATGAGATCAGAATCCGTAGAAACCCAAACGTCGTCGACCCCTAGGGATACGGACGGAGCATAAATTCAGATACTGTGACTTTCCTATTTGAAGTGTGAAAAAATTGTCCCATTCTGAGTATAATTATGACGTACACCACCCCAATAACGTGCTGCAGTGGATTACAGCAATGCAGAGCATATTTAAAAAATTAAATGAGAGCTTATGAAATAGTAAATGTTGCGGTGACCGTTAGTGACATCGAACCGAAATCGTTATGGGAGTTGAAGATATGCAGAATTGATTACTGTACAAGGCTTAAGAAATTGCTCAATGAAAACCTGTCCTTTCTCTCTGTCGAAGTCTCAAAATAATGGAAATTGTTAGCCAGCCCTGCATGAACATTGCCTAAAGGACCGGGGATTTCACGAATTTCTCATTGCAAGGAAAAAGGCATGACCATTTGATGCACTGTATCTCACGAAATGGCCCACATAACACAAGCTCCATCCCATATTGAAAAAGCGATATTCCAATCGCCCCGAAGCCCTTTACATAACGTACTTCATTTCGGAATCGAGAGATTCCGATTTTCTACCTTTTTTGCTCAAGTCGGGCATTGCAGTTTTTTTTTCTTGACCAAAGAAGGGGAGAAATTTTGTACATTTTCCGCCGTAAGATGTTTCCCGTCTGCAGAGTTTATATTTCCCTGGGCTTTTGTCTCACGTCAAAAGTCGTGAGAGGAAATTTCATGTGGAGATTCCAATTTTTCAACTTCAGTTTTTGCTCGAGTCGGGCAATGAATTTTTTCACGTTTGTCGGAAAAGTAGGAAATTTTCGAAATTGTTTCTTCCACAAGGTGTTTCTCGTCAGCAGAATTGAGATAACCCTCGGCTTTTGTTTCGCGACACGATTTAATCAGCTGCTTATCCAAAATTTCGGGTATACCGTTCTTTCCTTCAAGTATTTTACCCCCTCACAGTTCCTTTCATAAAATCGAAGAGAATCAATTGGGATACTTTTTCTTCGGAAATCGCGCTTTCGCTGATCAGCAAAAGCAAGTGAGACTGACCTTTTGCTTTCGTGCATGCGTTGATTGCCCAAGCAATCAGAGGATGTCCGCAAAGATTTTTGATGTTTTTTAGGGGAACTCCTTTGCTCCCACCTCGAGCCAGAATTAAAGCAGCGACCTTGGAATATTCCACCGTTCGCGACATTTTTTCATTACACAAATGAGCACAAAGATTGACTAGATGTACAATATCACAGAAGCACGAACTTATTCTGCAAAAAATAAAAAATAACGTTCACCATGAACTCTTTTCAGATTAATTTCAACGATTTGCCTAAATTTTTCAAAAATAAAAACTCGATCAAGTTTTCGAAGTTTTTTTATTGTATTGCGGAGATTTACCAACTCACAGCACTATGTATCAGATGAGCGTCTTTTGCTTTTTTTGCGCTCCTTCTTTTTGTCTTTCTTGTGGGAATGCTTTTTATGATGCTTGTGTTTCTTCATTTTCTTTCGGCCGGAACGTAACTCGGAAACGCGAGAATCCTCGGAATCAGAGGACTTCTTAGAACTTTCTCTCGTCAACTCGTCGTCTACTTGAGCACTCGCCAACGGCGGAAGTGAAGGGCCGTACGTGTCAACGGGAGCTGAAATTTTGACTTCCTTTTGACTCTTCTTCTCCAAGGAAAATTTCTTGAAAAGCGCTTCGGTATTGGTTTTCCACTTTTCTTCGAGGGATTTTAGGTCAAGATTGGCCAAAATCCCAGCATTTCCTGTCGAGCTTCTACTCGCATCATCTCTCGAATTTCTGGAGTCCTCGTTGGTTTTTGAAATGTTGCGTGAACTGAACATCGCAGACTTTACACCGCTATTCCGATCATCGTGATTTTTCGGAGGGGTTGTACGTGATTTCTAGAAGAAGGAAAAGATTAAAAATTGCAAATCAAAACGATTACAGAGCGCTAAAAAAAACTACATCATGCAAAAACCAATCTCACGAAAAGCAGTTTCAAGATTTACGTTATTATAGGCAGCCCCCAGATTTTGTGCAACCAAAAATAAAAAAAAATCAGCAACGATCGCAAAAATAATATTTTCGAAGTAAAAATGCAGCAAGTACGAGTAGAAAGTACCCTTTGATTTTTGTCCATGAAAATCTCATAAAAATGCTTCAAATGAAATTGACGCAACATTGTATTTAGAATATTTAAAATAAACCATTTTGCAATTTTTATGAAATTGAATCCCTCCGGAAAAACATACCATCTCGTCAGGTTCTTGACTAGCTACGGTCACTTTTTCACTTTCATCTTCGGAGTCTTCATCAAATATAGCACGGAATAAGTCAATCGAGGGTCGCTGGATGTCTTCTTCCGCGATCATTTCCGGTTCCTGAAAAAAAAAGTGTCAAGCATTGAATAATTCTGTCAGCAATTAACAAACCTCGCAAGCTTCCGGAATCAAAGAATGATCTTCGACGGTGATTTTGGCGACATCAACCTTCTTCTCGACAGGAGAGACAAGTCGAGGTGGCGAAGTCCGCGTTTTGTCGGAAGACTTCAATGAATCTTGCGATACCTCCACCTGTGAACTCGATGGGACAGAAATTTCGCCGAGAATATCGGCAAGATTGAGTCTGGTTTTTGGCTTTGTTTCCTGAAGCGACTGTGCTTCTTTGGAGCTGTAAATGGAAGAAAATAAAAAATTTCCATCAGAAGATGATCATCCTGATGTGCGAATGATAAAATCGAATTATTAACAGTATACTGCAGAAATACGGCAAATTACAGTTTAGAAAGCCCAACTACACGTTTACTCTAAGGTGTCAAAATATTCGAGCACGGTTAAAATTATGACAGCCAAAACAAAGGGTTCTAATACGATTGAAAAATTCGAAATGAGCTCGAAATGATCCTTACTTTTGACTATTTATAAATAATAATACTGTACATCAATTAGTAAGAAGTCCTTCTGAAGCAGCTGAACAAATCGACTGCATTGTATGTCCGATACTGTACTGAGAAACTGCATCGAACACATGTGAACACCGAAGCATCCGACCAGAAATTTACTTTTAAAAAACGTAGCGCTCAACATGCATTCAGTTCCTTCACACGTTAAGCGAAATTAAATAATAGATGTTAGTTATTAAAAGGGTTGGTCTCCTGAACACTATTCAACTCACTCGGGATGAGGATTTTTCACGTTGAACCGCTTACACAACAAGTCGCCAGGAAACCATTCTGCTACGATACGCGTCAATTTCCCATACATCTTCATATTTGCAGCCTTCACGTCCGGTTGAATTTCGATTTCCGGAAGAGGTTTCGTAGCATCAGTGGTACCACTCGACACGAATCTCGACATGATACCGGAGTTGAGGGGCTCATACACCGTCGCAGCTCTCTCAAACATGGCCTGTTCTTGGGCCCGATCAGCATCCAGCATGTTTGAAGGTTGAAGAGATTTCAGTTGATCTTAAATGAAGAATATCATAGAGCTTATAAAAGGTTATGTGAAAAATTTGATACAAAATTTTGCTAATTGAACGATGACGGTGATAGTGGACAGTTCGCTAGTATTGTACATGAATGTTCCCACGCTTACACAAACAAGGAAAATAAAATTAATGCCTTTTACAAAAATAGAATTTAGCCTTCAGAGCGAAACTGGGAAGCTTCGCGTGTTCACGACAAAAAGAAACGCATTTCTCCAAAAAACCGGATACGCTTCAGAGTTTTTGGCCTTTTAGATTCACATGAGAATTACACACTGATGTGGCGATCCAGAAATCAACATAAATTCAAGATGTTGATGTATCGAATACCTTTCAATCACGGTGGCTAGTTCGGAAAAAAACGATCTGAATTGATAACAGAATGGAATATATTTGAGCGTGTGAAAATCAAATTTTCGTACACCCCACGCAACATTTTGAGGCAGGTGATGGTGCGCCTCATAGTTGTCATGGAGTTCTTCGATTCGAGAATATGAAAGTTTATGATGAACTTTCAAGTCGATGCAGTCATTCATTTAAATACGTAAGGGAGTAAAAATTTACCTGCTTGGTTATTCTGTCGGAGAACCAAATATTGCTCATAGCGCTTTTGCTTCTCTAAATCCCGCGAAAACGGTCGAATCTTCGGACGAAAGGTCGAACCGCTAAACTTGGATTCCGCCTTCGTAGGAAGCAGTGCAAGAGCAGTTGATGCAGGGGTCACATCTTCCACGGGTTCCTGTCCAAGGCTCAATATTTGTTCATTCAACTCCTTTCGTGGAGCAGCTTCTTCTCCGAGGAGCGCCCCACGTTCACGAGACGACAATGAATGTCTATTCAGCCCCACTTTGACATTTTGAGTTTCTTCTTTTGCACGCTCCACCGGTTTTATGTCCCAGCGGGAAGAATTTGGTTCGCGGATTCCCTTGCAACTTGGGTACAAACGGTATTTAGGACGGTAGGAGTCCGGAATTGGAGGCGGCTTGTAAATCTTTGGCGTAATCTAAGAGGAAAATTGATTTTTATATTAATCATGGAGGAGAAAAATAGGTCGTAACTCAACTAACCACAACTCTTGATAGAACAAAACCCGGTACGTCATCGCCTTCATACTTCTTGTACGGATTTATTTCGCGGTCTTTGGGGTCTCGTGACTTCTGTTTTTCGACGTTGGATTTCAACTCAAAGTCGTACTTGGTCAAATCTTCAGTGCCGTATATATCCTCATCCTCTTCTTCAAACGCACCAACGCCGAAAGCCTGTTGAGAAAGCGAAAACAAATGTTATATACTTATCTCACAGTAATGAACGTGTACTGTATCTGGCTCCATTATTCGCAGCGAAAGAATGTAACAAATCTCATATTGAAGGTAACGGGTCATGACTAAGATCATGAACATTCATTTTGAAAAACCTTCGTATAATTGGAAAACTTCGTGGTGGAGCTTGAATCGCTTTCACATTTTCAAACTCGAATACTTCATACGACCTACCCAAAAAAGCAGAAATCAAAAGGGATTCCGCTTTTTTTTTTTCTCCAAAACGACAATTAGAGGAAATTCAAAACGAATCAATAATCGAATACAAGATCTCTTCGGGATCACGAACATTCGTAGATGACTTTGCTCATACGACGTCTTTTACTTTTGCAAATTTTTCTTTCACTTACTGTTACTTCGCAAGAATTTTAAAACGTAAAGCCATTTCAATAATTTTCAACAACTCACCTGACCCGTTATCTTGACGCGTCTATTTCCCTTTTCTGCCATGACCAGTTTGGGACCACTAACAGATGCCTCAAGCCCAAGAACATTGCCGCGCTGTAAACCTGAATAGCCCAGCCCAAAAAGGTCTTTCTTCGGAACAAGTATCCACGCTGGTGCATCATCAGGCGCGAAGGTTATTTCACTTTTTTCCATTGTTTTTCTGAACTCCTCTGGAATGTGACAGCCATATACTTTTCTTTCTTCCTCTTCTCCCTCTTCAGGCGTATCTTTCGAAACACGCGGACCAACCCCTTGCCCTGGCTTCCAGCCCATTTGACGCAGAAGAACCACTCCTTTAGAATCCCTGAGGATCGACGAAGATTAATGAAGGATCGACATCATATTAATATTATGACGAACGACTGGTGAAGTAATTGAACGAACCAATCTGACAATTTTCGTTCGGTCGGAATTTTCTTTGACAATTGTCGGCTAGCAGTGGAAAAATATACTCACTTGACTGGGGTAATCATATCCTCAAGAAACGATGCTCCCGGGATAACTTCCGTGCCAGCTTCCATTTTTCTGCGTTTAGCTGCCAATAGTTTGGCAGAATCTAACCGGGAAATAAATGTATCAGTGGCGATAATGCCCTTCGGTGCGAACCCGAATTCTCCGACATCCTCGAGGGGGAAAAAGATCCTAAATTAGCGTTTCACATTGGCTGAATCAATAAAAGCTTACTTCATCATCCATGTAATGTTCGGCTCCGCGGGGCATCGTAGCATTTCGCTTTTGCCTGCTAGAAGTAAACGTCGCCGGTGACCAGCCATCACGAGTTCCCACCGAATTGTAAAACCCCGCCGAGAATCCGCCCGTGAAAGCTCCATGGAATCTTCGTCTTCCTTGCTCATCCGTGACGATCTGATCTTCGACGGATGTTGGTTTTTTCCGCTTCAAGTCGTCTGACGAAGGGAGATTTTCACTTCAACATATGAGGGATGTCACTGGATACACTTCACACATACCTTCTTCGATCGGATCGAGTGGCGTGCCATACATGACGAAGTCTTCTTCCTCAGACTCCGACATTTTCGCGTTAGAAATTCACGGAAGACTTCCACTTTAATTAACCACCAAGGACGCGCTAATCGACACAGGACAAGTGCAGGTGAATCTCACACGGATGCATCCGTGACAGTAACTTCCTGCGTGCAGGGACACAGAGCGCTTCATGACCGTCAGCGCCTTTCTCAGATTGGCCCATATGAATTTGAATTCTATCCACTATTGATGGAAATCAAGATCTGAAGGTAAGCACAGTCTAGGAGGTGGTCTACATGAAAATTATGAAATTAACAGCCAGTATCAAAATATTTTTCACACACACATAACGCAATATTTTGCATTTCAGCATGCACATCTATGCACAAAAAAGTGATTCTTTTAAATTTTTCACGTCAGGATTTTACCACGCAATTTGAAAAAATAATTGCATAGGTTATACGATTACGAAGGTATCATCACTCAGATACTTCAGACGTCACTGAATCATTTCCACCTCCAAAAACTCCAATTAATGCGGATGAATGACTCAATCTAGCTGGGTGCTTTTTACTGAAGCGTCGAATCCATTCCGATTTCCCAAATTTCGACAATAGAAATTTCGACTGTTAAATTCAAAAATAAATATGACTCCTGATTAACGGATCCTTGACTGAAAGAAAATTACTGTACAGTACTGCATTCCGTCTTAGAGCATGAGAGAGAGAAATCGCAATATTTGCTCGATCCTTGATGCACTAAGAGTAGGATTTCAACAACAAAAAAGGTTTATCCAAAATTCCCAACTTGAGGTGTGTCTTCACTCACAAAAAGACTTCAAAAATTGATAAAATCTTCCATCGGGATAAGGCCTTAATTCATACAATGCAGCTGCTGAAGCTTTCAGAAAAATCATAGCCAAGCTCCAGTACTAAGCCCATTTCAATTGGGGGTCATTGCCAGGAACAAAGGCAAAAAACAATTCGTTATTCATTCCGAAAAACCATCATTTTCTCAGCGCAAGCTGGAGTGCGTGTTTTCATCGTGTTACAAAATGGACTAAACGTACAGCCGAAAATTAAAGATAAAATAACCGACGTCTTCAAGAACGCTCTTTATAATTTTCACTCAAGCAACACCATCAAACGTCGTCTATACTTCGACGTTTCCGCACGGAATTCGGAAAAAAATCGTTACGCTATATGTACCAAAACCCCACGATTATAACTTTTGTAAGACTCGCATAACCAGCGGGAATCGTATCGCTTTTCCCTCACGCATGCGATCTAACACAATTCACAAGTTTGATTTTCTTTTCCTCAGTTGAGTTGACACTGAAGAACGTTCTGTCCAAGTTCTTGCGGCAACAATTTATAAAATGACTAGGACACAGGTCACAGACACAAATGAAAAAGAACTTGAAGTTTGCACATCGCTAAATTAGATCTGCTATTCACCGCAAGACAGAATTAAACGTTCAAAAATCGGTATACACGGAAACAAAAAAAGGTCCAATTATCACTAAATTTTATCTTCGTTGAAGAATTTCAGAATTTGAACCTCAGCAAGCGCCTTCAGCTTTCGTCAACAATTGTTGGATCAGTGAATCTTCCAGCGGAGCGTTCGTAAACAGGCAACCTGAAAAAACGAAATTAATTTGTATGAAAATGAAACAAAATCTAATCAAATTTTCAAAAACTGCAAAGTTTGGGACAGAGTAACGTTGATTTACAAATTTGCAAGCAATAATAATGATTTATTTGTCCAAAAAATTTCCTACATATTTTTGTCCCTTCAAGTTTTTTTTTTTGCTAAAAAAAAGTTACCTCGAATTAAGAATACTACAGTGAGACCCCCAGATGCAGACATAATTGGTGTATCAAGAGTGTCCCTATGCTGGATTGTTCCCAAGTCGAATCTTGTTTTTCCATAGACTTACATTGTATAATTTTTAATTGGTGTTTTATGGAAGAAATATTCTTCAGAATTTCATGAAAAAAAATTTTTGCCACAAAGCTTATAAAAATCAATGTTCCAAAAATTTATTTTGGAATTTTATCCTGCAATGTCCCCAGGTTGAGTCAGTGTCCTCATGTCGGGTCTTTTTTATGATTTTTTTGTTAAAAAATAAATGTCCCCATGTCGAATCGTCCCCATGTCGAGGCGTCCGCATGTGGGGGTCTCACTGTACTGCATACCAAAAACTGATTTCTGCATGATGGAAAAAATATGCATACATTTTATGCACCGGTATCAGCTGAATCCGCATTCCATTGAAAGAATACTAATGGTTAATACAAGTTTATTCAAACTTGACACGTGATGAGTCATTCCACGGAGAAACGTATTAAAGCACACAAAAAAGAGATTGTCATCATACTGTAGATGTTTTTATATTCTGGGTTTTGATCAACAGTTCCCTAATTGATCATGCTCTGAGCATGATCTAACCGTCGAATTAGGGATCTATGGAAATCAGGGATAGACAGTTTTTCAATATTAAACTTTAGATGGATGATTTTTGACGTCCAATAAACATTTTCCATTAAAGTCCAAGACACTATCTTTTGCAAGACGAACTTCAAAAGATTCATTTTCTTAAGAATAGAATAGGATGTAAATTGAATAAGAAAAGCAATTACCAACGAAGACATGGGCTTTCCACTGAGGATGGAGTACAACTTTGCAGCAGCCCATGTCCTGAATATCAAGACCGAGAGACTGCATTCTGTCGTCCGTCTCCGACAGGCTATCATTGGTATGGGCACCAAAAAACGGCTGGCTCGAGGTCGGATCTACAAAATCTGCCCAGTAACCAGCATCCTTCAACTGATCACAAATCTCAGTTGCCAAATCGACGAACTAAAAAATATTAAAATTGGTCAATAGAAGAGTGCTCAAAAACTATTCACGCATTTAAAAAAATTTCAAACTTGGACTTAATTCCTCGTTAAAATTTTCTTTGAAACCTTTTTTTCTGTTCACAAAAGATACTAGACACAATGGGCGGAAGAATTAAAGGAAGACAAATAAACGCGATATAATAAGCTGATAAGAGTACAATACACCTCAAATGAAGCTCCCAACTGCGTTATCTACCTCTCCAAGTACCAAAAATACTCTCGCCAAATTTACACTCAATTGCAAATTATGCTGTAACAAAATCGCGCCACAAAAAATGTTGAAAAAAAAGTGCTGGGTACTTTTAAAAATACAAAGATCGTAATTAGTGCAGTATTGTACCTTTCTACAACATACTTACATGAATGCTCAACTCCTCTCGCTCTTTGTCCATAGCATCGCTCCAAGCGCTCATGTCGTTCATGGTTCTCTGAGTGAGGGTAAGTACAGTCAAATTATCTTGACGTAAATCTCGTTCAGGGAAAAGCGGCGCGAATTCTGCAAAAACGAAAACAAAATCTTTCATAACTCCGCCAGAAATTCTTCGATGAAACTCATGATTACTGAAATAAAAAAAAAACCTTCGGGTTTTAAATTAAAATCAGAATTTTAAGAATTTTCCGGTGCGCCGAAAACATATCGTATGGAATTTTTTAAAATTTATTCCAACTAAATCGTTTATAACAATCAACTCGCAAAGAACTGAAGTAAAATCGAAGCCCCGCGAACACGTGATAGTAAGCCAAGTGGAACACGCAGAAAGTGGTCTAATATGTGACGACTGGCTCATTCTTTGTAATAAAAAAAAAACAACAACATAAAACCTTGAAAAACCCAGTTACGAATCAAAATCTTTTCAACGCTTTCATTTCCAAAACCTCCCAACCTTTTTTCATTTTCTTGGAACAATTCCTAGCGCTGCACTCCAGCTCAAACATGGCAGGCAGCTCGTGCGTAGCAGCAACAACATTTTCCACTCGCTCAGCTTCGTGGTCATTCCGGTCCAAGAATTGGCGTACAACATCCACTTGTCTGTCATGGTTTGTCACACCAGTCAGGACGTCGGTTTGCGAAACCAAAGTGACATCCAACGGAAATTTTGGTGCCCGCCTGCCGAGAAACCCCGGCTTTTGTCCTCGCAACAAATCTGGTTTCAAGTTGTCATCCAGACCGAGATTTCCCGGGAGAGGGAGTCTTGTGTCCAACGGACCGAAGAGTCCCATCGGAGGCTCGACCGTCAGCGCGCGGAAATCTTGACCGAATAAAATGGCATGAAATTCCTCGTGAGCGTTGGAAAAACAATCAAATAAAAATAAAAACAGACTGAAACATTCTAATGAAGATCTAAAAATTAGAAGAAAAAAATCGAACGACTGAAACAAAGCCTTTAACAATGAGGTTAGTAAATGCTCGAGGCAACATCTCTCTCAGCATGGTGCTGACTACAATCTACTTCAGATTTCAGGAAAAAGAATCAGGACAGTCATGCTGACAGATGACGTTTTCTTTCAAATAGAGAATAAAATCTCTCCCATAGTCTCAAGGTTTACAATAAAAGAGGGATTCAATAGGCACTCAGGATGCAACCTCGACCTTATGCAAATCCTGGGATGTATTATGAAAAGCATCTTTGATTGCAAATCTTTTTAGTACAGTACAGTCCGGTATTTTGATTCATAAATACGATGAAACAGCAAAAGAAAAAGCATGCTTCAGTATATCCATCCGTGAACAATATATTTCGTATATGATATGAACGTTTCTGTCGACAGTTCGTACAAGGCTTGTCAGACTGTTCGCAACTACCGAAAAGGCATCACACTTTTCGTTTTTATCACGTTCTTTCGCACTTTACAAAACGACAAAAATAAAAAATAAAACACAAAAATTCAAGACGACCAGGAATCTAACAGAAATCTGCACTCACAGGGAATCTTCTAAACGCATAAATACTCATAAAAACAATCTTCCACCAGTTGACAATCGACTAATCTCAAAAATCGGGCGAGAAGGACAAAAATTACCTTCAGTTAAGCAGCGAAGTTGCTTCAGGGCTCCTGCATTCGCAGTAAGCGCAGGGAGAAAAAGAGAATATTCCACCTAATAAAAATATGCATCGTGGATCAAAAAAGATGGAAGATTCACCTTCTGACGCCTCTGGTGGAGCTCCTTCGAGGTCCGCAATGTTCGCTCGTCTTCCACCTTGAGAGGCAAAAGAACGTACCAAGGCTTGCAGACACTGGAAATTCTTGTGGTAACTGACTGAAAAAACGCCTTTTCGTGAAGCTCTCATCATCAGCTGTTGAAAAAATATGCATCAGAAAACTATAAATTTGTGATGCGATGAGAATTAACTGGATACAAGAAAAGACATTCTCGGTAGCATTTATTAAGAAGCAAGGTCAAGATCAATTTTCTTTCGAGCAAAGACAAAAATCTTACCTTATGCGCCATGATTTCGACACAACGCGGGATCAACAAGTTAACTTCAGAATTTAGACTTCTGAAAAAAAAGATGAATTTAATGCACGAAAACATGTGCACGAGATCGAATTTCAAGATTAAAAAAAATTTAAGACAACTCCTTTCATCTTTTCTGTTTCTCAAGTACTTTCACGCCGCAAAACGACTAGATCTGCGCCAAATGCCTTATTTACCATCAACCCTGCATGCCCTCCTTTCAAATTTTTAAAAGGCTATAAATATCTCGGAGTTTCGATTCCGCCAGGACTGATTTCGCCGGTTAGCCTTCATAAACACGAAGAAAAAAAAATGCAACACGAGTTTACCAGGAAGACTCAATCAACATTCATCACTCACACAAGCAACAAAATCGGTAATACGCTATTGACGACCAAAAACCAACAATTTTTCGCTGAAAGCTGCTGAAATTACCACCGAGTTTAATATCTTGCAATCCTAAAACAAAACATCTTTAAAAAAACTCTGCATCAATCTCCACGCGTCATTCCCCCCGATATCTTTTTCAAAGCAGCCGAAAAATACACAAAAAAACACGTATCACACAGCAATGGCGTTCTAGACGATAAATTCTGAATACCCTGGAACACAAAAGTTACGGAAAGAGTTCAATATTTTTCAATACACTAGTTACACATTCCCTCTTGTCTTATCTAGTTATTCGCGTTCACTCGGCGTACTTTCTTCTTGATGACGCGAATAAACGTAAATATATGGTATCTTGGAATACCGGTATAATTATTTTTTGCCACACGTTTCAACGAGACCATCGTATTTGAAGGCAATAAAGCGCATTCTACATGCATACACAGATCACTAGAATTACGGCAAGAATCTCGATTATGCTAAACAGCATTTCTTCAAGTTAGGAACAAGACCAACTTTAGACCCAGGAGATCGATCTGTAAATATGGGTCGTCCAAAAGGATTTTACTTGAGAAAAAAGACAGGATCTTTTCAGATTCTGGATGAAACAAAGGCAGAAACGCAGTGAACTTCACGGCGAGCAATTCGGAAAGGCTTGAAAAGAATTTCCTAATGCAGAAAAACAAGTGTCACCATTTTGAAAGCATATAACCTGGAAGCCAATCACTTGAAATTTCCAACCGTCACAACGCTCATGAAAACCAAAACCAAGAACACCAGAAACTAATGGACTTCGGGATGACTAACTGTAAAATATATTAAATCGTCAACGACAGTGACATCTAACCAAACAATGGCGGTTAATTATGGAATAGGACGAAGTTGAAAAGTCTTTCAGAAGACTTTAATGCAGCTTGGACACCCTTCGTAAATTAAAAACTAAAGCAATATGCATGACTAGCTAAGCTACCAATAAGTCGATTGTTGAGAATGCTCATTTAAAATCTCCACGCAAACCGACCCTAAGTATAACGATCGCAATATTAAAAAAAAAACCGGAACTAATATTTCCTACACAGCACATGGAATGAAGCGGAAGAAGCCAACAATTATCGTCAACTTGTTTCTCGAAAAAATAATGCAGTACTCCCGCCACTCTTCCATAGCATACTATGTTAAGCAAATCCGCTAAAAACGCCGACTCGCCACGATTAGCAAAAATTGTTCCCATAAGAACTAGCAACGTTTCGATTCGATTGCGCAATTCTCGAAGAAACATGCACAGTTAAATGAAAAAAAAAGCACGGATAAAACGGACGCACACTTAGAGAGCGATCGTGTGAACTCTTGTTCAACTCACGGCTCATGAACCCCCTGAACTCCACCTCCACGCTTTTCTTTCATCGCGTTCACAACTTACCGAATGCGGTTCTGAACACCGGGAACAAACAAACGTGGAACAACAAAGCGAGTTTTGTTGACCTCACCAAATACTACATTTAGCTTTCGGATTCATCCCGTGACCTTCGCGACAGCGGAAGGCAGACGCAAACTCCTTCGAATTGGACAGTGGGCCACGAACTCGATACTCCGACACTGAATGTGCATCGTTCAGCCTCGTCAGCTTGTCTGCTTCAGCTGTTGCCGTTGAACACCAAACCTTCAAGAATGAAAGCATACACTTGCTATGCATTCAAATCTTCGGCGACATGCGTCAACGCCATATTTTTTTTGATATTCAAGTTAGAAAAAATTCACACAAAACTATTCCACATTATTTCAAACGATGCGCAAAAAAAAAAAAAAACAGGAAAAATACCGTACTTCGACGAACTTCATAACGTGAAATTTTCGTCAAATAAGGCGGGACAAAGAAAAAGATGATAAAATCGTATCACTAGGACAACAAGTTGTTTCCCCAAATGAACAAAATAAAAAAATAATGTAAAGAATTATATGCAGCCAACTTCGCATTATCGTTAACTTACTGTAATTGCTCATGGATAAATAAAGCACGAATGATCTAGTAATACTGTCTCGGGAACTCGATAAAATTTCACGCAGTTCCGCACAGCACCAAGCTCGTGCAGAAACAAGAGTAACCCAAAAGGATGTGAAGCTTTCAAATGAATGCAAAATGAACCTGGCCAAAGCCGAGGAAAAATAGCTGCCGGGGCGATAAAGGCAGCCCAGGCAATTGACCCGCATGCTCCTCTTCAGGATGTTCCCGCAACCAATGCTCTAGAGCTCGGTACGCAGCGTGCAAACCGCCATTGTCGGCCAAATTTTCACCTGAAAAAAAATTAATTGAAGTATAAGTACGAAAGAAGTAATTCCATTCAAATTAAGAGCAAAAAAATGAAAAATTGCATACCGAGGGTCTGACGTCCATTGAGACCGTAATTGTCGTACTGCGTTTCGAAACACGCGGCTTTTCCTTTGAAGTTTTCAATCGCATCAGTTTCCCACCATTGATGCAAATTTCCATTCTTGTCATATTCTCTTCCTGTAACAAAGAAAATATGCTTCAAACCTTGTAACGGATAACGTAGAAAAAGCCGAAGCGTCCCCAAAAGAAATTTTAAAAGGACAGTGGGATCTTTATTCCAGGAAAAGTTTTCTTCCAGAGAGCAAACTAGAGAAATTTGAAGCTTGAAAATACAAACCTTGATCATCGAATCCATGAACCAATTCATGACCTATGACAACTCCGATTCCGCCATAGTTCAAAGGCAAGTGGGGAATCGCTGGAGAATAAAAGGGTGGTTGCAAAATTCCCGCCGGGATCACCATCTGATTCATTGCAGATGCGTAATAGGCATTGTCCTGCGCTGGCGTCATGCTCCACCTGACAAAAGCGAAGAAAAAGATTGTGAAAGGAGTTGAGATCTCATTTGTGTATGTTAGTTTCAGAGCGATGCGGGCATGAGTAAAAACGTTAGTACTGTACATGACTTCAACCCCTTTGGAAACCTGAAGTAGTGTTAATTATCTGGATCCCTGATCACCCGCACAAAAATGAAGTTTTATTCAGAAAAAAATTCTCACATTGTTTTGTTGACAGGTTTGTTCAAAAGCTTGAGATTCTCTTTCAAAGCATGTTGACCGAGAACGATGTTGTTTTGAAAGTAGTCATCAGCACTGATGTTTACATCTGCGTACTTCTTGTCAAGCTCGAGAGGATCCGTGATGAAGGCCGGGTAGCCGATCATATAAGTAATGGCCGAAGCCTTCTCTACTGCTGCTTGCATCGTTCGAGAGTCCATCCAGTTTTGTTCTTTCAGACTCTTCTCGAATGCGTATCGAATTCGTTCGATCATATTTTCAGCCTTTTGGAAAGGATTAAAATAATCATTAAAACTACACTAACCCGCAATTTCCGGCAACAACGCAATTCGCGACGCGAATTAAATTCTTTCATGATTCCATTTTCTTCATCTCTCTAGTGTAGACTAGTGTTTCTGGAGGCATAACTTTTACCCAGATTCTTGTCAAATTGAAAAAAATCATGACTATACTATTTTATTCAGAGTCGAGGTTATCGGAAAAAACACCGCGCAAAATCATGAATCCTATAAGCATGTCGCCTCGCTCAATGGACTTTTTCTAATGAACTCGGGCTGTTACCAATGTTTGCCTCGGATGATGGAAAGCACGAAAAGTGATCTTTTGCTTCTCAAGCGAATATCACGTAGGTAATGAGGCTAAAAACATAATTTTTTAACTGGACGAAGGCTTTCTTAGTTTATTGATATATTGTACAGTACAGTACAGTACTTTGTGTTCAGCTTTGTGGCATTCGTTTCTCAGCACCTGATTTTATTGTAGGATATTCACTGTGCGTTATATGATTACACCTTATTAATTCTGCAATTTATTCATTACTTCATGAAGGATATTTCCTAAGTACTGTACAAGGTACAGTACAGCGCAAAAAATATGGAACATGCATTTTGTACCTTCTCTCGAGCGGATTCGTCAAAAGCCCGACGAACGAACATGGCTCCAGTAGCGAACCCCATTGTACCATCAGTATCACCCACACATTCCCGCCACCTTTCTTCGGATTCCGTCTCACCCAGCAATGCCTTAGCAAGAACTTTACGAGCTTGGCGAAAATCTTGCGAGAGTACTCGGGTCATGGCACTAGCCACCTGCCACATCAAGTAGTTGCTCAGCACTCTGAAAAATTACGCAATCAAGAATACATGAAAAACACAGGAAATGTTTCGTGAACATGTTTGAAGAAAAATCAAGCTCCAGGAACTACAGAAAAACATACTGAATACGACATTATGGATTCGGGGACACTGCATAAAAATTCGCTCTAACACTCCGGGAATAAGGATGGATAGCTAAATAATTCGAGATCAAGACTTCAGTAAATTTTCGTAATATTATTTTCTTCGCAAATTCAATATTGATTTCCTATATCATACTTATTTTGCAAAAAAAGGAATTCTGAAAAGTTTTTGCTGTTTTTTAATGATAACTAAACCCCGGATTGACAATTCAATATAGATTCAGATATAATTTCAACAGAACACTTTTTTTTACTACCGTACATTCCTCACAGCTCTACTCGAAAAATGAAGAAAACCCATCTCACATTCCCTTATCCAGCCTTTCGGCTTTTGATAGCATTCCAGACAAAATCCCGTTGAGTTTTTTCAGGTAGTCCAAATCGTACGCCACCACCTGTGTGTCTAAGTCGACATTTTGCTTCACCAACCCAAATGCGGAATTGAAGTATTTCACCCAATCGACCTGCCACCACACATGGAAAAATGTGTCCCAATAACCCCGAAAACACCTTCAACCGGTTAAGACTTGAGTCACATGCAATGCAATATACCTATGGTGCGATTTTCGAAGTTCAAGATGGATACAATTAGTTAATGCTGTGAAAATGAATCCAGGCGAACAATTTTAATGTTTTCCTGCCTCTCTTTCTCGTCCAACTAAAAGCTTGATTTTCACACACGTCAAAAGAGAACTTCTGTTCCGATGATACAACAATAAGAAATTCAATTGATTTTATAAGGTTTAATTTCCCAGGTAGTATTTGTGCTTAGTATTACGAATATGCCTGAAAATTACGCAACGGTATCTTCACTGGATTACACTATACTTCATTGAAGCAAGTAAGCAAAAAAAAATTTAGTGGTTTCTTACATGAAAGTGACTGCGGTACGTCATTCTAGTTGAAAAGCATAATTGGTTAGCATTTGCAGAAGTTACTCGTTGAGAAATAGTCCGCCTCTCTAGAAACAAAAACCTTAACTTGGTTTTTCAGTCTTTTTCAGTCAATTTTTTGCGAGGAATACGCGAAAACTTTGGGAAAGAAAGTTGTCACAGAGAATATTGAAGATCATTATCGATTCAAATAACCCAATGTTAGTGTCAACAGGTTCATGCAAGACGGATTCTTCGATTTATTCTTTTAGCGAAAAAATGGGAAAATCGAAAATAACTTACGAACGGCGCATGCTTTTTCAGGACACGTAATGGCATTTTCTGGTAGATCTTCTCCATGTCTCTCCTCTGATCTTCAGGCATGGTTATTTCTGCCAAACGCTGCTCGAACTTGATGACTTCGATCATCTGATACCTCACATTATCTCTTTTTCCACCCAACAAAACTCCAACCTGACACGATAAAAGAATTCAGAATTTAGACCAGTCTTGGGCTGGTTAAGCATGAAAACTAACTTCCGTCATGTAGCTCAGCAGCGCTGAAAGAGTTGAATCCCCTTCAATGGATTTGTTGAGATAATAATCTCGGTTTGGCAGAGTTAATCCTCCTTGCTCGAGCTATCAGAAAAAATTGTTTTACTGAAGACGAAAGCAGAGACATGAAAGCCGCTCTTAAAGCAGTTTAGAATAATTACTTACCTCTATCACGAATTTTGACGAGTTTTTGTCATCGATTCCGACCGCCCATCGGAATAAACCACCAAGATAGTACTTGTTATGTATTAAACGAATCGTCTTCTGGAAATCCCAACCAGCCGCGTTGAAGGAATCACTGGTTACGTTCCAACCGCCGAGTTCGTCCAAAATTGCGATCAGGGGAGCACCTCCGATAGTTTCACGCTTTCCGTCTGCATCAACGCAAGACTGAAAGTACAGCTTTGCCTTCCGCTCAGCCTCACTTTTCATCTCTTCCAAAGGAGTATCTTGGAAAATAAAAAATCAAAGTAAGGTTTTAAAAAAACACGTCACACTCATCAGGTTGAAGAAAGAGAAAAACAAAAACAAGTAATTTCACATGACCGCATACACGAAAATAAACGACAATTTTCAAATTTACAATTTTGACAAGGTAATATGACCAGAGAACCTTCGGAGAATTACGTATCTAAGTTGTGTATCTGATATGCCTGTGAATGAGCTCTTATAAAAACTAATAATTCGGATGAATTATTTTTAGTAGATGTTAACAAAATAAATTTTATCGACTGAAAGATGATATACAGTACAGGTAAATTTCGAATTTAAGGCAAATAAGACAATCGTAAATACCTCCTGGTTCGGCGAACAGACTTCTTTTTCCCTCGAACGATTCAGAGATTACGGTGCGTCATGTATTCACATTAATACGATATCGTCTATGGATTCGATTGAATTCGTGACATTCAAGCAAAAAACCCAATTACCCAATGCGTATTTTAGGATGAGTTGATTTTTATCTTGGACTTGAAAGAATGTGCCCCACATGGCTTTTCCCGGAGGCAAAGGATTTTTCTCGAGCCAACCGCCGCAAGCATATTGATAAAAATCTTGACAGGGATCTATCGACGTGTTCATCCTTGCCAGGATTTCCGCCGAAATTGTAACGCATTCCTCCGTCATGCATACTTTGGACTTCACTGGGCCTATTCCCCCATGGAATTCCGACCGTTCAACATCGTCGATCTGATCTGGAAACACTCGCAGGTGGCCATGGTCTTTCAGGGCCATTAATACTACCATGACCATGATCAGGGAGCAAAGGCCGAACACAATGGCGCAAAGAAATTTCTCCAAGGGTGTCACGAATCCGCGACCAAAAACTGGACAAGACTGAAAATAATAAAAACATATAATTATTACCCTTCGTTGAAACATGCACTTCGATCATCTGTGCATCAATTAACCGCGAATTCGTTAATCTGAATTTGAAATTAAAGTTAATTCAAGAACCCAACAGCCTTCTCAATTCAAATTTAAGCAGCGCGGCGATCTTGGCAAATATTTTTTTTCTTTAGAATGAACATGTGCAAAGCGCTAGAAACTACACAGAGCGAACAGGCAGCTCTCTGATACGTGGGTAGCTCTAATTAATATCCGGGAATGTCATTGATACATCAGTTCATCGTTGATTAATTATTTTTCTGATCCGGAAGAAGGAACAGCTCATTGGCCAGGATTTGAGAGTTCCCGCAGCACGACCTTCAGAACTTCTCAAGGTAAATACATTGAAGTGATGCAGTTCAAGCTTTTGAATGACGCCCAGAACCGCTGTTACGATAACACAGTACCGTAATCGTATCCCGCTAACATTTTGAGTGAACCAACGACCGCCACAGATGACATTTGAATAATACTTCGCGGCTTTTGTTGAAAGTTTGGGAAACCACTAATGAAATCGATAAACGCGAGTAATACTCACGTATGTTTGATAAGTTCTCCCTGGATTTTGGAAGGTAATTCCATCTTGCACGCTTAAATTCACAGAAGCCACACTCCCAGTTTCGCTTCCTTCTTCTTCGAAATCCGTTCGTTTGTATCTTGTCATCTGCGAATAAACCAGAGACAAACGTTGAAGTTTTTAATCGAAACTATTTTTTTAGGTAAAATATTTCTTAGTGTTGCGTCATTCTTCGTAAAAAAAACATAAGATAATTAGGAAGAATCTTGAATTGACCAAGACACCAGCAGCATCATTCGACGATGTACTCCTCGGCACATGTACATTGTTTGAACGACAGATTTTCAGCTGAGAAAAACTACCGATAAATATCGGTACAGTGAAAATTAAAAATCCGCATAGCCCTCCCCTTAAAGAAAAATGTAGTGAACGGATAACTCCAATGCTTCGTTCTAGCTTTGAGGGTACCATTCCACGTGGAAGGACGCAATGAACAGAGAGTGGTTCTTCTAAATAATTTAAAATTACATTAAGATAATCAAAATGACGATGGTTTTCCCCGTATAACAATAAGGCTTGCAAGGTTAGTAAAACAATGATCTTCACAAGTACAAAAAAGACAGAGCGAAAAAATATAGAAGTCTTACTTAGCTTACCTCAGTCATGATGAACGATTTTTGCAGAATTCGCCGTGGCCAAAACAATCACAATGCAATCACAACAGGTTGAAACTGGAGATCACTGGCACCCGTTTACTTCTTCATAAAAACATTTCCAGTTTCGATCAAATTAAAACTGTCCGAGACTACAATACTTTGATGAACAATACATCAGTCCGCGCTCAGTACGCGTTCCATATGCTGTTTTGGAAAAAGTCACGGCCATAACTGATAATTTTCGCTTGCTAACAGAAAATTTACCACGTTAATAGTCCGATTTTTTCACAAATTTTCCGGAGGCGCCGAGCAAAATTGATGCGCTTCACATCAACGATAACACCCACGCAATAGCGATCTTCCAAGTTCGAAAAAATTTAACCACTGAGCAATGGGATGCGGGTAAGTCCTTCAACTCCCAATGAGCACGGGGTCCAACTGTTGGGTTTCGTCTTCGACAAAATGATTACTTCATTTGTTGCAGATCACTGGACGAAGAAAACATAATGTGCAACCTTGAAAATGGCCACTTTCAATGGAAAAACCCCAACTTGTTTCACGTTCGCGCTCAAAACAAAGTTCGAGGCCTCAGGTACGACGTGCTCGCTGCGCGCTGCGGACGGAAGATGACATGACAACCTCGAAGCATGCACTCTGTGAGACACCGCAACACAGGAACACTGCGCTGCCTGGTACAGTCAGCAAGCAAGAGCCCCTGCAAGGTCATCTCATATCCTAAGAATTAGGTACACCTATCTGCATTTAATCTTTAAGCACTTGTTTCCTATGGGTCATCGAATATTAGCGTGGGAATAAGCGAACAAAATGTTATCGAGCATGATTTCTGAGTTTCGTTCTGATTCAAATAAGAAGCTAGAATCATCAGTTCTGCTCCAGGTTAGCAGGTGAGTTACATAAACTGTGTATGGCATATTACAGACATTTATTCCAAGATTCCTACACATATTTTTTTGAATAATACAGACGACTGAATAGAATGAATCGGATTTTTTGATAGTGCAGTTAACATCCTATGATTAAAATACAGCAGTTCACAGTACCGTATTATTACTGCTACGCAGTTTACGCTGAGAAATACTGTACCAGGGTTCTAACAAAAGTTCTCGGAATGAAAATGAAGATGGCGTCTAATTGAGCTGGAAAAAAATTATTCTTTAGGGCAACCATATTCTTTGGCACAAAAAAAAAATCAGCCCAGTTTGACAATTTTTTTCAATTTTTTGCAAAATTTACCCTGGCAGAGTTTTGCTATACACTCAACAGATGAGGCACCCTTCCTTCAGCTTTTTTTTTTTTTG